AGACACCAGCGGTGACTGGACTGCCGCTTAGCCGGCGAGCCGTTTGCTTGACGTGTCTCTCCTCTCTGACCGTGGCGCCGTGTCCCGCTCTGAAACCACCCCCCCTCGCGTTCGCGATCGAGGTAATCGAGCGACGGGCCTTGGCCTTAAGAGTTCACCTCACCTCGTAGGACCCTCTTAGCCCGGGCCGTTTTGACCCTGCGCTTCATGATGTGACGTGAAGGAGGTGAGACGGAGACTCACTGGACTGGAGTGGCAGGACAAACCAGCGCAGTAGTGGGCGCGCGTGCTGATGGCCTGCGGCTGGGAGGGTTTGCCGCCGACTAGAAATATCTGCGACGGAGCGGTAGCTAGTCGATCCGTCTGACGCCCCCCCTATTGCCTACTCCCATTCCCATTTGCTGTGCCTTGGTTGACATATCTTACCGCTCACCGCGCGGTTGCTTATCGTCGTCGTCGTTGCCGTCGTCGGCCTTCCCCACGAAAACGAGTCTGTGGCCAGTGACGTCTACAGGTGGACGGCACATGCGCGTTGTGCATAGTGTAGATTCATGTCGCAGGTCGTTAATTGTGCTCGTGCACAGCTATATGTCGTGAACAGCCCGACGAGGCCTGTCGATAATACTCATTCTCTTCATGTTGTGCTCGCTCCATGGCTAGGGGATCGCGACCCCAGGACGAAAAGGAGAGAGGGAGGGGAAAAGAGAGGAAGCGGGATTATGTCGGCTGTGTTCCTCCTCCGCTTGACATGAGGCGCTTTTTTCCTCTCTTGAATCCTGGTCGGTCGACTCGGGTACCTTGCTCTAGACCAGGAACCAGGACGCGGCACCGGCCAGCGGGGAGTCTGCGCTCAGCCCCTCGGCGCCCCCTTTTTTCGCTCTCGACAGTGGACGCCCGTCAAAGAGGGCCTCCGATCGATGTGGCGTCGCTTCGGAGGAAAATGGGATCGACGCGGTGGCCCTGAAGTGGTTCATCGCGTACGACGCTGTTGGCGTGGTTTTGGCTGCGCAGCCTGGCAGCCAGCCAGCAGCGTCTCCTCTGCCGCCGCGCTACTCACTTTGCAAATCACATCGTCCGGATGCAGCTCCAGTCGTCTCGAGGCGGGCGAGAGAAACCCCCTCCCCCCCGGTCTACCCTTGCGGCGCCAACTGTCGTCTGCCACGATCTTGTGCGATGCGTAAGGTTTGCAACAAGGCCGTGGAAAAAGTCGAGAAAATTTCCGTCTCTTCTCCATGGTTGCCCATTGCGCACCCAAGATCTCAGCAAGCTGGGATCCAAGCTCTTTGTGTGAGTTCGTCATGGTCAGAGTCGTCCGTGTTCTTCATATGCCTGCGGGCGGAATGTTTTCGTCTCAGACGCCACGAGGATCCGGGTCACCTGGCACCCTGGATGTTCCAAGGTCTCGGAGCATTTCCCAGCTTTGTGCAACAACACCAGCAGAGGCATTTCCTGGCGCCTTCTTTCTGTGCGACTGCCTGCGTTAGCGAAGACGTGGGTGGCCCTGCATTGACGCACGACCTGGGCTGCCATCCGGGCCAGAAACATGAGATGGAAACGACGGGACGATCTGCTGGTACTGAGCTCCTTCAGACGGGACCAGAGTTCACGGTGGCAGGAGCAGGAGCAGTAGCAGGACTGGTAGCGACACGCTCTCGGGCTCTTGGCCCATTTGTGAGTGCCAGCTCACGCAAGTCAACATACATGTTGCCCCGTAGCACACGTCGCATTCGAAGCATTTGGCTCATGGCCAAGCATCGAACCCCCGAAAGACACTGTTTCATGACCCCCGAGGCGATCCCCCTCCCCTCCGCCTCTGAAATACATATGCCGTTCGATGTTGCATTTGCGCACCGCACGGCACCGACACGCGCGGTCTGCCGTCTGCCGTCTGCCGTCTGCCGTCAGCCCTCGCCAGCTTTCTTTCTCTCTCTCTCGCTCTCTCGCTCTCTTTCGCTCTCTTTCGCTCTCTTTCGCGCTCTCTCGGTGTCTCCCCCGGAATTGGCGGTGGGTCCCCTTCATGTGGTCTGGGAAAATCTGCGGGATAAAGTGCGCACCTTCATCATCTCTCGAGGCTCAGCAGGGTTGCAGGGGTGGCAGTGGCCAAATCTCCCGTCTCTCCTCAGCCCTCAGGGTTCGCCCCAGACGTCGCCGTCACAGACTGATTGTTATCGAGATTATGTCGAAATGGACCGTTCCCAGCTTATCCGCCTGGCACCTCTCCATCCTGGCCAGCGTTGATTTTTTTTTTACCTTCAATAGCACAGACTTTCGGTCGGAACTGCAAGTATCTAATCAAACCAAATGATGAGTCCCTTGCCGACAATTCCCCAACTTCCCGGTCGTCTGGTCTGGGCCGGCCTGGCCTCGACCGAACCATGGCGTAACATTCAGGCTGATACTTGCCAGCTGTGCGATCTTGCTGGGTCGATGGAGAGATTGATGAAGTCAATCTCGCAGAAAATTCGCGCTGGAAATTGCCCACCTGGAGCTTACATTATCTTCACCTGAAGACCCCGGACGGATCTTGATGAGCAAGCGAGGGGATTCGTAGTCTTTGTACTACCATTGCATGTATGTACGTATAACCTTACGCACCCACGCATACGTTGGGCTGGGGGCTTTTCGCGGCACTGGCACGAGAGTGCGACGGACCCATGATCGGTTTCGACCGACCGGCTTCCTGGCCGATTCAATGTCAGATTGCGTGTCAACCGTCGTCAACGTCAGGCCCGCGAGCCCGGGGACGACGGCACAAACGATACAACTCCGACCCCCAACCGCACCTCCAAGGCTGGTGGAAGTGGAGAATCTGGTCCCGAGTTCTACACTAGATACACGTACCCCGTCGCTCCTGTTTTCCTCTTCACCGAGATCCGCGCGCGTCCTCCTCGGAACGGCGGTGTCGCCCAACGTGGAAGTTGCTGCCTGGGTCAAGAAACCCGTGTCCGCTTTCAAGGCATAAAGTCTCCGAGATATCTGCTCGATGTCCCTCAAACAACCCACCCGTATCACGGCTCGTCCTTAGGGGGCCCCATCCCCAAATTCCATTCCCATTGCCATTTTGTCTCACCGGCATGACGACCAGCTCACAAAGCGCGAAACTCTGGCAAAACATACCCCGCTTCCCCTCGTTGCTTCTTCCAACTTCCAACCCGTGAGCCCTCGCCGCGCACCACCTTGACACATGATGGCTCACCTCGCCATGCAGTCCCAGTCGCATCGCGCATCACGCATCCCGCTTGGAGCACCGCTAATAACATATCTTTCTATACCCTCTAATCAAAATGATCTCCCGACCGGGTGAACCACGCCGGTGCAATCGTCGCAAATCCTCAAACACGGTTGACCACCCCTGGGCACTGCCTCCTTGAGCTGCGCTCCGGAAGGCTTGGTCATTTGAGGGGGGTTCATCCTGTCTGGCACCCACTTCCTGGTCTGACATTTTTTTTCTCTCTGTCGTTGTTTGCTCAACCCCGTCGCTTACCTTATTCCCCTGTCGCCAAGTGCAATGCGGCAACTCCGTTCCCTTACGCGACATCCACCCAGACCCCCGACCATGGCCACCTTAAACCCAAGCGAAAAAGTTCAGGAGTCTGGGCTGGTTTGTTCCTCGAGTCTGGAACCCTCGACCTCAATCAAATCTGACAAATGAAAACGGGATCAACCAGAGCCTGACTTCGCTTCGCCCCCGAAAAAAAGGAAAAAAAAGTCCGCGAAACAAAGGGACTCATCTCACCGGCAGTCATTCGGTACCTACTCCGCAGGTTCGCGCTTGTGGCCTTGTAGGGCAGGCTGCAGAACCAGCTCCCTTGATCGGGCCGCCGCCGTTGAACCGTCTTGTCTTGGCCCACTCATTGGGAGGCTCTGTCGCTGACCTCATTCCATCAACAACACCAACCAGAGAGACCAGGCAAAGACAGCACATCTGTTTAAGAGCTGAAAGAGAGATGCAATGAGCACCACACTCTATTTATCATGATCAATCACAGATCATCGCCAAATTTCTGCGCTGGAAGTGCCAGCTCAGGTCGTCTGCAACATTCGCCAGGCCACCCCTACACCCAATTGCTATACACATTGCGTTCTATCGCTCCAACTCCTGTTTGGATGCCAAGTGGCTCACAACAAACGGCAGATTCAAAGACTAGTCTTTCAAATTGATCATCCGGTTCAAAGTAAACCCAGCGAGGTCTGAAAGAAGGCGTGAGAGGAAAGGAACATAAATTCCATGCCATTATGTAAGCCACCATGGCTACACAGTACAATCAGGGACGCCTCAATATGACATCTGAGGGCATAGTTTCAACACCAGCCTGGGCGAAACTCGGTTCCAACAAAACCCTATTCGAACGACCCTCAGTTCGAACAAAACGGTTCGCACAGCGGTCTCAACACCAGCCAGGCCAAAAAGAGGAGAGGGCCAGACGGCAACTCTCGCGTAATTTGCTCGGCCGCAGCTCAGGAGTACACGCTGCCAACTGAGACCGGTGATTTCTTTGGTGCTTGCTGTCACCAGCCGCAAAGCATTCTCAGGGCGAGGAAAGTGCTTGCCTTTGATGGTTGGTACCCGCCCCATGTGCTCTGCCTGCAGGATGATGTCGTCCCTTGTGACTACTTCTGCCAAAACCAGAGGGCATCGAGAAGGAACTCTGAGGGATGCCCGCCTTTTTCACAAAGCCATGGCATCGTCAGATCAACCTGGCACCACCGGGTCTTTCTGCTTTCCTCCTCTGCCCTCCATCTCCCCCAGAATAAGGCTTTGCCAAGATCTCCCTCTTCTTCAACTCTCCCACGCTCTCTTTTGGCCTTCACCTGCGGGAAGAAGAATCTCGCTCCCTCAGCATCTGCTCAACAGCCATTCTTTTGCATCATTCTCCTTTTGGGCAAGCTGAGAAGTTTCTTGGATCGGTACTCGGTATTCATCGCTAGCCATCCGACTATCACGAACTTTCGCTCATTTGGAGACCAAAACCGAGGCAAGGACGGCAGAATCAGCCGAGATGATGCGAAAAATTCTTTGCTGCTCCAACGTCCTTCCCAAGGAAAAGGAGGCGGATGCGGACGCGAAGGCGAAAGAGACGACTGAGGACACCAAGCAAGCGCCGATCGAACTGATCCAGTTGCCTCCTCCCGCCAAGTTGTCCGGCGGCAACTACAACTTTGAATCATGGCTCGCTAGAAACAGTACCGGCTCCATCGCATCATCTTCTCGCTCGAATGTGCGATCGCCAGAGTCGGACTTCATCCCAGATCCCACTTCGGTCGAGTACGTATCGGACCCCGAGGACGGGACCCAGGAAGTGGTCAAGGCAAGCAATTGGAGACGCATCAGCCGAAGCTTCTCCCATGATGGTAGTAAGAGATCTTCAAGCCCCGATGATGAGAGACGCTTCTCAATTCCCTCCGTCAACCGTCCCTCTTCCACCCCACGCTCTGGCGACCAGACGGATGATGAGAAGCCTCCATTCGACCAGGCCGCTTACTTTCAGGCCGTGAAGTCAAACAACAAGAAGCGGCTCCAGGCGGAAGTTGACAGTGAACACAGTTCTCGCTCAGTCTCCACGCGCGCAAGTAACAGATTTCGCGAGCTGGAGACGGTCGAGGAAGACCCCAGTGATCACCGAGGCGAGCTTCCAGGCGGGCCGCGAGACCGGATAGAGACTGCCATGTCCACTGGAATCTCTGCGCTCAAGATCCCCCGTCAACCAACCCGACCCCCCGCAGCTAAGCTCTCGAACCAAGGTCTCAAGGTTGATCCTACCGACCTCACCTTAAGAGACCGTCGCCGCAGCAGTTGCCCCAAGATGGAAACCGGACCCAAAGTAATGGCATCACAACTCGTTCTTCGCGAGCGAGGATCTTTACCCCTTATGCCTCCAGCTCCCGTACTGGTTGCTCGGCAGGGCTCTAGTGAGCAGGATGACGAGTCGTTCAAGACCTGGCGTCTCTCTCAAAGCATTCCACAGGGCGATAGCCAAGCGACTCTTACAACTCGGACTCGGGACGCTCTGGGCGCGAAAGATTCAAGCCTTATTATCGTCGACACTGAGCACCGCACTGAGCCTCAGCAGAAGTCTAGCAATGCTGATACCGACCTCGTTCGCGACGATGAGCAACCCGAGACCAAGACCATTTCCGAAGCCACTAGCGCTCCTGTTCGGCCTCGCACCGCAGACTCTGCCCAGTCTCCAGATGGCAGCGGTTGGGAGACCTGGCTGCTCGCCGAGAAGCTCACAGCCCAAGATGATTCCGCCATCGTTCAGCCAGCGTCCAAGACTAATGACAAGTGCACGCCTGTTAACGCTGGTGGTGGTCCCACAGAGACCTCTGACAGCAAGGCTGACGCGGTCTACCTGCCAACGAGCCCAACGAGCCCCTGCGTCTTGGAGGATTCTATCAACTCGAAGGCAATGCCTCTCGCTGAGCGAAACGGATCCTCTACCAGCGCTCACAAGGTTCTATCGCCAACGCTTGACATGGAGGACAAGGTTGCCTCAGACGTCACAGACCCGCAGTATCCTTCTTCTTCCGTATACTCCTCGACGCAGAACACGCGTCACGTCTCGCCCATGGGCACAAAGGAAACGAGCAAAGACGAAGACGCCGCCAGTCTCGCTGAGAGTCTCATCGATCTCAACTTTGCTCAGTTCGAGAGTAAGTTTGCCCCTATTTTGCGCACCGCTCTACTTGACTGACCACAAGCCAGCGCTTAACGGTCTTAAAGAGCAGAGATCAGACGAGAGCTATCGCACCGCTCCCGATCGAAACCATGATCCAGTGGTCCCGTCCCTCGTGTTGCCCACTGACGATGTTCCTCACGGTGACGTATCTGTCACTTCAGACGGATGTCATCACAAGGTTCAGACGACAACGAGTCTTTTCGGACTAGAGTCTCATGGACCGCTCTCGCCGTCGCCAGGCAGTGATCAGGAGAAATTGAATGTCACTGAGAACAGTACTCGGAACGACGCACCTACTCGCAAGTCCTCCTTTCTCCAAGTCCTGGGTCTTGGCAAAGGAAGTGGCTCAAAAGGCCACGGCAAGTCGCACAGTCAACCTCCTGCTGATCTCCATCAGCTAGAGACTTCGTCAACATCACATGAAGCCTCTAAGCCCAAGAGACATGCCAAGACACTGTCGAACCTCAGTACCAGATCTCATATGCACCCGCTTTCATCCGCTGACGAGTTCACCGCCCCCAAGTTGATCGAGAGTGCGACGACCGTCTGGAAGCGAGCCATCCAAGTCGAGCATGACCAGCGCGAGGCCAAGTCCAACGCAGACCTAAAAAAGACTACAACCACGCCGCGCATCAGTGACTATGTCCGCCACGTTGCGGACAGCGATACATTCGTCTCAAACAAGGAGCCGAAGGTTGACAACCCGACACCCTCTATGCAGCTTAGCCAATCGGTCACACCTCAGCAGATGCTTCAGCCACGTTCTAGAAAACCCTCAACTGTTATTGTGACACAGAAGGCGGATAACCACGAAGCTGCCCCTGGCACCGATTAGGAGTCGCGCCCCCGTAAGCTCGCCATGCCCCCTGCTTCATGGGCAAGATGGCCATCTCTTGATCGAGGCCAGAGAACAGGTGCTGCCAGTCTGGCTGACAACGTCACCACCAAGGACTTTGCAACCCTCTCTGCCTCGAAGGATTCGGATCAGCATATCCGGATCACCAACAAGAATTCAGAAGCTACCGAAGCCGAAATCAAGCAACCACCCCAGTCCCTTTCCAAGAGACTCGGTAGAGCCATGAAGAACAGTCTGGTCAAGGCCATGCCGTCCAAGTCAGGTACCAAGAACATTGCTCAGTTGGAGTTCCCCGAGCTTGAGGTTTTGCCAACCAAGGAAGGCTACAAAGATCTTGAGGCGCTCCAAAAGAGCATTGCGACTTTGAAGGCCAGCGAACGTGCGAAGCTGGCAACCAACCCGGCCCTTGCCATGGCTGAGTTGGAAGACCAGTCCAAGCAGTCGCTCGCCAAGAAGATTCCAGCGCAGTTCCAGGAGGCTGAGCATGCCAGACACGAACCCACCGGCAAAGCAGCTATGGAGAATACAGATGGCGCAAATGAGGCCAACGAAGCTCGTGCACACGGTATCGGAGGGCCCTCGATTCGTCCAGTCACTCCAGCCAACGTGGTCAACCTTCCTGAGGGAGATTCGACCGCTGCCACTACTACGGAGAACTGGGCAACCCCAGCCAGCCGTCTGTCCCACAGCCTTGCGCTTGATGATTGCAATGCAGCTGCCGCGTACAATGCCGATACTGTGAGTATATGCACTTGAAGGAAGGCGTGATGGTCGGCCAGGAATACCTTGTATGTTCTTATGCTAACTTCTATACTCAGATGGAGACCATCCGCGGCTCCGGCGTTGTTCACGCAAGCAAATCGTAGGATTCTGCCGACGCTCAGGGCCCGGCGGAGAAGGAACCTAGAATCGTATGACATGGTGCTGTGTGTCCGTGGCAGCGGAGGACGGAGAACAACACTCTGACAGGATTTTGCACACATTGAGGGCACTTGCAGAGGGCAAAGCATGTTATAAGTAAACGAGATGGATTTGTGACTTGGAGAAGGTCTCGGAAAGAGCTTCAGCATGGCATGGGTCACGTTTTTTGTATGGTATAGGCTGGGGACGAGGTTTGAATTTCCCCTAGTGTATAGATTTTCATAGACCACGGGTTACCAAGCCATCGTTCTGAACTTGCTTCAAGACGCCGTTGTGCAGCCGGTCGCGACGTAGCTGAACGTTACCACTAGAGTTGTCTCTGCAAAGCTGCTTTTATCATTGCCCATGATGGGAGTGTCAAATGATGAGCAGACCCCGAGAAAGATTACACAATGCACGATTGCATATGGCCATCACAGCGCAAGGTATTCTTGGTCATAAATCATAACATTGACGGAGACCCTCATGAAGCGAGGGCTCACCGACCCAGTCAAGGTATCGTCTCGGTATCCTGTAATCTACCCCAGGTTTCTCTCGTGAACGCCAGTGTCCGTCCAAAACGCCAAGGCCGTTGCCGGTAGTTTCCAAGCCCACGCAAGAACCATACAAACAAAAAAACCCTCCCTTCCAACCACGTCGGTATGTACAAAAGGTACGCAACGTACCGGCACGCGCACGGGGACGCGTCGTCGGCAGGACTACCCGAACAAGACGTTTTCGTAGCTCTGCTGGTCGAGGTGCTTGAACAGCACGTCCTGCAGCGCGGCGCGGCTCCGGGCAATCTGCGGCACGACGCCGTCGACCTGCTGCAGGTTGCTGCGCATGCTCTCCATGTGGCTGCTCACCTGGTGCACCAGGCCGCGCAGCTCGTCGTCTTCGAGGTCCTGCGAGGGGAGGGAGTTAGTGATGCGGACACGTTGCGAAAGGGGGAGATGCTGCTGCCCGAGACGGGGGAGGCGGACAACACAAGACGATGGGGGGTGCGACATACCTTGAACAGAGCCCCGCTGACGGTCTCGTCGGGGACGAACTTGAAGTCCTGCTCGTCCGCGACGCCGCTGCGGCCAGCAGCTCCCGCGGGTTTCTTCTGCTCGGGGACGAGGACGTGCGTCTTGCGGAGGCCGTCCTTGAAGTTCCTGGCCTCGGACTTTGCGTTGGCCTCGAGCGTCCTCAGGCTGTCGTAGTCGGCCTCGAGCGCCCTCTCGTCGCGCTCCTTCTCGGCCTTGAGGAGCTCGACGGCGTGCAGCAGCGGGTCGAGCTGCCGCTCGAGCGCGGCGACGCCCTCGATGACGCGCTCAAAGTTGAGCTCCTCGGCGCGGCCGCCGTCGGCGTCAGCCTTTTTGCCGTTGCCGGATCCCGTGGGAGGACCGGCGGCGGCGGGCGGGAAGGGGAGGCCGCGAGAGAGCTTCCTCGTGAGGCGCTTCGTGACGAGGCGGATGGCCGAGGCGGCCTGGTCGCGGCGCTTCTCGTTGGCGGCCAGGCGCTGCAGGACGGGGCGCTCGGCGAGGCGGAGGAGGCTGGAGACGTGTGCGAGGGAGGAGGGTGCGAGGGGGGACCACTTCTCTTCGATTGTCGAGCGGGGGATCTGGCGGACGCGGGCGGCGATGTGGCGGTGTTTTAGGGCCGCACGGCGGGCTGTTGCGGGGTCGGTTCTATGCGGTGGTTGTTGCTGTTGTTGCTGTTGTTGCTGTTGCTGCTGTTGTTGCCGGATCTCCTCAGATGTTCGGCGTCGGCGCTTCTTTGCCGGTGCTGGGTCTGCTGCGTCGTCATCACCTGAGGGGCGTTTCTTGGACTTGCGAGGCTTGGCGGTTTGGTCTTCAGGGGCGTGCGGGGAGGATGCCGCATCCGAGGTACGCGGACGGCCCGGACGGCGGCGTTGTGTTTCCGGAGACGGTCTCGAAGGCTCTTCCTCGCCCTGAGAAGACCGCTTCCGCCGTTTCTTGGTCGGTTTCTCGGCCGCTGGCTCTTCTGCCGTGGCTGGTGGCCTCCCTTTGTGCCTGCGGGCCACCTTTGGCTCCGACTGTGGCGCCTCCTGAGCCTCTGGCTCGGCGTGGGCAGCAGGCCGACCGCGCTTCTTCTTTGTAGCGGCCGATTCTTCTTCAGCCGGGGGCTCCTCTACTTCCTCCGCCGCGGCATTCGGTTTACGCCCGCGTTTCTTCTTGGGCGCGGGTTCTGCCTCGGCCTCTTCCTCGGGAGCGGGCTCTTCAGCCTCGACAGCCTTCTCCTTAGGTTTCCTCCCCCGTTTCTTGGGCGTGGGATTTTCCTCGGCCGCTTCGGCAAGCTGATTTGCGACAGGTTCCTTATTCAAAGATGGGCGCCCGCGCTTCTTCTTCGGAGCCGGCTCCGGCTCTCCCGCATCTTCAGGCCGCTCCTCGGTAGCTTCCTCCGCGACCTTCGGTGGCCTTCCGCGCTTCTTCTTGGTTGTGCTGTTTGCGGTGGCTTCATCTTCGACGGCAGCTTCCTCGCTTGCCTCCTGCACTGCCTTGCGGCCCGTTATGCCCCTGGTAGGCTTCTCCGCTGGTTGTGATGACTCCTCTTCCTTCGCGGACTCGTTGATCTCGTTTGTGGTACTATTGGCGGCCTTCCTCGACTTCCGGTTCAGTTGCGCCGGCTCAGGTTCCTCCTCGACAACCTCTTCACGCCTTGGTCTACCCCGCTTTTTCGCCTTTGGTTCCTCGGTGGCAGGCGATGATTCTGTTTCCTTGTTCTTTTTCGGTCGGCCGCGCTTGGCCGGTGTTGGAGCATCCATAGGCTCTTCAGCCAGGTCGCTGGGCTCTGCTTCTGCGACTTCGGGAGACTCTGGGACGCGTCGTTGGCCCTGGACGCGTTGGGAGGGCGACCGCGTTTTCGCTTCTGGTCCGGAGCTTTTGGGGGCTAAGACTGTGTCAGAGAATCTGAAGCGTATCAAGTAGCCCGTGCTTACCATCGTGAGGTACTGCGCTGTCGGAGCTTTTGCGCAATTGCAGACGGAGGTACATGCATCTAGAGGTCTTCAAGTCGACATCCAGACGCGTCCCCTCTCTGGGCTGGGTACGTACCTACAGCTCTCCGCCTCCTGTGGCTGGTGAAGGTAAGACTGGGCTGTTGCTGAAGGCCTCCGATGGGACCAGTGGCGCCATCAAGTGTGGCTGCTACCCCGGACCGGCGTTCCACTTGGGAGTCCCCAAATGACGCTGACTGGCAGCCGAGATAAGACGTCAGTCCCATTCGGGCTAGGCTGCGTGGAGGAAGCGTGTTCTGCAGCTCCTTTCCCAGTGGGTTTCACTGTGCTGCTGCGGTCCCCCCAGCGACCAAAGCTCCTTGGCTGTGATTTCCCAGTTGGATCACCAACCGAGCAAGGTTCAGGAGAAAGCCGCCGTAACACACCTGGACGCTCCAGAGGACCCTTTGCTCTACCTAGCCCCCTCCGCTTCCACTTTTTCACCTTATTGACCCTGTGTCCTTTTTTCCAATTGTACAAACTCCTCGCCGGATCCAGGTTACTTTGTGAACTTACACTCCTCATCCCGTACTTATCGTCCCTCCTTGACCTTTGTTGTAGCTGGCGGCACCTTTCTCACTTTGCCTCGCTCCTTGTAATTGCCCTTTCCCCTCACCTACAGCTGCTTGGCCGCCTGATCGCGACACCTGTCCCAAGCTACCTCTCAATCATCTACCTTTCCAATCAACGCCCCCATACCTCCGTCATCAAAATGCGCGTATCCGCCACTACTATTCTCGCCCTGCCGCTGCTTGCGACAGCGGCGGAGTCGCCCTTCGAGCAGTACAAGGCGCAGTTCCAGAACTTCCTGAGCTCCTTTGGCGCGTCCGCCCCCAGCGCGGATAAGCCTGCCGCTGCCGCACCCGATGCTGCGGCGCCCGCTGCGACGTCCGCCGACAAGAAGATTTCCGTCCTGACCGTTGAGAACTGGAAGGATGTTCTCTACGAGCCTGTCAAGGCCGAGGCCACGACTCCTGAGGAGTGGTGGGTCCTGATCACTGGCGGCAACAAGACTTGCTTTGGTATGTTTCGTCGCGTTCGCAACATGGATATGTTTCCTTCATCTCGATACTAACCGTGCTCTACAGGCCACTGCAACAAGATCGAGGCCGCATTCAACGAGAGTGCGTCCAAGTTCGCCAAGCTTCCCGAATCCCCCCACCTGGGTCTTCTCAACTGCGACGACCAGCCCGTCCTCTGCAACGGCTTGTCCGCAGGCACTGCGTCCATCTGGTCCATCGGCATGCTGCCCGCTGGATCCGAGGTCGACATCTACAGGAAGCGCCTCAACGTTACGACCACCACCTCGGACGACATCGTCGACCTGTGGAAGAAGAAGTCCAAGGAAGACTGGCTCCTGACGGAGACCATCTTCCACCCCTTCAACAGCTTTGTCGGAAAGAACAACCTGTCCATCCCCGTTGGATACTTCTTCTGGGCCTTCAGCCTCATCCCCAACTGGCTCTTCATGCTCATCGTTTCCTTCGGCAGCCGTACCCTCATGAACCGCCGCATGAACAACACCCTCGATACCCGCCAGAACGCCGCTGCCGGTGCTCCCCCCGCCGCCGCCCCCGCTGGTGGTGTTGCGCGGTAAAGGGCGACTTGCGTGAGGTGGAGGAAAGGCTGAGAGGCACAAGGCTACGGTTTTGATGGCCCGAAAATCCAGGGAAGTGTGGGGGGCGTGGCTGAGGCCCCTGGTCATTTGGATATGTAGTGCCAAATTAGTAATCTTTAGTTGATTAACTTTTCCCGTCGCATGCCTCTTGTACGCTTTTGAGACCTTGAATGACGTCTTCCCTGAGCTTGGGGTTGGAAAGACGCCCGTAGCGCAAGTCACTCATGCTGCCAACTGTCTGCTTTACCGAGTCTAGCAAGGTCTGTTCTTGCGCCTCGAGCTTCTGGATCTCTGCTTCGAGATCGGCTACGGCGGTGTCCAACTCTGGGATAATAGAGTTGAGCGTGTGCTTGGCGTCTTGCACACCGGTTGAGCCGAAAAGCTGCACATTGTTGTTAGAACCGCGATTTCCCCCCGAGGGACCTGCAACAGGGCCATAGACTTACAGCCCTCTCAATCTCGAGCTCCTGGTCAGCATCCTCGTCTGCCGCGCGGGTTCGGGCACGGGCGATCTCGCGCTTGATGACCTTCCCGCGCTTTTCCTCCGTAGTGATGTTCTCTGTAACCGTGTCGACAAGCGTTCTTCTCTGATGCTGTAAATCACGGTACAGAGAACGGATTTGCGGGTTGGCGCGGTGCGCCTTGGGAAACAGTTCAGTGAACTCCTCAAGTGTGATGGCGGAGGGCAGCTGGGCCGGGGAAGTCAGGTAGTTGTACAAAATTGCGGACTCGGTAGGCGCCATGATGAGTCGTTCGTCAGCCAATGTCGGTGACGAGGAGGTCAAGCAATGAAGACGCTTAAGGTGAGGTCGCGATTGCTTCTTGGTGTCCTCAAGAGCGAGAGCAAAAGGCAGGGGTGTGTTTGGATGAGGTCTATGTGTAGGTGCGAAAGTGTGGCGCTTGCTGGGGCGGGCATGGACGACGCGGTATGATTCCTGGCGGGACGCGTTAATGAGCCGCAGCAGAGTCGCGTTTCACTCCGTAGGAAGAATTCCCAGAGCTTGCCATCTTCATCTCATCCACCAACGACATCAACCTCGAGCGAAGGCTCCGTCAACGGCCGCATTGTTTGACGGATACTACTAGCAACCCAATCAAGTCATAGTGAGACCGTCATTCTTTCATTTTTGCCGTCTTTTTGGGCCAGAAACTAACTAGATCTTCAGGCGCATACTGTGTTAGCGACTCGCTCAGCACTGTAGTCCGGATTGGTCGAGGAGCTAAGAGTGATCACCATTCGTACTGTGCCTAGTGGCCTCAACACCTCAAGACGTGCGCCAATCGGACCCGGCGTTGACTGTGCTTTGCTGTCCTACGCACTGTCCGAGAATTTAACTTCATTGCCCCTTTGGTCCATCAACCACTCGATTGCATCTAAGCTATCACCAATACTCGGTTGTCGGTATTCTCAACAGAGTCATCGTATCATACTCAGTTTTTCAGAGCCTTCACGGTCGCCACATCAATCATGGCGCCCGCACGCCAACCGGCCCAGCCATTCACCAAGGACGAGAAGGTTCTCTGCTTCCACGGTGAGATGTTGTATGAAGCAAAGATTCTTGACATCCAGCCTGCCGATAGCGGCGAAGGCTTCCAGTACCGCATTCACTACAAGGGCTGGAAGAATACCTGGGACGACTGGGTCTCCATCGACCGCATCCGCAAGTTCACTGAGGAAAACAAGGAGCTGGCCAGCACGCTGCACGCCCAGATGAAGGACTTGCGCCAGAAGAGCAGCGCCAAAGCCCCCAAGAAGGGTCTCCGCATCAATGGCACCGATTCGACTCGTGGTAGTGAAGAGCGGACCGCAGGAGCTGCCGCCAGCGGTCGTGGCCCCCGACGCGCGAGAGACTTTGACCTTGAGCAGGTGAGTGGTGAAACACGGTTTCCTTTTGTATTGCCTTCTGTTCTGCGTTTCTGCCGTCTGTTTTACCATCCGGGTTGTCATTGTTTGGAGGCCTACAGTAGGGGCACATCGTAAGTGTTCTTGAGACAACGTCACAAAGAGAGACGGAGAAGGGAGCAAAGAGAACAATAAGGGTGAGTAGCATCATCCACGGTGAGACTGGTGCCGAGGCTCCAGTATTACTGGCTGTCGAATCTCGTCGGACTCGTCTACCGCGGAGTGATTGTATTTCATCCGATGGAAAGATGAAAAGGTCCTCTGATCTGGGCGTCCTTCGAGCTACCTGCCGCCAACTACCTTCCTCGAAAAGCTTGTCTAGCCAAACCATCTCCACAACAACTCACTTTCTTCCACTCGATCACCTCTCTCCAACCTCCTCGGCTTTCACTCAACTCTCAAATCGCTGGCTTCGATCTGAAACTTGACCACGTCTTGATGCTGCTCGACTCTTCTGAACTATTATTCTTCTTGTCTCGATTTCGACCAAACTCTGGATACCACACTCATCGAAACCCCCTCACCACCAACGAGAATGAGCACTTCCGCTTCGGACGATTGGAGACATCCTGGTCGGCCAAGTGTGCCAATCTCACAAGGAAACCGATCCTTTTGCTACACTTCACCGCCGCGGCCATACTTCTCCCTGCGCCCAGTCCATTATGACCAGGCCATGGTTGGTCTTCACTCTTCAGTCCATGAGCACCAAGCAGAGCGCCCAGGTTCGGAATACAGTTGTTACAGCGGCTACAACGACCAATCGCCCGCATCCAATTCGGGAATGCAGCCGGATCGCTACCCGGCTTCTCGGTCTCCTTCTGCCACGCCTAGACATATGCAGGGGAGCGAGGATGCTCAAGAGTACAACGTCGAAGCACACGAATCACGCAGCGGGCTGCCATCGCATTACTTCAATGACGACTACTACAATGACTACGGTATCGAGGGATCTGGCGACGATAAGGAGTCGGCCGATTACGTCCTCGAGCACGTCAACCAGCATGGCCTTGGTCAAGACTCTAATGGTTTCCTTGACCACGAGACGGACTATGCCAGCGACCTGGAGTACGAAGAATACGACGGTCTGGCCGAGGATCTTGACGAACAGCAACTCTCAGGAGAAGATTACTTTGGCGACGATGAAGAGGACGCAGTATATGAGGCTGAAGGCCAAGACAACGAGGAGTCGGATGAATCTGACAACGACGACGTCGACTGGGCAGCTCAAGTCGATCCGCGCTGCTATCGTTTGGACCTCCCAGGTCTGGACCCGGACGAGCCAATTTACAAATCCCCGTCTCCCGAGGAGATTGAAAGACGATACAACGCTTTCCTTCCTAATTGGAACGGGATGAACTGGCAGGCACCCGTCAGGAACCCTCTTTCACCATCTGTTTCGCCCAGAGCCAGCATTCGCCGAAGCGGCAGCAGAGCTTCTAGCATCATCAGCATCTCCAGTAGTGAGAGCGAGTCTAGTGTTCTTAGTCTTCTCGACGATTTCAGCAGCGAAAGCAAGTCGAGCGTTGAGTTCCTCGGCGTATCACCCGTTAAGTCTAGCAATGACGCCAGTCATTGCAGCGATGCTACACTGAAGGAGGATTCCGAGTATGAGGAAGAAGAGCAAGATGACTTCAAGTACCGCCCTGTCCCTATGCAAGATCTTGAGGAGCAGAAGAATACCGATGCTAGCGATTTCGGACGTATGCCTGTTCTGGTTGACTCAATCGAGGAGCCTACACGAGAGGATCCTGCACGAGAGCACGTCGACCGGGGATGCAACAAGCGGAAGCGGGAGAGCAGCGTTGAGTTTCTCTTTGAGTTCCAACGCAACGTTCGACCCAGGCAGCATTAAGTCTTTGTTGGTTCATCACACCGATGCCAGGGGCGTTTGGCGGCTCATTCCGCTACCCGGGCGCTTTGGCAGGAGCCACTTCCGGCAGCCCCTGGCTCGGACAACCCGACTTGTTCTAGCCTCACTCCTCGGTCGTTGCACCTTCCCACACCTTCCCGGCAGCGAAATAGTACTTCTTGCTTGCAACCTCATCGATCAATTGCACATCCCAACTCGTTTTTCACAAGCAGTGTTCGCCTCTTCGCACCTCTCAGCCTTCTCTCCCGCTTCGGACCCTTCTCTCTTTCCGGAGTCGTGAGACACGGAATCAACCGCCATGACTTGTGTGTCTCACAGACCCCGACCGGCAATTTCAATGCGCCAGCGACCTCACGATGGGAAAGGAGCCGCGTGGCAGGAACCACGCCTTGCATCAGACTACTTGGCTACAGCACCTCCGCCATCCAGACTCAATGTCACCAAGGATGGTAGGCCAAATTACAATGGTCGCTACGAACCGCCTGGCACGAACCGCAAGAGGGAACAACCCACGCGCGTCAAGCCTACTCGTTCTCCACAACACAAGGAGGAAGAGAACACGGCTGTGAGTTTGCACGGATACGGCATAGGCAGATGCTGTCTTCTTCGGGCTAGCGTACTGAATGACACCCGGAGGGTTCAAAATCGGACAATCAGCCCAGTGGCCTTGATCATCTTACACTTTTCTACTTGATTTTTTTTATCACTATATGTCTGTGTCATCGGGCCAAGTACTAATCGAGCACGAACAGGAGGATGGGTTCCATGCACGTCCGTCCATCAAACTGCCTATTCCTGATCACATCAAGGCAATGCTTGTCGACGACTGGGAAAATATCACCAAGAACAACCAGCTGGTCCCGCTCCCTCATCCTCACCCCGTTGATGATATTCTGAACGACTACCTCAACTACGAGCGTCCCAACCGGGAAGATGGTTCTGCAAACATGGACATTCTCGAAGAAGTCGTTGCTGGTCTTCGCGAGTACTTTGAGAAGTCTTTGAGCCGAATCCTTCTGTACCGGTATTTGAGGCACTTGCCCCTTGCTTTGATGCAGGCCAGCTAACAGACCATAGGTTTGAGCGCCCTCAGTACCATGAGATCCGCAAGGTTTGGGAAAAGGCTACGGAGAACGATAAGCACAAGTCTGTATGCGACACGTACGGTCCGGAGCACTTGTGCCGCCTGATGGGTATGTCTACTCAATCGATTGGCCTGTATGGTTGCTAATTCAAGTAGTTTCGCTGCCCGAGCTCGTTGCCCAGACAAACATGGACCAGCAGTCCGTTTCCCGTTTGCGTGAGGAACTCTCCAAGCTTACTGTCTGGCTCGGCAAGAATGCGAAGACCTACTTCGTCAGCGAGTACGAGACTCCTTCTCAGGAGTACATCGACAAGGCCCGGAGTTTCTAGGCACCCAGACCTGATCCTGAATCATCCTCAACCGAGCGGCCCTTCTCTTGTTGAAGGCTGTTCGTTGTTTTAACTCGATTCCTTTTACGTCTTTGGTCTCTCGCGGCATCTGCCCAAACAGGTCTGGCGGGATATACTCCTGGAGGGCATGAAAGGACAACATCTTTGTACGGTTTGCTAGCATCGGGCTCACTCAACCGGTATGAAGGGTTGGGACAGATACATAATCTTTTTTTTCCCCTGCAGAGCAACCCTCGGGAACTCTTGCCCTCTAGACTGGCGAGGGAATGGGCCAGAATTCATGACATGCCTCTTACATCACTATTCACGGTTCCCTAATTCAAGCAGGTAGTCATCAACACGACTAGCGGTATAGTAAATGATTACGGGCTTGAGTCTCTTGGCGTTTTAGTGAACTTTTTGATTTATTCCGCGCAAACGGCCTTGTCTGCGTATGCTGTTGTACATTTTGCCATGATTTTGTACAGGATCTCTGATTTTTCTTCGTGGTGATGGTACACAAATCGACCTCTGCCCCAAGTCCGTCGCGGGCTCCTCTGGTGTCGAGGGTGACCCCTTCTCCCCTGTATGAATGCCGACACGTGTCCATACACGATGCCAATCCGTCTCCCCTTCCTCAGTCTCGAATCCTTCTCCCCCTTTCGCCACTCGGGGCTCGCTATAGGCAAACTTCACCGCGCAACGGCCTTCTCGACGTAGAACCCCGGGTCCGGCCTCCGCAGCTCGCGCAGCTCGGGCTGGGTCATGGCGCGGTCGACCTCCTCGACGCGAACGAGCTCCTTGACCTTGAGGATCATACCGGCGAACTGGGGGCTGACGGGGTGGAAGACGGTCTGGGAGCGGCGGTGCAGGCCGAGGGCGTCGAGGACGCCACGGGTGCTTTTGGGCAGGCCGATGGCGGAGCGGTGGAGGGTGACGCGGAAGAAGGACATGGTGGCGGTCGTTTTGCGGTCTGACGGGATGGGCTTCTCGGGGTTTGCTCGTAGGGATCGGTTTGCGCCGCGATCGCGATCGTTCGTTCGGTTTCGTCCAAGGGTCTTGGTGGTCGCTTCTACGGGGGTTTGCTGTTGGCTAACTGGATCGAACGGCTTTCAGAGCCAGGGACTTACTGTTGATTCTCTTGCGGCGGAGTCTGGTGGTCCGTCTCGCGATGTCGTGGGATTTGGGCTTCTTCAGGGGACCGACCTACTCTCGAATAGCTACTAGACGGGCCTTGCACTTTGTGATTGAGGGATCCAAAATTCAATGCTGCTGTTGGAATTTCGATGGTCCGTGCGTTGGCCACAGCGGAAGTTGCCGGGCGTGTTCAACTTCGTCCGTTTGGTGTGCTACTATGGTTCCACTTTATTTAATCCCTGGGGGTGGTTATAATTGCAGTGCTGCTCGGTGAGGATATGACAATGAGGCCAGAAATTACATCGAAAGCCATTGCGCCCGGCTTGAAAATTAACGATAATGAATGAGTAATCATAGACTACAGCTCGAATTGGCTTCCTGTGCAGGCGATGAGACTAGACTATAGCTTGACTGACAAGTCCAATTCGCAGATTCCCCAAAGCCCAAATTCAATTGAGGGATGGAGACTGCCAGACTAGGTTTATCCATAATAACGACCCTGAGTTCGAAAATCTAAAGCAGCAACACGTTATACGTCTTGGCAGTGTCTCTGGAACAGGAAACACTGCACGCGCTTAGTTGATTCCAATCCCAAAATACGCAAGAGATGTATCTTGTATAGTGTAGATTAAACTCAATTGCATGGGCTAAACCAGAAACATGTTATTATCCAATAGTTCGTGAACCACTGGGCTTACACTCGACTTTCTCTGAAAAATTTGCCTCGACTTTCGCAAACTTTGTTCCGTGACGTTGAGCCGAGTTGTTAAGTTCACTAGGCTCTATATTGCCCTGATCGAAAGCCGCGTGACTCTATGGGAGGAATACAAAGGATCGAATTACCATGGCACACCGGCGACACCATTGTCCCAATTTTAGGGTGAGATTATCCCTTGCTTTGCTTTCCTTAGCTTGACTCTATCACGTACTTTTAGTGTTGGTTGCTAGCCTGTCTAGGTTGACGACATTGACTGAGATAAGTAGCCAGTTGAGAACATTGTATTAAGAGCCTGATCGATGACTGCGTTATAAGTGCGGTAACGGCCATACCATAGTAAAAAATACCTCAGGTTGAAATTAAGTAGAGTTTCCTATATTATTAAGGCTTAAATTAGGTAATGTATTACCATTATCCCTATAGAGGTTATTATCCTCACCGCTTTCCCTTTTCTCTAAGCTAAATAAGCTTTATTTCCCCTCACTTCTATCTATATTATTATTTCTTATTAAATTACTATAAATAATTACTATAATTACTTATACCTCTATAATAAGTAACTAATAAAGCAAAAAAGAGCTTTTTATTAATATAAAGGGCTCTATTATTATTTAACTAATTACCCTAGCCTCTACTACTAATAAATAAAAAAACCTACTATATTAATTAAAAAAAAAGCTAATAAAGAAATAATAGCTTAATAAAAAGGTTACTTAAGATATTACTAAAGTCTATAATAAAAATAATAACAAAAAATATAACAAAATTAATAACAAATCCTTAAGTAATATATTACTTTTTCTTAAAGATTTATCTAATTAATAAATACTAATATACTCTTATACTATTTAGACTTTAAAGCTTACTTATTACTTTATAAAAAAGCTTTTTAATTTATACTATAATAAAAACCTTAATACTAATAAAGCTATTATAAAAAAGCTAGTCTTTAAAGATCTTATAGCATAAATCAATATTAAAAGCTAATTTACTAGTCTTATAACTAATAAATAAATAAAAAATAAATATAATAATAAAAAAAAGAAGTTTTTTATTTAAATATCTATTACCTATAAGTCAAGTAATATATTTAATAAAAATAATAAAAAGGTCTCTTATAGTAATAAAATAAAAGAGAACTTCTTAATTACTTACTTAAAGCATAAATAGGTTTTTAAAAAAGGGTTAAGACTACTAGATCTATATAAAAAGATATAAGGTATAAACACTAAAAAAAACAGCACTATATCATCAATTAATAAGGTTATATATAACTAAAAGACTAACTCTAAGGCAAATAAAAATAAAAAAGACAATAGAAACAATAACAATAACTTAAAAGATATATAAGAAAATTAATCTCTTTATATACTATTATAATCATTTACATCATTTCTTAATACTCCTACATTTTCATAAAACCAGCAATCTAATAAATAATTCTAGTAATAATATATTCCTATTAATAACAGTAAATCACTAAAAAAAAGACTTACTACTACTAAAACTAATACTTATATTAATAAATTAATATAAAAGCTTAAGAATAAATACTCTAATAATAAAAAAAAAATACTAAAATTAAAGCTATAAAAAAAAGAAAAAAAAAAAGCAATTATTATAAAAAAAAGCTAAGGTTAATAAAGCAATAGAAGACCTTATAAGGTTTAAAAAAGATCTTAATTATAACGTTTATTTAGTTATTTTAAACTAATTAATAATAATAAAAAAAAAACTAATAATTTTAAAAGTAAAATATTAAAATTTACTACTAAGCAATAAGTTAAAGAAAGTATATTATATAAAGGTTTATAAACAAGAAATTAAGTACTAGTAGTAAAATCTTTTTATTTATAATAATTCTTTATAGTAATCCCTAGTACTAGCCTACTTATAGAAATATTTCTTAAGTAGTATTCTTATTTTCTTTTATAGTATTTTCCTTAACTATTAGACTATAGTTCTCTTCCTAAAGCCTTATTAAACTACAATTCTTTTCCTAAAGCCTTTCATAGTATTACTTAAATATAAGCTTTTATATAATAGTTAAGCTAGTTTTTCTTTTTTCTTTATTTAAACTAAAACTAAAACTAAATAGCTCTTATTTAAAAGACTAAAAAGACTTTAAAGAAAATTAATAATAGTACTAGTCTTTACTTATTAGCTTTATAATAAAAAAAATAAACTTAATATAGTCTATATTTTTCTTTATAATAATAACTCTTTTAATATAAATAGTAACTAACTAAATAACTAAAAAGATATAAGTTAGTTATTATAGTAATTAATTATAGTAATTATATACCTTTAAATATAGCTATAAAATAAGTCTTAGTAGCCTCTTAAAGTGTAAGAATAGCTGTCTTCTAAAAGTAAAAGTTATTTTATTAAAAAACATTATATATAATCTCTTTATAAAAACGTTAAAAGGGTACCTTTACTATCAGAAGGTTAATTAACTTCTAATACTTACAAATTTCACAAAAAACAATAACTAAAAGTAAATTAGTATTATAATAATTACTTATAGTAATCAAACAAGTACTTACTACTAGCCTTCTAATATCTTTTCTTTAAAGGAATAACTATAACCTTCTTAAGCGTTTTTTTAGTAGCCTTCTTAGCCAAGGGTTTCTTTACTAAAGCTTTAATAGTAAAAGACTTTTTAGTACTATTCTTTTTTATAAAAGGCTTTTTAGTACCCTTTTTTAAAAAATACTTATAAAAAGCTTAGGCTACTAGTATTATAATAGGTCTAAATAATTAGTAATTTTTAAAAAAAATAAAATAAAAAAAAAATAACTTATAAAAGTTATTATTATTATTATTATTATTATTAAAAAAAAAAAGTAAAGTTAAAAAAAAAAAGAAAAATAAATAAAAAAATATAAGTAAAGTAAATATAATTAATAGTTAAAAAAGGTATAAAAAATAAAGTAATTTATAGTTATTTTACTTATTATTTTTAACTTATTTTCACTTTTTCTTTTTTTTTAACTTTACTTTTTTTTTTTTAAAATAATAATAATAACTTTAAAAAAAAATCAATTTAAAAATAAAAAACTAATTATTTTATTTATTCTAAAAGTATTCTAACTTTTATTTAATTTCTTACTTACCATTAAAGATATTTTCCTCTTAGCCTTTATAAGGTCTATTTATATTTATCTATTTATAATAATTAATTATAATAACTTAACTAATATTTCTCTAGGCTACCTACTAGGCTCTAGTGCTAGCATAAAGTAAAAAGCTAATAACAACTACTCTAAGAATATATATACTAAAAAAGCTTATAAGTATATTAAGGAAATAACAAAAGAAATAAAAAAGCTTAAGAGGGCTAAAAAGTCCTTTACTACCCAAAAAAATCATAAACTAACTACTCTTAAAAAGTCCTAGCTATATATTAATAGTATAGCTTTAATTAAAGCTAATATAAAAGCTAAAGTAATTAATAATATTACTACTATAACATAAATAACCTTCCTTTTATCTATTTTATACTTATTTTTAACCTTAAAAATAAATAAGCAAAAAGTAACTATTTAAGAATTATTACTATATAACTTAGTCTTTATTAAACCTCTTCTAAGAGCTAAGCCCTTATTTAGGTTAATAATAATAATTAAGTTATCTAAAATAATAATAATAATAATAACTAAAAAAAAATTCCTTTTCTTAGCTTAAAAGAATAAATAAAAAAAAAGCTAACTAATCTTAAAGATTACTATAACTTTAAAGTTAATTCTTTTTCTATTAAAAGCATTAATATTTAACAAAAGATATAAATACTTATTACTAAATATAAAAAAGTAAATAATTACTATAAAAAATTATTATAAATTACTAATAAAACTAAGATCTTATCTACTAAAAGTACTACTATATAACTAACTACTAGTATATAGCTCTTAACCAGCTTTTTACTAAGGTCTATTACCTGAAAGTTTAACCTTCTATTTACCTTAAAGTTACTTCTAAAGCAGGCTTTCTTTAGCCTAGTTAAAGTCTACCAGCTACTATAAATATCTTTATAAAAGAAAAATCTCTTCTTTAGTTAGTCTTAACTAAGTATTAAAAAGTCTTTACTTCTAAAGACTATAAGCTCTTAAAAATTATCTCTTATTTCTACTAAAAAAAGAAATAAATAAAATTAAAATTTTATAACTAATAAACTTTACTAATTAATTATTTTTTAAGCAATTTACTCTCTAATATTACCCTACTATAAGTTAATAAAATAAAAGTTTCCTTTATACTATTTAATATTACTACTTAACTTAAGACTTTAAGCTAACTATTAAGCAATTAATTAAAAAAGTAAACTAATTACTATAACTAATTACTATAAATTACTAATATAAATATAAGTTTAAGGCTCTTTTACTTTATCCTCTTAAAAAAAGATTCTTTTTAATCCTATAAAAATATAAAATAAAGTTACTCTTAACTTAAAAATAACTATAAAATTTAGTTACTTAATAATAAAAGCTTTTAAGCCTCTATAAAAGGTTTTACTGCTTTATTTTTAGCTTTAGCTACCTATTAAAGTATACTTAACCTCTTAAAAAGAGGTTTCTAGTATAACTTATAAAGCTATATAAGCTTATAACTTTAATTTCATTAAAGAAATAACAAAAAATATTTAAAAAAAAAAGTATAAATTATAGTAATTAGTTATAATAATTCCTATTTCTTTTATACTTACTACTATTCCCACATTACTTTAGCTATCTTCTTACAAATTTATCCTATACTTTAACCTAAATACCACCTATTAACTTTTTCATTAACTTTATTTATATTAGACTAGTTTTCTATATTACTATTATACCCCTTATCCTTAATATAATAAAATAAAAAGTTATATAAGCTTATTACTATATAAATAATTTATACTTATATATTTAAGCTATACTTTAAAGCTAAAAAAGCAATTATCTTCTACTTCTATTTTAAGTAACTAAATACCTACTTAATAATTATTTAAAGATAACTATACTAAAAATTATATAACTCTTAAGCTATTTCTAATAGTTTATTTATATCCCTAAAATCTTATAAATAATAACAAGTTTTTAAATAAAAAATAATAATACTATTCTAAACACTAAACCCTATATCCCCTAAAAAATACTAGCCTTTAAAGACTTTAAACCCTTTAATATTTATAAAATTAATTAAATTAACATTATAAATTAACCTTTTAGCTTTAATAAATATAAATAAAAAGCTATTATTAAAATAAACAATAATAAAAACATTTTAAGAAACTATTCTCTTTTAACTACACTACTTCCTTTAAATAATAATAAAAATATATACACTAATAAGTATACTATTAATTACTCTAATATAACTAATAAAATATTTACCTAGTTTTTTATTACCTTTAATTTCTCTTAAGACTTCAGCTTCTCTATAAAAAATAATATATACCTTATAAAGCTTTACAAAATATAATAAAACTTCATTTTAGACTAAAAATATAATTAATTAACTAATATAAAAAAAGTAAATAATAGCCTATTAACTAAAATTACTACTATAAAATAAAATAAATAAATAAATAAGTACTTTTTACTTAATAAAGAAGTTTTAAAATAACTATAAAAATATATTATTTATAAGTTATTTTAATAATACTTAAAATTACTATTTACTAAAATAAAAAAAGTATAAAAAATAGTAATTTAAACTAAAAAAAAGCTTTTAATATATTTAATATATAATTATAGTATTACTATTATTAATAACTTTTTTCTTATCTTTATTTTTATTAGCTTAATATCTTATTATAATAATACTAAATATAATTACTATAATAAAATAATTAAATTTTATAATAAATTATTTATAATAATTAATTATAATAATAAGTAATAAAAAAGTAATTTTTAAAGTATAATAATAACTATAATAATATTAATATAAGTTTTAAATATAATAAGAATTTATATAAAAAAATAAAAAATAACTAATAATTTATACTATATAAAATCTCTTTTTATTAAAGTATATAGCAAATATATAATAATATAAAATTCTATAATCTAGAACTATAATCATAATATACCCTCTTATTTTAGGCCTAATACAACACAATTTAAGTTTAAAGGGTACTTATAGCTAGTGTTATTACACATTTAAAATTCTTATTACACATTTCAGTTCTTACCGCAGTCATCGATCACGCCCTAAATCCAGTCTTTCCGAACCGTGTTGACTGCCTAGATCTACTGTCGCCGGCAAGTACACAGTCGTTATTTACTTAGATTATCAGGCTAGATGATATTCCGTAAGCTCCATCTCATCATTTCGAACCGCTCTTACCACCCAGTTCCCAGTTTCAGGGTTCATCGCCGCTCTCCATTTCTTGTCCTTTACATCCGACCTTGCCATGCCCCTTTTCCATATCTTACCGTCAAACCCTTTCTCCTGACGTATCTTCGAAGCGATGCCAAGAAGCTCACTCTTGTCAAGGATTGCAGCCAGTGACAGCAACCCCTGAGGCTCCTCAGTCAGGATGGATGGGGTGCCTTGAAGACGGAAGAACACAAAACCGACGGAGCACAACGCAATGGCCAAGAACGTGATGATAACATAAGCGACCCAAGAAATAACGAAGAGGCGCGTTGTAGGGACGAAGGCCGTTCCGGTAGCAGTCTCAAGGTCCGGGAGTGGGTCAAAACCGTGAATCGCAACTGCGTTCAAGTAAATGGCTGTAAAGACTTTTGGGATCGCCTCCATCAGCGCGTCTGATCCCAATCGATTTGAAGGCTGCGCTCGCTGCGTATAGTACAGTATCAAATTGCCCATATCTGATGTAGACCACTTTGCCTGTGGGTTGAAGGTCACTGGCCCAAGAATTCCTTGTTCGAAGACCCTCCACAACTTCGGGCGGCTGGTATCCGGCTCACTTGTTTCAACGAATGAGGCGACGGTTGGAACATCCTTTGATGGCGAGACTCTCAGGGTCCCTGCAACTTGGCGGTATCCGGTTGCACAAGAGATAACGCTGATGTCATCAATGTTATTGGGCGCCGAATCAGAATACTTGGCGGCTGTGAAAACCAGACGACTGTAATATGCCTGGGCAGAGCAGTCGAAATCCACAGTCGTTTTAAGGTATATCTCCTGCGTCTTGACGACTGTAAAGCTCTGCTTGAAGTCGCAACCTCTGTCGTTCCCGGATACTTCGACCGAGTCCCCACTAGATGTGATGGCGTAATCCTTGACTAGCTCGCAGTTGAGGTAACCTGAATATGCTGTCGTATTTGCCGCCATGTCTGACTTATTGGCTAGTAGAGGATCAACGACAAACGGGCGAAACGCGCGTTCTTTGTCTGTCCAGGGGATGCTGTTGCCCCCGTAAAGCAGTGTCGCCGATACCGTGTCCAAAACAGGCCGCCAGTCCAGAGTGGCGTTGATGTTGTCGATGTTGTAGGCCTTGTTGTAAGTGATCGGAGCTGGCTCAGACAATGTCACGCCTTGTGCTACGAACAAACGTGCAGCGAGGGGTGCAATCAAGTAGGTCAGAAATAGGGAAAGCATAGTCATCGAGCCGACGGTGAAATGGGACTTTTGAAAGGCTCCCCACCAGCGCCAGACGGTGGCGACAACGCGGTAGTCCAGAAGGATCGACTTCCTGGCTTCCGCGCCGCCATCCTTGCGCAGCTCGACGTACGGCTGTCGCTCTGCAAGCGATGCGGATATCCACGCCCAGTACGCGCCGAAAAGAGAAAATACAAAACTAGGGAGGGAAGTCCAGAGTACACCCAGGTTCCAAATGAGGCTGACGATATCAGAGTTTTGACCTGTGGAGGCGATGCTGTCTGTTGAGACTGTGACGAAGCCGTTCTTCTGAGATGATGCAATGGTTAAAGCGATGATGGTGATGGCAAGGGAGACGTCGAAGACGGCGAATGTTAGGAGGTATGGCCATCGTAGACAGCGGGCTAGCCAGCCGTAGGGACGTGAGGGAGACTCCTGACTCTTGCCCGACATGGTTAATTAGTAGCAAGCAAAGTTGTCGTCCTCAGTGGATCGAAAAATGATGAGAGATTCAAGACATGCTCAGGTCGAAATCCTCGGACAGATATTATCTACCTGACTGGAAGCGTTTAAGCCAGAGCAATACTAGAAAACGGAACTTGCTGAGACCTGTTTGGCTAGCTGCCTCGATTCCAGCCTGCAAGGCGTACTTTGGCGTCACGCGAGCAATGTCGTTGGAGTACTTGGAGACTTAAGCCTCAGCTGAATATTTGGCTCAAGCCACGCTGGACGTAGACTGGCCCATCGTTCTGCTTAGATCACTATGACCCTGAATTATCGTTGTTGGCTTGGCGACCGCGTCAAGCCACATCCGCCTAGAGCAGCCTCAATACGGACTTTGTAAGTGGAACTGCGCCTTGCTAGGCATAGTTGCCGACGCCGTGGTCCACCTTTTGAGCTCAGCCCTGGCTCACATCAGGTTCCGTTGACTTGCATTTAAGATCAAGGAGTGTAGGCTTGTTGAAAGTGAAAAATGAGAGCAGCAACATCAAACAAAATGCACTCTTCTCTGCGACTTATTGCTACCCTCGCCGCTCTTTTGCGTGTTTGCCACGGAGCAAATTTTACTCCACCAGACTGCGTCGGTGACATCAAAGAGTTCCCTAACTGCGAGAAAGCCGATGCCATCGCTAGAAAGTGCAGTAATCTCTCAAAGCAAGAAACCATCAAGTGCTTCTGCACGCAAGAGCTTTTGAATGCCTACGTAGGGTAAGCATATTAAGTATCGTTATAAGTTTCGATGACGTTGACTAACTATCCCAGATGCAAAGGCGAATTCAGGCAATGCGTTCTGGGTAATTCATTCGACAGCGCTTCTGATGACCAGATCGCACAATGGCAAGATGCGTGCGGGCCTTATCTACCGGCCGATATCACGACGCCAATTGCTCCCACCGCAACGAGGACGTTGGACGAGGACAAGTGCAAAGCTGCTGCTGAGAGCTGCGCCCAGCTGAGCCAGTCCATTACTTCGTGTTCTTCTGCATATACCAAACCGGCGGAGCTCACAAGCTGTCGGTGCCAGGAGTCGCTTGTTTCTCTTGCCTCGGCGTGCGATCTTGATGGCCGGCAGACCTGTCTCGGAGTAGCGTTGACGACGACGAACATTTGGGAATTTCGAAACTGCGAAGTTGCTACTAGCGTTTTGCAGACTGCAAAGGTATTTCTTGTAACACTAGTTTCAAATACTCAAATACAAAAAAACTAATTGTTGAATAGGACACAGGTCACATCACGAAGGCGGCAGTCGCTTCTACCGCAAAAAACACGGCTTCTACTACTTTGACTTTTGGGTTGAGCTCTACTGCTACGACGACTAAATCTAGTAAGGCGGCGTTTGCATACCACAACATAAGCTGGAGTGCTATTGCTATACTCTTTCTAACATTTATTTATTTGTTGTTTCGTTAAAGCAAGCCCCTAATATGCTAAGTATTCGATATTTGATAATGCCGGCGCTTTCATTAAATAGTTATAACTAGTCTATATTCTCTACTTTACATCCAGTTCCGTTCTTTTCAATTAGATCACAGCGCTTCTGGAACAGACCTAGTCACGCCTTCGTACAACGTCAGTTTTGCAGTTCCAATAACCCGATTGTATGGGCCTCTTGATTCTGATTAGGTGAAAAAGTAGAAGCTGAGATGGGCGGCCTTCACAAATCGCAAGGTCAGAGAGAGACTGACAGCAGGGGAACGGTGTCACGGCGCCGTGGTCTCGTTGTATTATGTTACGCTGTATGAACATTCAACCGCCAAGCCCACACCGTTTACACACAAGCTGTGCGGTAAACCTACTCTTTGGAGAAACAATGTTGAAAATCTCGCAAGGCTGACGTCTCTGATAGAGGCAAACATCATTGCCTTGGAAAAATGATTCGGTACACAAATTATGACTTGCTGGTAACTTCAGGAAGCAAGTGCCATTTTCCGATCGTAGGACTAGCTCCGATGTTGTGGATACCCTTGTACGCGTGTTACCGCAAGAGGATTCTCGAGCATCGATTCCGTAGTGAACGACTTTGAGTTCACAGCCACGATTCTTCTCAGCAAGTTGCGCTTTGAAGTGCAACATACGCCACTAGTCACGCTGAGGTTCTGGTATCGGTTGGTAAGCTGCTCCATCGTCGCTAATTGTTCGAGGTTTCCATGGAAAGACACAGTGCGCATGCCATCATGCTGCCAGTGTGTTCAAGAATACAAAGCAAAGTTCATCGTCTCAACGCACCCTGGCCACCCACGACTCCCACCCTGCACGTCTTCGTGCCATAACATGCAGTCAACCAAGGACGATAATCACTAAGGACGTATTTCATCGATTTGTCTTCCTCTTGTAAAAAAAAAACTGCTTTTACCCGAGTTCATCGGTCATTACGAGCGCTGTTGAAAAACGAAACAGGGTCATCAACTACTGTTTGGGCCCCTTATTGTGCCCGGCATAGTCATGGGTTATGAACTGTCTGCGTGCGCGAGAATACTACCAACCCTACGTTAGTCGATTCCAGTCCGTTCGTATAGAAGTTCGGATAGCTTGAGCCGGTAATGTGTAGGCTTTCAGTCAAGCAAACATACACGTTGCTTTAGCCGCTAGCTGGGACGAGTGTCATCCGTTCGTCATCAGTTAGTTTTGTCTTTCTTCCAAGTAGTCCTTCTCCTGCGTGTGGGTCCTGACCATGTTGGATCGTAACGTCTAGCAATCGTGAGAGAGACTAGTACACCTTAGGCTTCTAGAGCAGTACTAGAGCAGGGCAACGATACGACACAAACATGGATCAAAACTCCGCGTTACCATTGTTCCTACCTAAGTGACCTTGCAAGTCAGAAAAAAGTTAGGAATATTTTCCCATGTATATTTTGATCAATAAACTGATTTCGAAAGCCCCCACCAGTTTCAAATCCTCCTATAAATCCCACTATACGAAGTCTTCATACACTGCCTTCTTTCTAAGTTTCACTTCAGGGCATCTTGTTCCACTTCATCCTGATCCTGAATGCTAAGTACTCGCGCGTCCCTGTATAGTTATACACCCACGGTAGCTGAGACCTTCTCTTTGTTGCTTGATGTCCTCCTATAAAAGCACCCTACCTGGTGGTATCTAGGACGAAGCCAACAGACGAAAAGGTACTCAGGACAACTGGCATAGCCAGCACAATTGCAGATGCTAGATCGTCGATGAAGACCATCACCAGACACGTACCTGCTGTCGTTGCTGCAAAGATCCAGGCCACATGCCTTCGTCCGAAACTTGTGTGCCACAACAAGCTAATTGTGTTGATCCAGAAGAACACCTGGAGACAGACAAGTTGGGCGATTTGATATTCGCATGACGGGTTATGTGTTAAGAATTTCGAACGATGGGGGGGTGGGCTTCGCCAGTCTGTCGGGTCGCAAAGCTGTATACTAAAGGTCAGAATGAAGACGAAGGGAATCGGAGACCTGTTTGCTCTTACGGGAAACTTGGTCGCCCGCATCTCCAACCCTGTCGGAACAAAGTTCCTAGCGGTGATTAAGATACCGAATGCCATGAACCATGCAAGGACGATTTGGGAAAATGCAGATGTTCTCTCCAGCGAGAACGAAAATCGTCTTCTGGGCTCGCCATTCTGGATAGTCTCCCCACTCTCTTGGTGACAGGCTTTGCGATGACACTGTAATGAGCTCTTTTCCATCGGCAGCTGAGCGAGATCCCCACTTGGTAACAAATGTGTAATGCTTTTATACATGACAAGCCTGACCGGCGGATTGATAGAATAGGGATTTTGTCGGTTTGGGAACTGTGCTGCAGGTGTTGGTAGAATCGTATGAGTGCGAAATCCGCAATCGTGTTGTACGTCCGATATGAGAGGCAATGGGATGGGCGAGGGTTGGCGGATGAGAGAATTGAGATTTGGGGGGTTGTTCCGACCCCTCACGGGTTGGTGCAAGGGATCATAGTGAATCCGTTGGACGCCTCACTCGGGCTGCCATAATTGACCATAAACAGACTGAGTAGTCTTGCCTAGAGAAAGTGCAATTATGCCTTGCTCGTTTCCAATTCGCCCATCAAGCCTCTGGGGGCGTCCAAGCAGAGGATGAATACGCAATGATGCATCGTTGTGAGACAAGGCATCTACGCCCTTGAGGGATTTTACACTTACTTACCTGGCGAACCATGGCAAACCATGGCGAACCATGAACTTGTAGCCGGCTCGACTGATATTCAAATGGAGAACCAAACTGGACTGAATCCCCGCCTGCTGCCAAACACCTGTCCGCAATCATTCACGTCTCTTTACAGATTCTCACTTGCTAATCAACATCCTCCTCTTTCCCCCACATGTTGTTCTGCTGTACCATAAAACTAAGCAAGACGCATTGCAAGCCACTCATCCACCTAGAACTACTTCGTCCTCCCTGTTAACGTATACACACTTAACTGGACCTCACGATTCATTATCGGAGATCCATCTCTGCAGATCAATGCCTTTGAGCACTGGCGAAATTGTCTTTGACCTAAAGACGGTTATCGCTTTTGTTACTCTTACTTTCGCAACACAAGAAGAAAGACATCCGTGGACTTTGACGGCCTCTTTCATGTAGGTTGCCATCGGGGCGTACTCAAACGCGCGACTATACTAATTCATTAATCCAACCAGCTGCCTCTTGCTCTGGATTTCAATCGCTACAGGGCTTTTTTTCTACTACCGCGTCTTTCTGCTCAGGTACCACGTGTTCAAAGCACAGAAATCGTCTTACCACGAACGAGATCTAATTCTACATGTGTAGACAACGCTTCTGGAGCGCCGTCTCAGTTATCTTACCGACTCTTATCTGGGCTGTATTCGTCTATACGCAAAACATCAGCATCGGCCTGGCCTTCCACTTCCTCCCCATCTGCATCGAAGTCGGCTTCATCTCCCTTGCGTTTTCCTATAAGGAAGAACCTACACAGCCAGTTGACGATGGCGACAGCCGGTCTGCAGCAGGGTTCAACACCTCAGCTCGAAAATTCTCCTTGGGGGCAGGAGTGTACGTGCCGTCATAAAATAGAAAAGACCCACTGTCCGCCTAACCGAAGTCGGGCACGAGGGCCAATATATACCTCTCCTGCTTCTCGTAAGGACTTTTCTCGTGGTCCAAGCCTGAAAAGTGGGAAGCTTTGGAGCCCCGATGACGATCCACCATTCTCACGTCGCTGCGACACTCGCAATGCTCTTCGCTCTTCTGAGCCATGCATGTTATTCGAAGGCAACGAGGAGGTGATGATCAGGCAGCCCGAGATGCGTCCCATCAGCCAGGAGCAGCTAGTTGCCGAAGTCAAAGGTATCTATGCAGGTCTTGTTATAGTCGAGAGCAAGTGTATCGAAGTCGATAATGCTCAAAGCTCTACCAAGCACACATGCCCTAAACTCGACAACGAGCAGTCGCAGGCTCTCATTGCCGTACACGGAACTTTGCTACATGAGCATCACGATTTTTTCTTGGCATCGCAACATCCTTCTGCTAGTCCGGCCCTTCGTCGTTCGGCAAGCAAGTTGATACCATTTTTAACATCAGAATGGCCATTAGAGACGATGATCTCGAAGTTCCTGAGGTGTGGACGTCAGTGAGTCGACACTGGTATTCCAAAGCAAGCGACAAGGCGCCCACAACTGGCCGTCTCTACCATCACTTGGAGATTTTGGCACGCCCGAGTGCACTACAGGAATTGTCTCGATTCACGAAATTTCTTGGTGCTCTCCCACCTTTTCTCTCTGATCGAGAGTCCATCATGACTCTGCTCGAGCCGCAATTACTGTCTCATACTAATCGACCTCCGGAAGTTAACGCCGCGTTTAGAAGAGCTCATGAGATTATTTTCAATTATCAGCATGAAAATAGATCTATGCCGAAGTCTATCGACAACCTAGAGAACCACCTCAATCGATCCACCCGTCGTTGGATGGAATGGGGTGGCTACTCCATTGCAGATGCGTTAGACGTAGCGTATCTGGAATCAGAAGGTTATATACCCGAGAACGACACCAACAGTGTGTGGTCTCACCAACAAGACGCCAACGCCTTAAATTTCGAGAGGCAAAGAGACATTGGTCTTAGCCAGTGCCGGAAAGGCAAGATGGACAACGACGTGCTCATAGCTTGGCCAGAAGCAACTCTTTTGAAAACGTTCACGCTATCCGTGTCGGACGTCCTTGGGTACTTTGGTCAAGGGCATAGCGGCACTAGCTTTGATTCTCCACGTCCCGACGTCCAAGGCAGGTTTCCTATGCTACCAGAAGAACCCGCTTCCCAAAACCTCTTATGGAGAGGGAATTTTTTCTCAGAGAAGTGGCACACTTTGCCCCAGCGTCTTGGCAGAGCTCTTGGCTATTTGGAACACATTAGACAAGTCATGTGGTCAGCCCACGACACACTGCCTGAGGATTTCACTGCCCAAGGTTTCTTGTGGACGGAGAATCCGTCTCCCGACGAATTGTTTACGCTGCACACTATCGACACCGAGAAACTGTATCCTGATGACTCTGGCTCTCAGGCACGTCAACCGGGCTCCTCATCTTCTGCCACCGGGAGAGGTCCTCTGGATCTGAACGTCAAAACCAGGGTGGCTGCGGCAAAGCGACGAGCACACCCGAAGGGAGATACAAACGGCCCGCTGCCCCTGCTCTCTCTGCCTCGACAACGGGCCTGGCGAAAGACACTTGACAAATTTTGTCAATCGTCTGCGAAGAGAGGGGCTTTTAGTCAGCAATTTCTCATTTGACATCGTAGCCAGGCATCGATGTCACTGCCTCCGAGGAAGTGAGGTTTTAAAACTAGCAAGGCATAAAGCAAAGAGTCCGTACCTTTCCTTTCCATGTAATATCGCCGTCTCCTCCGACGTGCGAATCACCATTGGCGGCTATTTGGCCCTGCTACCCAAGACTTGGGAATACTGTTAACGTATAAGGAGTTTTCTAATCAAACCGTATCTGGAGGCGCATGTAACAAGAAGTTTAATTGACTGCTGCGAAGTCTTGTTAAAAATTAAAAATTGAATCGCGGTCTTGCGAGACGATTTATCTCTCAAACTAAGAGAGAACCTTACGCCAAGACATCCACCTTATCCATCCCATTCACGCCGTAAACGACCTTCCGCGAAACCCCCTCAACAATGTTGAAGATATGCATCAGGCGCAGTCTACCCTGATACTCATGTTCCCTACCCTTGGTCCAGGGGCCGATGAACGTCTTGAACTTTTGGCAGAACACGTAGTCGAAGCTGGTCTGGGCAGACGCCCAGACCTCATGCTATAGGCCCGGATACAGATTGCAGCCCATTCCTTTCAGTATCCTAACAAAGGTCTGGCTCGACTCGTAGGCAGCGTACTGTAGCGTGTAAGTATTATTGTCTGAGTAGCACCTGGTGCTTATGTTCTGAAACTCGGCCCATCCCCTCGGGTTAAATAAAGTTGCTAGTAGGTTATCGGTATCTCAAGAACGTTCACTGCTCTATCCATCTTCTACTAGGAATCCTTCAATAAGTCAAAAGAGAACAGAACCCATTTAATTTCTTTGGACTCCTGCAAGAGACTCGATACAAGTAGGTATGCTTGGCAGGCAGACATATACTTCAAGATAGGGAGCTCATCTTGAGAACTGTGGGCTGTTTGAGGGGACGAATCTGGCCCAAGCGTTGCCCAACTTGCTCATGAGGACCGCGGATGTGTTCAAGTATGCAAAACACAACCCATCACGGCGAAGCCCCCTTGCCATTCAGCGACTACCGCCCACACATAGCCGTGCCACGATACGCAGAGACTTCGGCGCGTGCGTACAACTACTGGAATATGCAGCCGATCCAGAATGGAGACCGGGAAGGACGCCATCTCATCATTTTGTTATTCTCTTTGTGAGATGAGTGCTCTTATCTGAGCCAATCGGTCATCACAAGCGGTGGTGGAAACCAGAGACAAAGTCCTCGACTGCTGCCTCCGTCCCCACAGTGTCCTGCGAAGGCGTTGCCTGCTTATGCGAGAAGACTGACTTCTGCAGTGCGGACTAATCTCTACAAAGCACTCCGTACTGATCTGATGAAAACGGTTGAATGATACTAGGTGCCAGCTGACTGTTTCATCTCGTCAAGACAAAGCCGATTCTCTTTGCTCTAGATGCTACGTGCTCCAAGTTCAGCTGCCCAGTTGCGAAAGCGACAATCTACCCGACTGCTCCTCGAGCCAACATGCCCTATAGCCCTGCCAGTACGACTCCCTATCTGCGCCCGAGCACTCCCCTAGGAAAGACATGCCTTGACATAGGCACAGCTCCTTACTGACCCGATGGCCGTGTCTCCCAAACAACAGAGCGCAGGTCCACCCCGCCTTCCTTCGGCAAACCGAATCTCTTGGCTCCAACTTCACCATTGGCCAAAGAAGCACAGCACCCCTAATCACCCCCAAAACCCAACATGTCTCGCGAGTTTACCGGCGGCATCCCCCTCTTGCGCAAAGAGCAGGCCCCTGGCACGGGAGGAACCATGAACTCTCCTGCACTCCACTCCATGCTGACCCGATGACCATTTCCGGGAAAAGAGCAGCCGGGACAACGACAAGAGGATGCGCTTCGGAGTCGTCACCCGAGACTGCCAGAGCGTCGCTTTCGCGCTGATGTCGACCAAAGTGCCTTTGGTTCTTGGTGAGAAACCTCTGTTCCCCATGCTTCCCAAGGACGCCTGAGCCGCGGAAAGAAACATCGTCATAAGAGTTCAGAGTTTGTTTTCATTCTTTTTTTTATTAATCATGTTCCCAATGCGGACCTACCATCCATCACCTCAAGCCCGGCGAATCGGCCAACCTTACTCAATTAGCTATTGATCGATTTAAGCTTATTGCAGGAACCCATCCGAAAGGGCTTGCAGCGGCCCGCTTTCCCGCTCTGGAAGAACAGCCGCGGCTAAGAAGCGCAGACGCGCCGTTAGTGTCTCATCTATTTGGACGGCGGGTGTCGATGCATTCTTTCAGGAACGCGCCGTGAAGCCACCACAGGGTATCATCAGTGACATCACCGACAATGTTGGGACGACAGACGGGCAAAACCATTAGTATATCCCGGAGGGACTACGCAGCACTACACGTATATAGCTTGTCGTACAAGACGCCATTTAGCACACCCTCATCCCTCGCATGACGTTAAAATCATTTACTCCATTTCTATAGCCACATCCCGTGGCAAGCCGTAACCTTCCGCCGCTAACCGTTATCCCCTTACATCTGAACCTCCACTCTGCCCTCGGCGCCTGGCGGGCCGGAGCCAAGCTGGGGGAGGATGTAGGTAATGTCGTCCCACGGGTGACGGTACAGACCAGTGCGCAGTCTCTTCTGGTCGAGGTAGTGGGCAATGAGACCGATGGAACGGCCGAGGACGAACAGACCGTTGAGGACACCCATCTTGAGGTAGTCCTCGGCCTCTTCAGAGGAGAAGGCGCCGCAGTTGCGCATGAGGTCAACAAAGCAGACAGCGATGCAGCCGTCGACGTTGAGGATAAGGTTATCCTTCTTGGAGGTGGTGACAGTCTCGACGGCCAGGGCGTAGTCGAGCAGCTTGTGGCTGGGGAACTTGGCCTTGACGTACTCCTTGACGAGCTCGACACGGAGATCGGGGTTGTTGCGGGACTTGACACGGTGGCCAATACCGGGGATGAGCTTGTTCGCCTTGCGCATGTTGTCGACGAACTCACGGGGGCTCAGACCCTTGTCGAAGGCCTTGGTGAACTCCTCGGCGGCGCCGTCAAGGGCACCACCAAAGCGGGAACCAATGGTCAACAGACCAGCGACGAGCGAGGAGATAAGGTCCTTGCCGGCACGGGTGGTGATGATGGTGTTCATGGCACCGGACACGGCGGGACCGTGGTCAGCGGTGAGCATGAGAACCATCTCGAGGAACTTGGAGGCGTAGGGGGGCAGGCGGCGACGGAACCACAGCAGAGACATGACACCGCCAATGCCGATCTCTTCCTTGAAAACGTCCGAGATGGGCATACCAGCGTACAGGAGCTCCTGGCCACGGTCGTCGGAAATGGTGGAGATGAAGGCAGCGGGCTTACGGATGAGACCGAGCTCCTGGGCCCACGAGTAGTCGATGGGGATCTTGGGAACGACGGGCTCAGGCTGGGGCTTGATGGTGCCGTTCTTGACGAGGCTGTCGTAGAGAGCCTTGAGGACCTGGGGCATGTCCTCAAAGGTGTCGGGGACGTAGAAGCCGGCCTCCTTCATCTTCTCGTTCTTGGTCTTGGCCGTCTCCAGGGTGGAGTTGGCGAAAGCACCGGCGTGACCGAACTGGACCTCAGTCTTGAACATGCTGGCGCAGGTACCAATAGCCCAGGCGACGATGGGCTTGGTGATGACACCGTCCTCGACGGCCTTGATGACCTTGTACTCCTCAACACCACCAACCTCACCGAGCAGGACGAGAATCTTGCAGTCGGGGTCGGCCTGGTATCTGAGCAAGTGGTCGATGAAGGTGGTTCCGGGGTATCTGTCACCGCCAATGGCGACACCCTCGTAGACACCGTCGGTGTTGTTGGCGATGATGTTGTTGAGCTCGTTGGACATACCTCCGGACTTGGAGACGTAACCGACGGAGCCCTTGCGGTAAAGCTTGGAGGCAACGATGTTGTCCATCATACCACCGGTGTTACCGATCTTGAAGCAGCCAGGCTTGATACCACCAACAGTGGCAGGGCCAATGATGGTGATGCCCTTCTGCTGAGCCTTGTGGGCGATCTCACGAGCACGCTGGATCGTCTGTCAGTGGACTGCGGGGATGATTGGAGGGGTAACAGGCGGGACTCACGCGCTCAGGGACACCCTCAGCAATGATGGCAATGGTCTTGATCTGAGGGAACTCCATCAGCTCCATGGTGGAGCTGTAGACACTTCGGGAAGAGGCGAAGTTGACAACGACGTCAACGTCGGGGTGCTTGGCAATGGCCTTGGGGACCTCCTGGTAGACGGGAAGGAGGGTCTCGCTGGTTCCCCAGTACATCTTGCTGACGAACTGGCCACCGAAAGTGTAGATGATGCCGGCAACGGAGGGGGTCTTGCGCTTGCAGATGAAGTCGAAGTCCAGCATGCCCTGGACGGCGCGGGGCTGCAGACCGTAGACGAAGCATCTGGTCTTGTCGTTGAACAGAGCGTGTTCGGGGAGGGGGCTCAAAGGACGGCTGGGAGCAGAGAAGCGTGTGATGTTGTCGTTGGCAGACAGGCCGCTGGCTGCCTTGGCGCCATTGGCACCGTTAGCGGGGGTGGTGGCCGAAGGCATTGTGAAGAAAGTCGAGCTTCGTCGGCGAGGAGGATCTCAACAAGGCAAGAAGAAAAAGTCTGGCGAGGGATAGCAAGGTCAGCAAGCTTGTCGAAGCAGACAATGAGTACGCCAGAAGCAACAGAATAGATGTCTGCCCGCGAAGAGGAAAGTGTCCAAGTAAGGATTGAGAGGTTGAAAGGTGGAGGAGGAGTAGTAGGAGGAGGAAGTTTGGTGGAAAACAAACGAGTCGGAATTGTGGTGGGGAGGAGGTGAGATTTCAGGAGGGACTCGGAGAACGACGTTCGCAGGAAGCTGGAATCGTTGGATCTGCGAGGCTACTGCTCATCGGCAGCTGGGGACACCACCAGACATTAAGTGGACCTTGTAGTTGGCGTAGCCCCAGCTCCTTGGGGATACTTTTTTTTCTTGGACGTGCAGGCGGGTGTGGAAGTGGACGGTGGTGTGTGCGAAATCTGTACGGAGGTGGGAAGATTGGCGGCGGTGGAGGGGCAGGATTGACACGACAGGGGTGTGGTGTGGTGGGTAGGATTCGGGGAATGCCATCTGACTACTAGTGTACTGACCTGGCAGCGTTGTTGCTGTTTTGGGGGGTATGGGAAAGCAGCGACGCACGACGGCAAAGTCCAGCTTCTTCTTACTTTTGTCGACCTGACGGAGGGTTTCGTTCGTGACGATGGAGCGTGGGGGGAAGACAGGCTGGCGAGAGAGGAAAAAGAAGGAGGGAGGAAAAAAAGAGAGTCGAGGGTGCGAGGGTCGGAGAAGAAGAATGGAGGTCGACGTCGTAAGTAGTTGAGGAGGGTGTGGGATGGGAAAGGTATCTTTTTCTCTCTCTCTCGCTTTCTTTCTTCTCCAGCGGGAATCGGCAAGGGAGGGAGAGGGGACAGACAGTGGGAACGAACGGTGTGCGGTGCGTCTTGCGTCTGCGTGTGCGGATTGTGTGAGGTGATGGTGAGCAGGGATGATATTGTTGGCGTCCCAAGTATCTGAGGGAGGATGTAGGTGACAAGCAGAAAAAAAAAAAAGTCGGGTTCGAGTCGGAGTCGAGGTCGAGGCCCGGCCCAAGCACACACTGCTGCGTCGTCCAATTCCACGCCGGAAAAAAAAGAAGGTCCAATCCCAATCCCAATCCCCAAGAATGTCTGGTCGCCAACAATGCCAAACAATGCTTTGCAGCGGCAGGAACAGGGCGGGCAGAATTGGTGGACCGGCGACTGACACCGACAGACAAGACAGACAGGCCCCCGTTGGCGGCAATGGGGTGGTTTGTGGTGGTGGTGGTGCGGTTTGGCTTTCTCGGTGGTGAGTGAATGCCTGGGCAAGAAGGGTCGGAATCCGTAGGTACGGGCGATCGGGAGTACGGTCGGCGCTGCGACAGGTCAAGCCCGGCGAATTTCTGGCGACGCAGTGACACACACTAACACATACGCACTCTCTTCCCCCTCCGAAGCAAAGTCGGTGGTTTATTGGGAAGGGAGACTTTTGGGTGGTGTGGGAATGGAGGGGGATGGGGAATGGAGACATCCGTCATGCGACGGCCGAAAGAGTTGGGGAAGTTCAGGGCCAATGGGGCGCTGCGATTGGCCATGTTTTCGTTGAAGTGTTGAATGTCCAGCGGGCAGGGAAGGGGAAGTCAAGGGAAAAGGGAGGTGCGATTGGGATGGGATGGGACGGACAACGACGGGCAGGGCAGCGCACGCCAGGCGAGCGAGCGAGCGAGCGGAGGGGGCCACAACGGCAAGGTACCGGCTGGGTGTTGGACCCTTGGGCCCCGCTTGTATTCTGGCGGACCGCAACGTACTTTACACCACTACGATGCGCCGTACTGACCATGTAATACCTAGTACGCCGCCGGGCCCACGATTCGCACCCACCCGCACCACGGACTCGAACCGGGCACCGAGACAGACTTGCACAGGGCGTCCGGTACGGCACCTTGGGCAGCGCGAGAGAGTGCCTAGTCCAATTTTGGAGCTTGGGTCTAGTCCAGGGCCAGGGCTAGGTCCAGCTTGGGAGCTACTCAGCTACTCAGCACTTGACAGAAAGCATGAGCATGAGCCACGGGGAGGGGCAAGGTAGCGCCCATCATTGCTGAGCATGTACCGGTACCTGGCCTGCCCGCAATGGTGCCCGCACCCGAATGGGCTGCGTACCTGCACAAGCCCTGACTCTTACCTCACTCTCAATATTTTCCACCCCCACTAGGCATATGCTGCTGGGAGAGCCAGACAGTGAGAGAGAGAGCGAGAGTGAGGGTGAGAGACGGAGGTGGGATGGGATAGTGAGAATCAAGTGAGAGGAGAGCTCCAACAAAAGCTGCACCCGATCTCCGACACACACACACACACACACACACACACACACACATCACCAGTCCTTGCCCGGGACTGGATTGGCGGCACCGCCTGTGGCTCGAGACTTTCTCGAGGATTGCCCATTCGAGACTGCCCATTGAAACACAGAGAGACGACGGGCGCTGTCCGCCCGCCGGTCACCGCAATCTTCGGGTGTCACTCCCCGCCCCGACCAGTCCAAGTTGAGACCAACCCGCGCGCTGGCGCTTGACCGCAACAATAGTCGGGAGGCGCGTGCCAGGCCAGCCATGGCGAACCTTAGACCGCCCTGGCTTTGTCGCAACTCGGCCTGCGCTTGCCGCATGGTACTGCAGGCCACGACAACGACTATTTTTTCGGTTTGACCGCATCTCTGATCTCTCGTCCTGCCCAATGGCCTCGGACTGGATTGTCAGGGAGGATCGGCATGCGCCAGCTTGGCCGCCGTAATCAATTTGAACACGCCGCAGTCGCACATCCTCGACACACGCCCGACGCCAATCCATCGTCTTATGCTCTCAGCTGTGTTGTGTTGGGTGGGGGCAAGGCGGTCACTAGAACAGCCTCCTTCCCCGTACCGCGCTGCATTCGATTGAGGTGAGGTGGTATCCGTCAGTCAGCTAGCGAGGTATTTTGAGCGTGTGCGTTGTGTGCGCTGTGTGTGTGCAAGTACGGATACATGGATGGCTAGCCACTTGGGATGATGCGTCAGACGACGCAAGAGGGCAGAAGAAGCAGCGAATCGATACCCGCTCCCGGGATCGGAAACAAGGGGAGCGAGAGAGAAAGAGAGAGAGAGAGAAAGGAAGGGGGGAAACGCAGTGGAACAATGCGGCGATAGTCGTAACTGCGAAGCGCAACGAAGAAACAACGGCCGAAACCAACGACGGCGGAGACGAGGCCTGTTGCTCGAGAACTCGAGGACTTGGAGAGACGACGGGCATACTGTCACCCATGCTCTCGCATGCCCCGAAACCCGGCCTGCCGCATCCACCGCCGGTTTTCGGTCCTCCCCCATGGTCACTCCGCCGACCACCGGGCATTGCGCACCCTCGCTCGAGAGGAACGAGGGATCACCACATACCCACACACGCACTTTCACACAGAGCCGTATCATGAATAGTTCCGCCGTGGCTTCGGGGGGGGGGCCTTTTGAGAGTGGCATGGCATACGAGGGTGAGGCTTTGAGGCCCTTTTGGTCGTCCGGAATGCGCAATCCATGCCACCCCCATTCTCAGGGCGAACAAACGCTCTCTCCACAGCCAGCCGTGCTGAGCGAGGGGTCGAAGTCCCGTCTGACTGTGCAGTTGGACGTCTCACTTGAGATTGATGATGACTGTGCTTTGGACCATCCCAATTCCCATTTCCAGCGCCATGGCTAAGCGTCAACCAATGCCCGGCTCCTGGACTGATACCGATTGGGATCTGGCATCCGGGGCACCGTCCGTTGTCCCACGACAAGATTGAGAAACGTCCGAAGTCAGTGTCATCCCGCGACTCTCGAATCCCCCCTTCGGGACTTGGTTTACCGGAAACCAATCCCCGCGCTAGACGCCGCCGGTGCAAAAGCAATGGTTCCAGCAGCAAGACTAACCCGTCGTCTGCCTGATCTCGATCGGACAAGAGATAGGAACAGACCCAACCCACGGAAATTAAGGTAGGGAATCATCTGGAAGCAGAGGAAATTGGAGCGAGTGTGATGCACGGCGGCAGCAACAGTCGCAGTTACCGCTGCCGCACGGCATCGCACCGCGCCCGCAATGCCCGCATGCTCCATCTTTTTTCCCTGCCAGTGTCTCCCGTTAGTTAGGCTATTCCGCCCAAGAGTCTCCCCCCCTCCATCCATGGATGTCAATGTCCCAGACAGGTCGAGGTCGGAGGGCTTTGCGGTTCTCGGCGGACATTCTGGCGCGCTGGCGTCGCATCGATCCGGAGAGGAAGAAAGACTGGTCCAACACTTTGCTGGCCGTAAAAATGCCACCGCCCTACCGGGAATCCCATATCTCAAGAGAGTGTGTGTCTGCCCATTTCTCCAAGTCTCGCCCTCCCCAGAAAGAGTGAGTCGAGTGAGTGACTTTGCCAAAGGTACGAGGTCCACTTAAACCTCTCAACAACCAGTGCCTGTCTCTTTCTCCCCCCAGACAATTTTTTTTTCCCTCTGTTGCCATCCATTGCTGGCTTGCCCCCCTCTCTTCCTTCCCATTTCATCCTCACGCGATAACTTCGACGTGCAGCCAGAGACGAAGCAGGTAAGTGGTCCAGGTAGAGGTACTTACCCCTCCCTTTTCCTCCCAGAACTCTTCCCAAGTGCTGTGTGTTCCTTTGCTTTTTTTTTCCCTTCTTCCCCTTTGATGTCCGTATGCGGTGTGTGTTTGCTGGCGGTTGTCGTCGAGGGGCACACCAGCTTCGCAAGCATCGACCATGCAATGCCATCCCACCCAACTCTCTCCCATCCCCAAGAAAAAAAAATACACCGGTCCCCAAAAATACAAACCCCAGCCCCCCTGCACCCTCCAAGAAGAAGGAAAGAGCTTCAGGATTCCCACAGGCTGCCCTACTGCACGTACCGTTTCTCACACACGCCCCAAAACTTTTTGGCGTGGTCCCTTAGCTCCCTCAAGGTGAATCCACCGGTTTCCGAGCACTCACCCCCCCGGTCGGTACCTGAAAGCGCTTCGTTGCCCCACGATGTACCTCACGTCCCCTTGGCTTCTTTCCCACCGCACCCCTCCCAACTCCCACCTCCCACTCCCACTCCCCCTCCTCGCTCTCCCAGCAACAAATAATCCCTGAGAGCTTCGACAAGTCCAAAATTTTGTGAAAGGCTGACAATCTTCTCCCTCCCGCAAGCTCGCTCTTCCCACTCCAATTCCTCCCCTCGATCCATACTTCTCCTTCAACGTCGCCGCTTCTTTCTTCCCTCTCACACCGCTCGACTTTGACTCCGACTCCGACCTCGACTCGACTCGATTCCTGACATTCACTTGATTTCAGGATCCTCATCACCCTCGTCCCCAGACTTCGACTTCGTTGCCTGGTAGCTCTTTTGCTCGATCGCCCTCTCTCGGTATGTCGTCTCCCCAGTCTCCTGCTTGCCTGCTTGCTCCCCAAACTCGACTGTCACCGTCCTGCCCCCCATCCCAGCCAGTTTCCCAGCTAGGCCCCTCTCACTCCCTCTCTCTCTCTATCCTCCCGAGCCCGACTCGAGCACGTTGTGTGTGTTCCGCTTGCGGGTGACACTTGCCCCCCTCAGAGCTCCTGCCTCTGGGCCAGCTTCAATCCTGCAGCTGACGGCAGCGATCCCTTTCGACTCTGGCGGTCAAACAAATACGCATCGTTTTCCCAAAGCCACCTGCTGACAACTTCGTTCCCTGATTTCAGGCCCAAATAAAGCAAAGAAAAGAACACCAAAGAAAACTCTCCTCTTTCTTACCTCAACACCGCCAGAATGTCCGCCAAGTCCATCCTCGAGGCCGACGGCAAGGCCATCCTCAACTACCACCTCACCCGCGCTCCCGTCATCAAGCCCACTCCTCTCCCCACCCCCACCAAGCACAACCCTCCTCCCAGGCTGTGCTCGCTGCACTTCCCCGAGGATGCCAACGTCGAGGATGTCCTCAACCAGGCCGAGGTCACCTACCCCTGGGTTCTCCAGCCCGGCACCAAGTTCGTTGCCAAGCCCGATCAACTGATCAAGCGCCGTGGTAAGAGCGGTCTCCTGGCCCTCAACAAGACCTGGGCCGAGGCCCGCGCCTGGATCGCCGAGCGTGCTGGCAAGGAGGTCAAGGTCGAGACCACCACCGGTGTTCTGCGCCAGTTCCTCGTCGAGCCCTTCGTTCCTCACCCCCAAGACACCGAGTACTACATCAACATCATGTCCGTCAGAGATGTAAGTTGCCGCAAGTTTCCTGAGTTGTCGTCGTGGTCGTCCTTGGCGCAAGGCGGGTCGTGGTTCTCCAATTCGCTGGCGGGGCAGTTCATCGATGAGTCGTGCGTGAATATCACACACGCAACACACTGCGAAGTGAGACTCATCGATGGTTGAAAGTGAGAAAACAGGATGCAAGCTTCATTTGGCATCCGTGGAAGGAATTTGCACTCTTTATGGCATTTCCTATCAATGGGTCAAATAAGTGGATTCCTGCCACTGGACTGCCTTTTCCGGTATTTTCTCCCGAGCCGGACGAACGGATGCCACGAGACGAGGCCTGTGGCCCGTCCACCCATGCCCTCTGCAGAAGTTCCATATGCACACGGCAACCATTATGCCTCATATCAAAACCTAATCTGGGAAACGTTGATGCTAATCATGAATGATGATAGGGCGACTGGATCCTCTTCACCCACGAGGGTGGTGTTGATGTCGGTGATGTCGATGCCAAGGCTGAGAAGCTCTTGATCCCCGTCGACCTCTCACAATACCCTTCCAACGACGAGATCGCCGCGACTCTGTTGAAGAAGGTCCCCAAGGGTGTTCACAACGTTCTGGTTGACTTCATCAGCCGGTTGTACGCAGTCTACGTCGAGTGCCAGTTCACCTACCTCGAGATCAACCCCCTCGTTGTTATCCCCAACGCGGATGCCACCTCCGCCTCCGTGCACTTCCTGGATCTTGCTGCCAAGCTCGACCAGACTGCTGACTTCGAGTGCGGTGTCAAGTGGGCCATTGCCCGCTCTCCCGCCGCTCTTGGTCTGACCAACGTTGCCGCTTCCAACGGCGAAAAGGTCAACATTGACGCCGGCCCGCCGATGGAGTTCCCCGCTCCCTTCGGTCGTGAGCTCACCAAGGAGGAGGCCTACATCGCCGACCTTGACGCCAAGACCGGTGCCTCTCTCAAGCTTACCGTCCTCAACCCCAACGGCCGCATCTGGACTCTGGTCGCCGGTGGTGGTGCTTCCGTCGTCTACGCCGATGCCATTGCCTCTTCTGGCTTCGCCGACGAGCTCGCCAACTACGGTGAGTACTCTGGTGCTCCCACCGAGTCCCAGACCTACCACTACGCCCGCACCGTCCTCGACCTGATGCTCCGCGCTCCCTTGAACGAACAGGGCAAGGTCCTCTTCATCGGTGGTGGTATTGCCAACTTCACCAACGTTGCCAGCACATTCAAGGGTGTCATTCGCGCCCTCCGCGACTACGCCAAGCAGCTCAACGAGCACAACGTCCAGATCTGGGTTCGTCGTGCCGGCCCCAACTACCAGGAGGGTCTCAAGAACATGAAGGCCGCCACCCAAGAACTTGGCCTGAACGCCAAGATCTTCGGCCCCGAGATGCACGTCTCCGGCATCGTGCCCCTGGCCCTCGTTCCCGGTAGGTGGGAGGCCAGCGGTGCTGAGGAGTTCAGAGGTTAAATGGTTGAAATGAAATGAAATCTGCGGTGGACGCGGAGAGGCTAGTCGGGTATCATGGGTTAGACGAAGGGAAGTTTTGCCTGGTGCTTGAGACGGCATCTTGCCCACTTTCTTGTACGCTTGCAAGTTAACGGTGTTTATGACGGCTGGTGCACAATGCTCTTGACGGGAAGGTCGAGGGCCGGGTCCTTGTATCGTATGTATGGAGGGCATGGTCGACGATCAGACGAGCAAATAATTAGACGCTCTGTAATGTGATCTTGACTTGAGGTTCAATGCTTGTGTGTTTGATGCCATGCTGTTTGTGTTGCGTTCCTGTTGAACTTCGTCGTAGTCATCGCTTCACACCAAGCCACTTGGTATACAACTGCTTCTACGAACACTGCTGAGGGTCTAGTCAGTTTATGGGCGCACATCCACCAAAGCGCTAGGCATGAGGACCTCCCGGGTCTGGGGTAATCCCGGATGCCCGCAGACTACTGATCGTCTGGTTCCATATCTAATGTTTAATTGGGAGTATTGGAGTGACTTCCTGCCTGACCAACTGGCAGTTAACAGGTCGAACGGTCGATCGATGGCCGCCGTCATCTCTCCTAGGAGGCTTCCCAGCGAACAAGCACGAGCAACAAGACGAGGAAAAACACTGGCGCCCTCTGAGTTGACGGGCGGTTGGTTCTCCGGGTCGAAACGAGCATCTGCTTCCTAGTAACTCCGGATATCAAAGACGGTAAACCGTTGGGATGTAAAGGGTTCGACAACTTTGCCGCGTGATTCATGGGCCGAGACAAGGGCGCATTGTGGTTTGGCACAGCTGGGATGGGAGCAGACATGGATTTTGTACAGAGAGGTATGGGCTGGCGTCGAGACTTTGCCGGCTTTTGCCGGCTCTTGAAAGATCGTTGGGCTGGCCCAAGGTGGAAACTGGGAGATGTTATGCTGCTTGTTGAAATCGGTACCGCCATGCGTCTTTGATATAGTACAAAACACGGTTGAGGAGTTGGCACGGGTGGTAGCCAAGCAACAACCTACCACCAGAGCCGGGTTATGGTCTGATGATGATTATACGGCGAAATTTTCAACTCAAGCTTTCTCTACTCCTCGCCGTCAACCTACGTCCCTGTGGGTCCTCGCAGCTTGCAAAGAAGACGAGCGAAGGTAGACTGGCAAGCCACTCGATTCCCTTGTACTGTTTCTCTCGCCCAGAACGGTTGGTTCTTCAGTATAGACAGCTGTGATACGGCGCGCTGAACTTATCTTGCTGTATCAGTGGGTTTTGAGTAGGTACGGACGAAATAGCCGGCATCCGTACGTTACGTTTGTGCAAAGAATATCGGTTCTTCCAAGATAGGAACTCCATGAACACTGGCATACAAGGCGTGTAGACTTTGTCAGGGTCGGTGGCCTCGGTCAAGGTAAGCGAAGCAGCTGCTGGTGTGTGTGTTGAAGCCAGCACCAAGCCTTGTGTAGGTATATTTCGGTATGTCGAGCATTACCATGGCCTGTAGTCGCTATGCTGACCATCGTCAGAAGCGCACTGCTAGAAACCACAGCGATATTCTTCTTTGGGCTCATGTTTTCGCACCTGCTCGCCAGCCATTCGTTCCCAGGCAAATACCCGCAACCCGCAAGGCTATCATGGATGATATACTGGCGCGCAAGACTGAACCTGTTGTTGTGTTGTTGCTGGTTCAGGATCACACACCAGCCCTCAGTCGCCATACCAACACAGACGACAGTCATTGTTGACAGCTTGGCTGCTCTGCGCCTGGAGTTAACATGGACCTGGCGTGTACGGCTCTGTACGTACGCTCGTCCCAGGCGAGGTTGAACGGGTTAACAAATCACTAGGATATAGCAGTCGGTGGCGGCCACGAACGTTGTCTAATGATTTCTGGCATCCTTTTGCCCTAGTTGATGCTCGCCCACTCTCTAAAAATCAAGTCGACCGCGATTGTCGAAGCTATGCTACAAAGGGCTGGCTACTGGTGCTTGAGGATACGGCGCTGATGGAAATCGAACCAGCGGCGTGGCCCGGCCAGTGTCATCGTTTGTCTGGTCCCTGCCTAGGAACTATGATCGCCGAATTGGAGGTGTGTATGAGAGCATGCGCGTGAGCCGAATTTCTCCGTCTGGCTGGCATCCTCGATCAACCTGTGAATTATCAGTATTCAATGGCGAGTACCTAGCAAACTCTAGAGATCAATAGGAAATGTTGAGACTGTGTCTCAATGATCGCTGGGTACTGTTCGTGCTCGAGTATGGCTTTTCTGCTGCTTCCGACTCAACCACACTGCGAGGGTGCGATGGCGCCAAGAATGAAGAGGGCAGCTCTGAGGTGAAATATGCTGGGCACTGCGCAATTTCCACGAGTGCGTACTCTTTGCAACGACACTGCTGCGCACAACAACCTACGATGCTGCCGGCTCATAGAGACATTATGCAATTTATAAGACCAGATGCTGTTAGAAAGACACAGTCCTTGGAGGACTGGCGCGGGACTCGGCCCAAGGTTCATCACGTGTATACCTCTTCTGCTAGGCCGGTCCTCGTCAAAAGCAGCGTGTCCAGCAGCTCATAGCAAGCGCCAGGTCAAGATGCTGAATGGCAGAGCGAAAGGCCATAAGATGAAAGCCTCTCGGTTCTTGGCCGCACGCTGTCCGCAAATTGGACCTGGTAAGAGGGGCGGCCGAAGCTGCTCAGGGGGTGCATTTTCCGGAACACAGCGACCGAGTCAGATCTTACGCAACCTCCGCTAGGCCTAGTGGCGGAAGTCGCGGCGCACAAGAAAGACAAACGCGCAATCGAGCCAAACCTATGGCATGTAGAACAACCACTAGAACGCGCTGAGGTCAGTCTGGACCAAGACTTGGTTCGGGAGAGCGACGGTTGTTGCTGGTTGACCCTGCGTTGGCGGCTGGGTGCGAAGGGAGGTGCAGACAAGGTTTGATAGTGTGAGGCTGTGTTCGGAATGCGGCAATGTGTGGCCACCTGAGACGTTACTCTGGCATTCTCATCTTGGTTCCAAGGAGCCGGAGACACGCAGCCATAGCAAATATGGCCAAACAAACGACCATGGTTCTTGAAAATATCTACAGAATCGGTGTGAGATGAGTTTAGGGTGATTAGTCGGGAATAGGACGTACTCCCAACAAAATAACTTTGGGTTCTTCAAGTGATAGGATCCCCGTCCCAGTTTTCGCGACGATGTTAGGTCTTCATCAGCCACGGTTCGGAAGAGGCCGTGTTCGGATCGCGGCAGTGAGGGAGAATTCTGGTGAAGCTAGCGTCTAACCGACCTGACAACGCAATGATATATATCTTGCCTCAATCAGGACTAGAATTTTTACTTGTCGGCCTCACTCGACGAAAGGGAGGGGCTTCGTCACCGGGCTACGACTATCAAATTGACTCTTGGATCGAAGCCGATCTGCCGACAGTTTCAGGGTTAAGGCGATCAGCGGGGAAATATTGCAGAGGCCAGACGGATAGGACGGGATAGAACACATTTATAGTGGAAGTACGGCAAATGTGGACACGGTAAGTCGGCGTTCGGAGCCGATTGTGACACAGAAGCACGATGCCGGGCGGGGCCGTGTCGACCGGCCCCGTTGGATGAGGGAATTTTCCCTCCCGTAGAGGTGGAGAGAAAACCGCTGATCGGTGAGGGAATCCCACACTTGTGGGGGGCAGGCAAGGGGATGCGAGTCTATCACAATCAAGCAGTTGCGGACCATAAAACTCAAAACCCTGTCATCCGGCCGAAATACGATGTGATGGCCGGTGCAATCTTTTTTTGCCCCCATCAGAAAAAGCCGGCCATGGGCCACAGGGAATAAACGGTGATGGGGGATGCGGACTCTGCTTTGAGATTAACTCGCCTTGGAGAGGGGGGCTAGGAATGGAGGACGACTCAAGAGTCGAAAGGCGACTTTTCTCGTACAACCCCAGCGGCTGATCGGCACGCAATGGCCGACGCTTTCCCTGTCACGCTGCGATAGGTATGCGTAGCGATGCGCCGCTGCCGTTGCCGAACTCGTACCTTGCAGCTGGTAGGGCACCAACTGATGACACTAGTCGAAGTTGGATAGAGCAGAGGAACGAACACGATGACTGTGTTCGTGGACCTCGTATGGCAGTGTGAGCTTTCGGGCCTAGAGCGCTGGCCCGATGGCTTTTGGAAAAAAGATAGCCCATGGGAAATCTTTTTGCGCATCGTCGAGGCTTCATCATCTCCACCAATGCAGCCCAACAAGCTTGTCCCCATTAAGCCAATTGGCAACAGTCCATGCCAGTTCGGGTTGTTGTCGGGTTCACGTCGTCACTAGTGCGGCGAGCGCAGGAGCAAGCTAGAAGCTGGGCAGAGGCAAAGTCAGCCGAAAGTATCCGCATGTCGATTTCGAGGCTTCTCTGAGCACAGCGGGACAGATTTCCCAAGACAGCGGTTTGGCCGAGCGTCGTGGCAGCTTTGACTGTTGGCAAAGAAGGTTCTGCCAGGCGGGCCCCAGAAGCAAGACTTCGAGATGACACCATTTTGAAGTGAGAAGATCGGATATTTTCCCTCCTCTCTGCCTGTGGTGCATAGGTAGAAGCTAAGTTTTAGGTTGGCCGGCGTTCGTTCTGTCAATCAATCCACCTTTCACTGCCTCCCCCTCCCCCCCGGCCGTCTCAGCGTATCCGGTTGGCCAGCGGAGCGCATTGGCTTCAAAAGCTTGACCATGGTGTCTCACAACGTTTCGAAAGAGGACTGCGTCTTCCGAAAGTCGAATGCCGTTGCTGTGACGCTGTGTCCTTTGAGTTGGTTGTCAACGGCTGCAGCCTGAATGAGAGAGTCAGCTTAGACCAATAAACAGAACCGTGCCTCTTGGGCGCATGTCGTCAGTTCAGAAGAGGAAGGCCCAAGAAATAAAAAAGGACCCTGCAATCAGCCAACGGACCCCTGCGGCCCTGCAGATAAACGAGAGGACCAACTGTGGCCAGTGAGATTAGTGCAGAGCGGGAATGTAATTAAAGAAGCCAAGCTTTGAAGCATGCAGCACGAGAGTTGGGCAACCAGTCAGCACCCGCCGCCCTCTCTCACTGAATCCCCCATGGCCCTGTTCCACTCGCCTTGCGCCCAGGCCATCGTGTTGCCCGAGCCATCCCGTCTTGTCCTCTCTTTTTCGCTTCGCTCGCGTTTGGGACTTTTGGCTGAGATGAGGGGAAAATGAAGAAGGCCCCTCCCGTCTGTGACGCTCCCCAGCCCTGTAAGTGTGTGGAAGGCCTTGCTTCAGGAATTGAGATGCCGAGGGGCTGTGTGCGACGTCTGGTATGTTTGTTGGCACTTCGTTGCAGGAATACTCAGACACACATACACACAAACAGGGAGGAAGGCAGGGGAAAAAACAGACTTTGGTTGTCTGGGCAGAGTTGCGAGCTCATGACGAATGTCTGATGAAGGAGAAAGAATGGACGATGGCCTAGAGACATCGAGGCACTAAGCCGGACTGTGAGATGGAACCCAATTCGACTTGCAGAAAGGGGGGCAAAGTTGAGATGATGATGCGAGGGCAAGGTCCGAGGGGAGGGGGGGAGAGTCGCCGCAGGTCAACCCCATCGAGCATGGTGTGGTGACTTGGTACGGTTGGTGTTTCCTTGCTCCTGTGCCACTCACTGGCTGGCTCACCGGCGGCATTATGCGAGCGTTGCGAAAGGTAGGCTGGCTGGAGATGACTATGTGACGCTAGGCCGAGATGAGACAAAACCGCTGAGCATCGTATCCAGAAGGCGGGAGCCGTAGTGCCTTTCCCATTTTTAATTTACATACCGCGGTTCGACCTATTCTTGTTTGCGCCTTCCCTTCCTCTCCTCTTTCATATTTCAGTCTCGTTATTACTCTTGCCTCCTCTTAACCCAAGTTATCCCCTTGGTGTCTCGGATCCCTCTTTCTGCCAGGACCTATCGCTGTTGCTCTCTTCTTCCTCTCTGTAACACTAGCCCGACAGACTGGTTCGTGCCTGTCTCTTCGTTTGACAATAGGAAAGCACCGCGACGCCCCTCGACATCGACATCCCGGCCCACCTTACCCGTCCTCTCCATCTTGACTCTCTTCGTTTCTCGTCACTCACTCAACCAACCACATCCACCAACAACCCCAGGAGAATTGTTTCCTTTTTGGGCCCTTTTCAGTCTCAAATTCTTCTAGTGTCCGTTTGGCTCCCTCAGTACCCACGCTCATCTTCACGTCGCTCTCTTGGATTTCGCACGCCCCTTCCTTTATAGCCACGGCTAGCGAACAAAACCAACTTCGTCAATACTCCTCGGATTTTGACGTTTAATACTCTCCCTCTTCTCTCCAACAAATCGAGGTTACAGGTTGTACAAAAAGACTGCGCACTTTGTAATCATGCTCGTAAGTACAAATCAGTTTGTCTTTTTCATCAGTGGCTCCCATTGGTCCAATTGGTTCAACGGTCGCCGGATTCAATCATGGCGACGCCTCGTTCTGCCGATCCCCCTCCCCCTCATATTGACACTTCGTTCTGCCTCAACATCAACTGCATGGTGCAACGCTAACTCGGCTTCCCGTTCTGCCACAGGTCCAAACTGCTCTCGTCGCATTGAGTGCGACCCTGGCCGCGGCCGTTAAGCCCCTTACGGTCCAGGGCAACTCTTTCATCAACGAGGCTGGTGAAAAGTTCCAGATCGTGGGTGTCGACTACCAGATTGGCGGAAGCGCTGGTTACGACCCTGCCCACAACCGCGACCCCCTGAGCGACGGTGATGTCTGCTTGCGCGATGCTGCTCTGCTGCAACGCCTTGGCGCCAACGCCATCCGCGTCTACAACCTCGACCCCAACCTGAACCACGATGCGTGCGCCTCCATCTTTAACGCCGCTGGCATGTACATGATCCTCGACGTCAACTCTCCCCTGGTCGGCGAGAGCATCACCAGTTTTGAGCCCTGGACTAGTTACTACGCTGCCTACCTGAACCGCACCTTTGCCATTGTCGAGGCCTTCAAGAGCTACCCCAACACTCTGGCCTTTTTCTCTGGCAACGAGGTCATGAACAACGTTGAGACGGCTCAATACGTTCCCCAGTACCTGCGCGCCGTCACCCGCGACTTGAAGAACTACGTCTCCAAGCACGCCGACCGCGCCATTCCCGTTGGTTACTCGGCCGCCGACGTCCGTGAAATCCTCGTCGACTCCTGGAACTACCTGCAGTGTGCCGAGAATGGCGATGCGAAGGACCCTAGCCGTATCGACCTCTTCGGCCTCAACTCTTACTCATGGTGCGGCGACTCCAACTTCAAGAAGTCCACCTACGACCAGCTCGTCGCAGACCTGAACGAGACATCCGTCCCCGTTTTCTTCTCCGAATATGGCTGCAACCAGGTTACCCCTCGTGTCTTTACCGAGGTCGGCGCCATTTATGGTCCCGACATGAAGAACGTCTTCTCCGGCGGTCTTGTCTACGAGTACAGTCAGGAGGACAACAACTTCGGTCTCGTCAAGGTCAACGCCGACAAGTCCGTCAATCTGCTGATCGACTACACCAACCTCGCCACCCAGTACAACAAGGTTGACTTCAAGTCTCTCCAGGCCGAGAAGGCGGCTACCAACTACCCTGCGCCTCCCAAGTGTGATTCGTCTCTGATCAAGGAGAAGGGCTTTAACAACAACTTCACCCTGCCGGCCGTTCCCCCCGGAGGTCAGGATATGATCGACAACGGCATCAAGAACAAGCCTTCCGGCAAGATCATTTCCATTTCCGACTGGACTGTCAAGCACAAGGTCTACGACGTTGACGGCAAGACGGAGATCACTGGCCTCGCCGTCTCGCCTCTTGCTGACTCCGACTCCAACACCCCCGGCACTAACACCGGCGGCTCCACTGTTCCTGCTACTTCCTCCCCCACCGGTACTAGCACTTCCTCCTCCTCCTCCACTCCTACGGCGAGCAACAACCCCGCTGTCCCGCTGCGCCCTGAGGTCGCCGCCATGGCCGCACCTCTGCTTGCCCTCCTTTTCTTGTAAAAGCTCTGGAAGCATACCCTCGATGTGTATGGCTTATTCGTAAGGTTTGGTGGTAATGACTTGGCTTCTTTCCGGCATCGTAGATTCCCCGTGGTTTGTTTCTAAGCCTCAATTTATATTTTTAAAGAGTACCGCATCTTCTATTGTGAATCCATTCAATGGCGACCAACGGCAGAACCACTCTGCGTCGTTCGACAGCAATGACTTTCGAATTTGTCTCAAACACATTGAACCAAGACAGGGCAAGGCCGCAGTGGACTTGACTGGATTCGACAACCGTCGTACATGTATCCGAACCCACCTACCAAGGCATCGCTATCACAGATTCACATATTGATCAAAGAACAATAAAGCTAACCCAAGTTGTTGCCGTACTGTCGTAGTACCAAGGCGTGACCCGGGCCCTGCCCGGGTCTATTACGCCCTCGTGAAGGTTTTGCGTTAAAGAGGTCTAGCTACATTTGTCTGGCGGGTAGAAGACTTCCAATGAAGATTGAAGAGATGCCGTGTATCTGTGTTTGGGCATCCGGGCCAGAAACCGGACTCTCCTCTTTGGTCTTTTGCATGCATTGAGCAGATACAAAGTACTCACGATCGTTTTCGTTGAAACATCTTTCTGCAGCTTCCATCTCTTCAATTGTCATCTCTACTTTTGCTCCGGCTGTTGTAATAGCTTTGGCGTTCACATAGGTCACCTGAGTGTTGTCTTTGACCGCGTACTTGTATAATCAGCGGATGAATACCCAGGAAAATAAGACGGTTAGAACTAAGCGACAGAGGAACGGAGCCTAATGCGAGGATACCGATTCAATCATGGCTCAGTACTGGGCTCGGAGACGGGAAGTCCAACTATTATTTTATACCTCTCTTATGCTACTGTAAATTACGGGATGTTGAAGTTCATTGAACTCGTGTGGTTCTGTGTCTTGGTCACCACATGTGACTCGCAAGGTGAGCAGAGTTGCGGTTAGTCGTACGGCTATCATACAAAAGGCTGCTGTCGAAAGCAGTCTTCTTCTGCTCTTAAAAGGACAACCGTACCAGGTATATGGAAACGGTAACATGACACAACTAGGTGTATTCTCTGCCAGGCTAGGCTTTGTGACAGAGTCGGTTGCGAAGCCGAGATATGAGTCACTGTGATGTCTTGCGTCGCTTCAGTTCGTCCATCGGGTTTCTAAAAGGTAAGCCTAGTCGTTGGAGATTATTCATCTGCTGGATACGAAGGAATCAATTGCCTCTGAGATTGTGTGGGCATGGCAGAGCAACAATTGAACCGAGTTTGGTCGGGCATGCCTGGAGTTTGATGATGTTGCAAGTCGTTCGTACCATGTTGGCAGATGAGTGCGGGACTGGGCGCATAACTCATAAAGCACACCCAGGCCCATGCCCTTATTGTTGAGCACTTGGCGCACGAAAGGCGCAGCCAGAGCTTACATGCGCCTCGCAGCAGTCAAGGTTCACTCACTGCTCTAATTACCAGAGACTGGGTGGGCTCAGTTCAGTGTATCTTATGCAACCCATCAGGTGTCGGTATCGTACTCTTATTCATGACTGTCTGTTACCCAAATTGCCGAGACCCGGCCAAGGGTGGCTCGAAATACTGCATCCAGCCCGAGACGAGACCCCAAACCTAGGAGTCAGAAATAATTGGTTGTTGTAGAGGTTCGTCCTAGAGCTCCATACAAGCAAGTGCTGACAGACAGAATCCAATGCAGTCGACAAATGAAAGGCAGTAAAGAAGGATCCCAACGGCCTCCCTTCACCGCCCATCCCATCGCTGAGTCATGGGGAGCCCAACGTTGACTCTTCAGCGGGCACCTGCACGAATTCTGCCGGCATTCGGGCTAAGCTCAGCCCAGTAAGGTAAAGCAACCCCCCACCATCCAGAGGTACCTCCCTCCCTACAATGTGTCACTGCGTCGGTCCCTAGCCCGTCCCTCCACCACGCTTCCGAACCCTGTGCCTGGGCTGTGACTGTCAGACTGACCGCCCACGACCACTCTAACAACTCTGCCCCTCCGAGACCACGCCGCCCCCCCTCCGACCGCCGACCGCCGCCCCCCCCCCCGTGGATCTTTTTTCTTTGAAACTCTAAGAACTGCTCTTGCTGCCTCTCTCTCTTTTCCGATCTTCGTCTCACTGGAATGCTGCCCCGCCTCCGACCGCTCGCCCAGGCCTTCTTACGACAACGTCCCTTGACCAGCTCCCCCTTCTCAAGCCAACCGTCCCGTCTCGCGCACACAATGGCACCAGGTAAGCAAGATCGTGACGTCGCACCTACTACGCCCTCCCCCTAGACCTCCATGTCGTAATCCAATCTCCGTGCTACCCTCCACCACCGAAAAAGAAACCCGCCCCTCCAAAACAAGGGGGAAAAAGGAAGGAGAAAGTTAAAAAAGACAAGTCACAAAAGACTAACGACGCCCCTCGCGCCTGCAGTTCTCCCCTCCGACCGCCGCCCGATCGTCATCTCCGGCCCCTCGGGAGTCGGCAAGGGCACCCTCTACAAGCTCCTCTTCGAGCGCCACCCCGACACCTTTGCCCTCTCCGTCTCCCACACCACCCGCGGCCCCCGCCCGGGCGAGCAGGACGGCGTCGACTACCACTTCGTCACGCGCGAGGCCTTTGACGACCTCGTCGCCCGCGACGGCTTCGTCGAGCACGCCGTCTTCGGCAGCAACGCCTACGGCACCTCCAAGGCCACCATCGAGGAGCAGTCCGCCAAGGGCAAGCTCGTCGTCCTCGACATTGAGATGGAGGTATGGTCCCCCTTCCCCCCCTCTTGGCAACCCCCTTATACCTCGCACTCTGTTGGGGCTTGTTGGGCCGTCGCACACTGACACGAGAAAAACAAACACCAGGGCGTCAAGCAAATCAAGAACTCCAACTTCCCCGCCCGCTACGTCTTCATCGCGCCGCCGTCGGAAGAGGAGCTCGAGAAGCGTCTCCGCGGCCGCGGCACGGAGAAGGAGGAGAGCATCCAGAAGCGCCTCGCCCAGGCCAAGCTCGAGCTCGAGTTCTCAAAGACCCCCGGCGTCCACGACCTCATCATTGTAAACGACGACCTCGAGAAGGCCTACAAGACCCTCGAGGACTTTGTCTACAAGTCTTCCTAAGTCACCAAACGTGCGGGCAGCGCACCTTACACGGGGCGAGGGGGAGAGGCTGGCCGGAGTTGGCCGTGACGGCAGGACGACGACGACGACGACGGGGCGTTGGAAAATGGATACATTTTAGAATACAACAACTTTGCGGGTTCCTTCTACATAGCGCGGGCGGTTATTGTGCATGCATATATCCTATTAGACATATAAAAGCAAATTAGAGAGCCATATATGGCTGAACCTCTGGCCAAATTTTGGCTTGGAGGAATCATCACTACATCACGCGAGACACCAAACACGTCAAATCATAAGCCATGTCGGTTGTATTCCACGAGGTATCGAAACGAACTCTCTATCAGAGTACGAATGGATTAAAGAGTAAGAAGAAAATGGGGGGGAAACAAGTGAAAAGCCGAGCTCGAAATGCTGCTTCAAAAAGCAAAATAAGAAAACAGTAGAAGTGCGTCCAGCTGTGAGGCGGAAAGGGGGAATAATGGACTATTTCGCCAGCACGCGTACTTGAACAACGACCACAAGGTCAGAGGGGGTATGACCAAAATCCGTGCGCCATGCCAGCATCTTCCATCCTCCCATGTGAACGAACTTCCGCCAAGTCTTCCCATGGGTACAGCAGCTGCTTCTTCCCTCGAAATTATAAGTCGATGCAGCTTCCGCTTGCTGTCGAGGCCGTGCCGTGCCTCTTTTCCTTTTGGTCTGCGCATAACACCATGAGATTAAGAGTCATCAGAACCCCGGCTGCCCGAGAATATCATTGCCGATTGGCTCCTCGAGCGCTTTGGGTGGGACCATCCATCAACTAGTATCCGTTCATGGTCATTCGTTGCGAGTTCCGGCTGAGCTCACGGTCAGCAGCAGGGCTGATGGGTCTGCTACCGCCACCGTGTGCGCTGCTCTCCTTGAGTGCCAAGAGCTGCTTGGCACGGAAAGTCTCGTAGTGGATCTGCGACGTGGTCTCAATGAGGTCTTGAAGGTGGGTGCGGAGAAGGAAGTTTCTCAAGTAGATGAATTCGCAGTGGTTCTCGTCCTCGACGTTGATGACACCCCAGCGGTTTTGGCGACCGCGGACCTGCTTGCCGTTGACGATGATGGACTTCTCGGAGCCAACAACGGCGAAGGGAACCAAATCCTGTTCACTTGTTAGCAGCTGACGTGGGCATGATCTGCAGCTAAAGGGCTCACCTTGATCTGAGTGTTCAGGTTGCGCTCCTCGTCATCAAACTCCTCGTTGTCGTACGGGTACATCTTGAGGTTGTGGAAGGCGAACTCCTCCTTGATGCGCTCCTTGAACTGCAGGCGCTCCTCGAGGGTCAAAGTGTCGGACTTGGCAATGACGGGGACGACGTTGACGACATCAGACAGCTTCTTCAGGACGACAATATCGATGGGCTTCAGAGAGTGACCTGAGGGCTGGATGAAGAAGAGGCAGCAGTGGATGCGGGTGTCTTGAATGTAGCGCTCGCGCTGAGCAGTGAGCTCCTTTCGCAAGTACGCGGAGTGTTGGTCCTTGATGTACTTGACGATAGGATCCCAACAGCGGTCATTGTTCACCAGGTCGCCGTAGCCAGGGGTGTCGACGATGTTGAGGCGCAGACGGACGCCATTCTCCTCAATCATGTGAGAGACGGCCTGGATCTCGGTGGTCGAACGGACAGCCTCGTCAGGGAGCAAGCGACCCTTGGAGTCGATAAGGTGGGAGGCGAAGATAGTGTTGATCAGGGTGGACTTGCCCAAACCCGTCTGGCCTAATTGTGGAAACACAGTCTGTCAGTCGACTGCCAGGACACGAGGTCGCGAACAAGGCGGCAAGCAATTGCCGTCGCACATGGGGGGATTAACTCACCGACACAAATGACATTGAACTGGAAGCCTCTCTTCAGGAGCTTCTTCTCAATCTGGGACGTGATGCTGTCGAAACCAACATGGGTCTGGGGGAAGATGGTCTGGGGCTGCGCCATGGCGATAGCTTTTCCGCGAGGGAGCGAGAGTGGGTGGTGTGGGTGTTGTTAAGGAGTGAAAGTGAGATACGTTTCTGTATTCCAAGAAAGGTATCTGTTACTTGGTCTCTCGATTGGGGCCGAGTCGAGGTGAGAGGTTGAGTGAGGGTCGGGAGTCGGAGAAGCGATGTGCAGGGAGAGAGAAAAAGAGGATCACGAGGTTGGAGGATGTTTCGAAGGACACAAGCCGGTGAATGGGAAGAGTGAACCTGATCTGGCCTGGACCAGGAGGGTAATTTCCTCTCTGCTGGCACCTGCTTGCTACCCGTCCCCGGTGTCTTGTCTGTCAGGCACTGGCTGTGGCCGTTGGCTGCTGCTAATAGGTTGTTACTTCCACTCCAGCAAACAATAATTTCCCTGCAGGGAGGTGCAGGGGGTGGAGGGAAAGGGGAAAAGGGGTCTCCATCGCGTTGATTGGCTGATATAAGTCTGTGCGTCTCGGGGGCTGTGATTGGCTGGCTGATCTCAATTGACAGCTCCCTGGTCGCAAGCCTTTTTTTTCTCGGTTCGGAATGGAAGAAGCTTGAGCCTCGTGATGTGAACGACAGACAGTGGTGCAGCTGCCTCAACATCCACCATCGCGAACAAGGATCGCAACCTCGAGACCCGGCAGCCCGATTCCCTTGGCCCCGTTCGACGTCACGACTCCTCAAACTCGAATCTATACCCGACGCTTTCTAACGTCCTGCGAAGACCGTTGCCCCTCCACCCGTTCTCGAGTCGATCGGTCATCGTTCAAAATGGCCGCCATCGCTATGGGCGCGCAGCCTTTGCGCATGACCTCCCTCTTTCCCCGGATCTCCGCGCCAGCTTTCACCCAGACGTCAAGGATATTCTCCCTCTACACGCGTCAAGTTACAAACTCCTTCCTTCCGGCGCTCTCCTTCGCCCTGCCGGCATTCAACCTCAACGTACCTGCGTGGCTCGGCGGCATCTGGGAGTCCATCTTGAGGGCAGTGCCCAAGAAGAAGACTTCGCACGCGAAGAAGAGACACAGGCAGATGGCAGGAAAGGCGCTCAAGGACGTCAAGTCTCTGTGCAAGTGCCCGGGTTGCGGCCAGATTAAGAGACAGCACATCGTGTGCCCACACTGCCTAAGCAGTACGTATCCCTCCACCGCCTTCTGATGTCCCTTCACTGACGGCTGCTTAACAGAAATCAAAGATCTGTGGAGAGACGAGAACCCCTCAGGAAAATTTATTTAAATCGCCCAATGGTCGTGTAACATTTCGAGACGTGTATATTCAAGTGTACAACTGGTTAGCATATTGTGGCGTTTGGGACAATCCATCACTTCTTCGGACGTGCCTTTATGATTACTGTTTTTCTGATGTGCTGAGGGCATTAAGATTATCTTCAGCGCCTACCGAGTCCCTTTGTTGATGCCAATTGCCTCTGACATGTTCGTGTTCTTTGGAATTGATGTCAACTGATCCGGGGGAAAGGCATTCGGGAGTTTTCGTTGAAGTAGCGCGGGTTGGTCTAACAGTCAATCCGAAATTTGAGATGTGCGGAACAGTGAATCACTTGCCAAGTCACGGCTTGGTTCTTGTATTCACCAGAGGGAACCTGGTGACGATACAAGCTCTTCCGAGTTTCCCCAAAGTAGATACGATGCCTCAAACCAACATCCCGGGCACCACGGCCATCTATGGTGGTTAGGTTGGGACCGTTATATGGCTACTTCCTCATGGTACCAGTCCGAATTTTGCAAAGACAAGGGTTCAAAGGTCAATTTTTTGGCTTGGGTCTAGACATTGCAAATGCGTTTTAGAACGCGCAACCTCTTTTTTATTCGACCAGTCCTCGATAAGTGCATCATTGGGGACAATCGATCCATCAAAGTTGTCCGTTTAGATGCAGAAACTGATGCAGGGTCAAGAACCACGGCGGCGGGATAGCGCAGGTTCGACAACAGTCCCATAAAGGGGAATTGTCCACATTCTAGATGGGCCTTGGTTGCGACAACGTTATCATGATCAAACATCTCCGAGCGAAGGTCTCTACCTTGAACGATTTTGAAGAGAGACCATGATGGCTGGTCGACAGTGTGCGTAACTCACGGAAGACACGTGTGATGAACTTGGATTTTGAACAAACCTGCCGTCCTTGAATTCATAGCGGAACAGGGGTAATGCATAGCAGGTACAAAGCTTCGAACACTGATTGACACTAAGAGCAATGTGTATCTGTGATACGTTGTGGGGCGAGTTTCGAGCGAGTTGCTTCGCCTCAGGAGCAGAGCTTTGAACATGGTCACTTGTTCAGCTCTTGATTGGTATGATGGGAAAAGGATGATAGCTTCTCAATTCCTTTGGCCGGCCGAACAAATGTTGTAAATCACCAATGAACTCCTACAACCATCGAGATCTGTCTGGCCTCGCTTACTATTCCCTCAACGCTGACGCACTATGTACAGCTCATTGTGTCGTTCAAGGTCGAGGGTTTCAGTCACCCCTGTGAACATTAAAGTCTTATTCTGTCCCCACCTGTTTTGTTGTAGGACTTAGTATCTTTGAAGTCTAAGAAGAAGCATATCATTACCATTGTTTACAGCCCTACTATCGTCATTATTGTTGGCATACAAAAGAGTTGAAAGGGAGCCAGCTCAAGAAGTGGTTGTTTAGGTGAACAACGTGAACTTGTTAGTATACCTAGAAACAATTCTACTCGTCTCCAACGTCCACCACAAAGCCATTGTGAAGACCAAATGAATCCCTCAAAAGCCTCGTACCATAGACTTCTCTGTCTATCCAGAAGATAGCCAATATCTGCGGGACTTGACCAAACGAGGAAACGTTACTCGATTCTACCATGTTAAGCCCACGCATAAGTACCTGCAAATCTTCTAATCGTAGTAGCCGCAATGTCACCCCAATAGTCACCTTGGCAGCCCCGCATGTACCGTAGCAAAATGTCTGGTTTGGGAGACCTCCCTGAAGAGCTCGTCCTTCATATCGCGTCTTACCTAGGGAGTCTCTTAAAAATCAAAGTGACGAAACGTCTCGAAATCGCCTCCGATAGAGTACAAATTCAAGACGCTAGTAACGCCGAACTGAACGTAATAGAGAACTACTTTGATGACCCAGAGAAGCTGACAGATCTGGCAACCTTGGATGGCATTACTGACCTTAAGAACTTAACTGTGTCGTGCAAATCTCTCTATAGCCTCCTACTGCCCGTGTTGTACAGGAGAAGCGGCCTGTAGGACGACTGGTACGCCTTCCGGTGGACTTGTTTTCATGGCTCCATCACTACGCTAGTAGCGGCCCTCCACGGGGGTGCAGATGTCGATTACAACTTTACCATGCAGGCTGATCATACATATTGGCTGAATTATAGGCATGTCAACAGGAACCCCTTCGGTTATATCCAGAAACTGAGACAGAGAACATTTAGGACCGGTACGCCTCTCATCGCGGCGCTGTATGGCGACTTTCTCAACCACAATAACCAAGAGGTCGTCAAATATCTTCTGTCTCACGATGCCGACGTGAATCTGGAGGATTCTAATTGGATCGCTCCGCTACACGTCGTAACGAGATACGGAGTTCACCGCCGCTCGACGATGAAGCTCCTCCTCAAATACGGCGCCGACGTAAGCTACCCAGGTCCTCGAGGATGGACACCATTGCACCTGGCTTGCTGGCGGCTTAGGTGGGCTTCTCCCGCGATAGAACCTCTGCTCTTATGCCGCCGAATCCTGCAGAGTGACGATGACGAGGCGATGCGGCCTGTGGCGGGGATATTGATCGAAGCAGGGGCTAACTTGAAGGCGCAGACGAATTCATCAGGGTCGTGCGGATCTCCCGAACCTGCAAGGTCTGGGGTGACGCCGCTCGAGTTGGCTCTCCACTGCCAGAACGACACCATGGTCAAGTTTCTCCGTGAGAAGGATTGCAAGTCTTTGAATACCGGTAACTGTTTGCTGATATGGATTGGCAGTTCAGAAGATGCGGCTCGACATCTTGTTGACGACAGCTGCGTAATAACGTTGGCATAATGTGTGTATCGGAACTCCGGATCACTCGACTACAAGAGTTCCTCATTCGTGCAAACAGCCATGCTGGATGACCAAACTCGTCCGTGAAAACAAAACCTATAAAGATGGTATGGCAGGAGTGTGCCATTGATTGAGGGAACTTAGAGCGCGGTTTTCTGAAAGCAGAAACGTTTGGTGGTAGTTGACACCCAGATCGCAGATTGGGTGTATGGAAAATAGCTTGACTAGGCAAACAAAATCTTTTGAAGCCAAGCTGATAATGTTCTGGTTCAAGAACATGTCATTCACAAAACCTTCTGTACAGGATGAAATAATCATGTGTGTTTTTCGAAAGGCTCGCAACAGAGGCATTGGTAAGTTTCGCTTGAAATGATGCCACTATTGGAGGTATGACAGCGTGAAGTAGTGTTCGCGAGGCCGATTCCAGCAAGGGTGTTAGGAGCCCCTCCATTGCCCCTCCCTCCCCAACTATCCATTGCAAGGGTCTTTCCTCGCAAATGTGTGATGTCAGCCCCCACCTACCCGACAACATCGCGCTCGCAATTATCCCATTAGCAACCGCGCATCATCCACAGCGGCACAAGCTTCACATGGACTGGCAATCATGGTAAGAGCTACAGAGGTCAGACTTGATTGCAGCGGAAGCTAATTATGGCAGTCGAAACAATATCTGACCACACACACGGTGGACAATGGTGAGCTGGCTCGACCTTGGGAGCTCTGGTGCTTTGAGCTGTTTGAAAGCTTCGCTTTGCTAACACCTTGCGACTCCTAGCCCACATAACCGACATCTTCGGGCTTGCCACGACCCAGAGATCCCTTCTGTCCGCAAGCGGATCGTCCACTCTTCACGTCCACAACACGTTCGACCCCTCGATCCCCATCACACAGTCCATCAGCGGTGCACACAAGCTAGGCTGCCATCACATTTGCACCTCGCGCAATGGCCTCGTCGCTGCCAGCGCAGGTTTCGCCGGCGAAGTGAAGATTTGGGTCGTCGACAAGGATACGAGCGAGTGGAAGCTGCACTCGGAGATCACAAACCAGGCGGCCAAAGCTGGCGAGGTGTGGGCCATTGCCCTCAGCGAGGATGGCAAGTTCCTCGCGGGAACGACCTATGACGGCCGGGTGAACGTCTGGGACGTTGGTGAAGAGGGAACGCCCAAGATCAGAGAGTACGAGACTGGCAGTCCGGGCTCGGGAAGTTTTGGCATGTCGGTCGACCTGAGCCGGGATGGAAAATACACTGCCAGTGGTCATGAGAATGGTGCTGTCTACGTATTCAACAACGATACTGGACGGCTGTTGTTCTCCTTGCCCAGTAAGCCCCTCCGAAAACCGTTCTGAACAACCGCTTGCTAACACTGTATTCAGGTCTGGTCAAGTCTGTCCGCGCTGTGGCATTTTCCCCTGGAAACACAAGACTTGCTGCTGCAGGAGATTCATCCATTATTGCACTCTACGATATCAAGAATGGCGAGCAGGTCGGTAACATGACAGGCCACGCCTCTTGGATCACTTCAATCGACTGGAACGACAGCGGCGAATATCTACTCAGTGGCGCTATGGATGGCAAGGTCAAGGTATGGTCTGTTGAGCGCAGCGCCTGTGTCGCGACGCATAGCGAGACGGACAAGGCATTATGGGCTGTCAAGTGGCTCCCGAAGACTGGAAAGAACGAGTCTTTCTGTACGGCGGGTGCCAACAGAAGCATCTCGTTCTACAGAGAAGCTACTGGAGCATAGACGGAGAGGGGAACCTAAAAAAAGTTGTTGCGTGTCTAAATACCCTGGTGCAAGGCATTACGTTACGGCAGATATGAAAACAGACGATAGAGACATGCCGATGATGAGCACAGTGCCCTAGACAGTGAGTGTTATGATTAGTACTGTCATGCCCGTGACATGACACGTGCTTTCGTACCAACCTCGCGTTGCCCCGCCAAATTAAGGCCCCTGCCACCTTCTTGCCCATTTCGTCATTCACTGCCCATTGGTTTGGTAACAGAGGATTACATTGCGACGACACCGATTGGCGACATTATCTGAAGCATTTGCATCCAAACCGAGATACCCTAGACTTACCACCGCCCAGGTTATCGGTATCTTTATATCATCGGCCGCATTGCTTGGTCTTCATTCCCGTCAGGCATTCATCACACCCTGGTCAATCACACATCATTCATACGATGCCCACCACCCGGAGATCAGCAGGAGGAGCCCGAGCCAGACCCGGCCCGACTCGGGGCCAGTCGACCATCAGCTTCTCTCATAGAGTCTCCAAGCCCGTACCCAAGGAACAGAAGAAGGCTGCCCTCACCTCTGCCGTTGAGAGAGCGGAAATTGGCAAGCCAGCCAAGGATGAAGAAGAAGCGAACGAAATCCAACTCGACGAGCCCGCATCCCCAGAGATTGAGGAGCCGGACGTGAAGGAGGAAGTCCCCGAGAAGTCGGAGTCTGTGACCAGGGCCGAGAAGATCAGCGACGCCCAGATCAACAAGTACTGGAAGTCGGTTGAAGCTCAGCGAATTGCGCCTAGGGTTCATCAGAAGGACGTAAGTTTGGCAGAGAAGGTGCTGCGGTACTTTGATGTCAGCTCGCAGTACGGCGTGAGTCTCTCTGTCCATCAAACATTGTTACGATGCTAACATGACGCCCAGCCCTGCATTGGTCTGCAGCGCATGAAGCGTTGGCAGCGGGCCGAGAGACTGGGTCTCAACCCGCCCATCGAGGTCCTTGCGGTGCTGCTCAGGGAGCAGAAGAAGGGAGCTTCTCTTGAGCGGGCACACATGGACGAGCTCATGAACTCGACGGCAGTTGGGACCGCCTAAGGATAAAATGTTTAGCAGGAAGTGTGTGTGTGTGTGTGTGTGTGGGTGTGTGTGATTAAGATGCAAGCAGGGGAGTTTGGAGTTTGAGCAATTGTTTTATGAACCAGTTCTTTGGAGCAAACAACTTGCAGCAGGAACATACGAAGCATGCGAGACGAGAACTTGCTATACGTATAGTCAAAGGAGATTCTCCACGCTGGATAACAGCAGTCCAGAATTATACCCCTTGCCAGAGGCTTTGATTGTCACTGATCTTTACGGTGACGTTTCGAGCTGTTCTAGTACCAGATACTTCTCGTCCGGTGATGTCCCACCGTCTCTGTGCCAGCGGCCTCCAACTCCTTCATGGTATCATACAAAAAGAAATCAATCAGAATGGCGTTGACGCTCGTTCCGGGGTGCTCCTTCTGGATTTCCCGCTTAATGAGCTCGACGCACCAGATACTGCACGCTGGCTCGTTGTTAGCACGTCAATCACAGTGTCTTGTTTCATTGGCCTCACCTCTCATCTGCAACTCCAACCTCGATCCACTTTCAATGACTCGCTTGTCGATAATAGCCGTCGCCAGCGAAGGGCTATAGTACAAGCAGCCCATGGTATTGAGGATCTGCGGAACGCGGTAGTCGGCGAACATTGTAATCTTGTCAATGTCACGGAAGGCACCGATGCCCTCGCCGCCAAAGCACGCCCAGATATCCGCCACGAGGATTTGGGCCCTCTTGAGGATCCTCACGGGCTTCCGACGACCCTCAAACTTGTGCTCATCACGGAAGCAATCAAAGTCCCGGGCGAGCAGGTTGACCAGCCTGGCGGCAGAGCCGTTGGCGGCCTCGATGAGCTTCGTGACGCTGCAGTTGTACCTCTCATACAGCACGGTGCCGGCCTCACGCAGGCACGCCAGACGCTCCTCGAGCAAGGGCATCTCCTCCTCCGTCTTGGAGCGGAAGACATGCCTCATGAGTTCCATGTTACACTCGTCCTCGCTCTGCCAGAAATCGGAGCTGGTGATGGGGATGCCCTCGTCGAGGGCGCGCTGAAGAGAGGCGACCATGCTCCAGTAGCCGGTCCAGGTCTTGCCGCGGTACTCGACGGCGTACCTCTCATCCTGGGGCTTCTCGGACCAGAAGCAGAAATTGAGCAGGTCCATGGTGAAGATGAAGGCCGCGGTGGCCTCGTCCTTGGTCTTGGGGTGCAGCTCATGCTCGGCCCAGGTTGAGGTCGAGTACTGCTTGTGCTCCATCTGAGCGTAGATGGTGGCGGCGGCGCGCTTAGTGGCCCTCATGTCGATGGCGACGTCGATGGAGTTGTCGTAGACAAACTCGGCGCCATCGAGGACACCCGTCTCCGGCTCATCATCGACGTTGAGCTTGCCCTGGAAGTGCTGGCGGAGGAGGGCCAAGAGTTCGGGGTCGGCCTCGTCGTCGGACATAATGGGCGTACCGGGAAGGGGCCTCCTCTTCAAATGGAGTCCGGCCTATGTCTTTGGAGGGGGATCTGCACGAATACGGCCTTGGGCTTGGCTGCACCTTGATGCTTCTGGCCGGCTGCTTTGCAATCCTTTTGCTGAGGGGACGACGGCAGCGCGGGTTTGAACGTTGGACTAGGCGGCTAAGAGACCCATACTGCTGCACTGACCCGTTTGTTTTTTTTGTTGGATCACCGCTTAATTGCAGGCGGCGATCATCCCAGACGTCCCCTAATGGTCAATTTCATTTCTACTGTTATCTCTGATCCCCTGTTCCAATGTTCAATCCGCTGCTTGCTATGTGAAAAGAGGTTTAGCCCGCAGGTCTGCCGGGAACCGTTAGAGGCATAGCGAACGTTCGGGAGTCAGCAAGCGAAATGCGGTCACTGAGGCACCTTGTCAAGTCTGGATAGGTACAAGTCCAGCGTCTGACAGTGGCTATAGGGTGCACCAGGCCACTGAGGTTACAGCGCCCTCCAGTAGGCTTTCGCTGTGAGTGAGCGAGACCCGCTATTTCGGCCAATCATAGGTCGAGCGCGGCAAGTCCCCAGGAACCAACAGCTCGAATCCCTGCTGAATCTCGTCACCGGCTGCCGGCATTGGCTGGAGCCTTGCTCTGGGCGATCGTTCCTTCCGGTGACCTTAGGAAAACCTCAACCGTTCTTCGCAGCCTGCAGCCTCGCCCTCCGTGCTGAAACCACCCGCCCTCGTCTCATCCATCCCACCTGCGCGCGGCTTATTCCTCCCTCCTTCTCTTCCTCCCACCTCGCGATTGTTGCTCCTCGTCACAACCTTGCTCCGTCGCAATACCGATTGACAATCATTGACGCACAGGACAACCTCCACAACACTGCGAACTGAACCCGATGGATCCCACTGCGGAAGCGGGAGCAGCTGCAGCTGCAGCAACAGCCGCAGAGCCGACCGCGCCCGCCGCGACACCAACGACCACTGCACCACCACCAGAGCAACAGCAACAGCCAACGCAACCGCAAACCACCACGGCTCCCGCTGCGCAGCCGCCCGCGCAGCCGCCCGCGCAATCGGTGCAGCAGCAGCAACAGCAACAGCAACAACAGCAGCAGCAGCAGAAGCAGCAGCAGCAGAAGCAGCAGCAACAGAAGCAGCAGCAACAGCAAAGACCACCTGCCGTTCAGCCGCGCGATCGATTCTACCAGCAATCGCTCGGCGGAGCTTTGAACGCCAATGTCAAGAAGGTAGGTCGCAACCCTGTTGAGCCCGGCGCATCAGCCCACGCGACCTCTCCCCTAGCGCAGCATCCATCCACCGAGCGCGCTGATTATCTTGCACCCTCATGAAACGACGCGATAATGGTATCCTGTTCATTCGGAGATTCAATGGAGCTAACACCCACCGCACAGGCCCGCGTTTTGATGGTCGGAGCTGGCGGTATCGGATGCGAGCTCCTCAAAAACCTCGTACTCACGGGCTTTGGCGAGATCCACGTCGTCGATCTCGATACAATTGATCTGAGCAACCTCAACCGACAATTCCTCTTCCGATACGAACACATCAAAAAATCCAAGGCTCTGGTATGGTCCCCGAAACTGCGATGTAGGTTTGGATGCACTGCAGTACTGACTCGTCGAAGGTGGCCAAGGATGCGGCACAGCCTTTTAACCCCAAGGTCAAGATCGTTGCCCATCATGCGAACATCAAGGATTCCCAGTTCAATGTGAAGTGGTTCCGGGACTTCCACATTGTTTTCAATGCGCTGGACAACCTAGAAGCAAGACGGCACGTCAACAGAATGTGCTTGGCTGCCGACGTTCCCCTGATTGAGAGCGGCACGACTGGGTTCAACGGCAACGTCCAAGTCATCAAGAAGGGAGTCACTGCATGCTACGACTGCACCCCTAAGGAGACGCCCAAGTCTTTCCCGGTTTGCACCATCCGAAGCACGCCGAGTCAGCCCATACACTGTATCGTCTGGGCCAAGAGCTACCTACTCAACGAAATCTTCGGCACGAGTGAAGACGAGTCTGCTTTCGACAACTCAGCCGATGCCGATAATGCCAAGGAGATTGAAGAGCTGAAGAAGGAGGCCGCCGCTCTCAGAGCGATTCGTGAATCACTGGGTACCGAAGCCTTTCCTCAGCTTCTCTTTGACAAGGTGTTCAACACCGATATTTTGCGATTGGCGTCTATGGAGGACATGTGGAAGTCCAGACGGAAGCCCGAGGCCCTTGACTACAAGACTCTGTCGGAACAGTCGAAGGACGCCCTTGCGTCAAAGGAGGCAATTCTGACGGACGGACAAAACGTGTGGACGTTGGAGCAGAATTTTGCAGTGTTCGTCGACAGTCTGGACCGGCTGAGCAAGCGCATGCAGGAGCTGAAGAAGGCTCACCAAGACGCACCTGGACCGGAGCCCCTGATCACTTTCGACAAGGACGACGAGGACACATTGGATTTTGTCACAGCCAGTGCCAACATCCGATCATTCATCTTCGGCATAGAGCGCAAGTCCCGTTTCGATATCAAGCAGATGGCGGGCAATATCATCCCGGCCATTGCGACAACCAACGCAATTGTCGCAGGCCTGTGTGTTCTTCAGTCGTTCAAGGTTCTGAGAGGTGACTTCACTCAGACTAAGGAGGTAAGGTCAAAACTCTGTCGTTGCCAGGATTGTGGTCTAATGTTCTACTTAGGTGTTCATCTCTCCTCATAACCCTGCTCGTCTGCTCAACTCGAGCAAGTACCGACCTCCCAACCCAGATTGCCCGGTGTGCAGCGTATATCAGACGAGCGTGTATGTCGACTTGTCCAGAGCTACGCTCAAGGATCTCGTCGAGGACTTTGTGCGTCTGGAGCTTGGCTACGGCGACAAGGAGTTCGCCGTGAACAACGACGCAGGCCCGCTCTACGACCCAGATGAGACAGAAAACTTGCCCAAGAAGCTCAGCGACCTTGGCATCAAGGAAGATACTTTCCTCACCGTTATCGATGAAGACGATGAGGAGCCCTTCGTCAATGTCGTCATCAGCATCCAGGAATCGTACGTCTATCTATCCATCTATAACCAAAAAGCCCACTAACACCCTTTCAGCAAGGAACCCTTGGAAGACAAGCCTGTCAAGGGCTTGGTTGCGGATCAGAAACCCGAGATTCCTCGCAAGCCAAAGAAGGAGACCCCGGCGGAGTCTAACGGCACAGCTGAGCAGAACGGCAAGCCCACCGTCGATGTCGAAGGAGAGTCGGCAAACCTCAAGCGGCCTCGGTCAGACGATGGCGACGAACCGATTGAAGCAAAGAAGGCCAAGGTTGCCGCAGCAAGCAACGACGACGTGGTCGTCGTGGATGATTCGACAGGTGGCGCAATCGTCATCGACGACTGATGATGGTCAGGGGTGCCCCTCCGACTAAAATGGGGGAGCTCTACGCCAGCTCAGACAGCACTTAACCCGCCATCCAGATTTAGGATGCAGTTATTGGCATAAGTGTTTTGGGCGAGAAAGACGGCAGCATCGGCCACCTCGTCAGGCCGACCTAAGCGCCCTAGTGGAATTCGCTTTTCGAGGGGTTCCTTCGACATTGCTGTGATAATAAATATGTACATTAGCTATGCTCTGACCAAGGGCATCGACCTACGGAACCCTCGGAAGCCGATCTCGCAGCTGGTGATGCAAGCGAGGGGGAGTTTGGGCCTCTTACAAGCAAGCATGTTGGTTTCTATGTAGCCAGGGACGATGGCATTGGTCCTGATGCGCAGCGGTCCCAGCTCAACGGAGAGGGCGTGGGTGAGGCCTATGGGAAACGGCATCGCCAGATATTAGACTTGCTCTATTACACTGGGGGTGGGGAGACCAAGAAAAATACAGCAACGCAGAGTTTGCACGATGTATGAAAACGAAGGGAAAAGAAGCAAAAAAAATAAACAAGAACGTACCAATGATACCGGCTTTTGACGCGGCGTAGACACTGGTGCCAGGGCTACCCTTTTCGGCCAGCAGGCTTGCAACGTTGATAATGCAAGCTTGTAAGTGGGACGACGTGGTCAGCAGGACTGTAACCGCAGGACGTGCACTGCATGCACGAGGCTGTCCCATCCGTGCGGAAGTAGCGATCAGATCGATCACACGGTGTGACGAGAATCATACGTATGAGACTGTTATGCTGGGGAGGAGAAAGGGGACCGTTGCCATGACTTACCATCCCTGTCTGCGCGCCTGCGCTTCATGCGCTGAGCCATGTACCTCGACATGAAGATTGTGCCCATAAGGTTGGTGTCCACAAGTTCCCTCGCAGCCCGCGGGGAGGTGTTCTGCAACAGCTGGAATTGCGCAATACCCGCCGCGTTGACCAGAACATCTATCTGGCCCGTACGTTTCTACAAGTGGAGGGGATGCCCCTGTCAGTTTGATGTGTTTTGCAGTAAGTAGGGCGTCACGTAGGTAGCCTCGTTTTATATACGGACGCAGCCTTTGGATATCGTGATGAAATGAGGAGCTGAAGAAGAAGAGAGAAGAAGGGAAAGGAAAACGTAGGGAAAGGAAAGGGGGGGAGACAAACCCAGATGTCATCCAAAACGGCATCGTCACGGCCGTCGGCGGAAACGTCCATGACGGCGTAGGAGTGAACGGGCTTTTCTCCGTTGGCGGGAGGTGAAGACGTTGTGGCCGCGGTCAGAGGAGCGAGGCGGGAATCCCGGAAGGGCGGCAGGCGGGCGCAGAGATCGCGCAGCTTGTCCTCCTTGCGGCCGAGGAGGGTGACGAGGGCGCCCTCGGCGGCGAAGCGGGCGGCGATGGCGGCACCGATGCCGCCGTACGCGCCGGTGATGAGGCAATGGCGGGCACGGAGGGGGAGGAGGGGAGCGGCCATCTTGCGTGTGGGTTGCCTTGATGGTTGCTTTGCTTAGCCAGGATGAGACGGGTGGGAAGCCAGGATAGATGAGAGCTCGCCTGCTGCTGTGGCTGTCCGTTCTGGTGAGCTGCGTTGAGGTAGGTATGTAGCTTGGTGGGAATGCGGAAAGGGAGCTTTGGACGTGTCGACTGGGATGTCTGAGTTTGATTCTGGGGGGTGAGGGGGGGGGGGGGGACCAAACCGATCTGCCGGCTTTGCCAACCTGCTTCAACACGGATGATCGAAATCCAAAGCAACCGCTGTTAAAGAAGGCAAGTCGGGTATCAAATGAACCCTGTACAATCGGAGCTTTTTCTGATACTCATCTTGCATCTCGTCTCGAGGTTTCACGGTGGTACGATTTCTTTAACTACTGCACCGGAATCTGGGGTGTAGTACAAAACACCCTCGTGGCTTTACGTGGGAATGTCAGGCCCGTTAGATAACGGACAACCGGATGAATGGCAACTAGGTAGGTCACAGAGTCATGTTCTCGAAAAGCAGAAAGAAGCCCCTCGGACATGGAAAACGGTCCGCTCATGGACAATGCAAATGCGGAATGCACCTCACAGTATGAAATTCCCGGTGCGGAGATGTGTGATAAGACAAGTCAAGGACAGGATGGGATGAGACAAGAGCAAGAGGTCCCGAGACTGGAGACCTTGAGCAGAATAGAGCTAATCTGGGAAGATGCTTGACTTTGCTTGGGCGAGCGGGTTTGTTTGTGCGCAACGACTGTGCCCCCCTCCCCTCTCCAAGGACGGGAGGGCAGCTTGGGCAAGCAAGGCAGGCAATAATGGCATTATCTGCAGTGGTCTTTGTGTCTCTGGTCAGTGTCAGAGAGAAATCTGATTCCGAGGCTTCTCCATTGCAGCTCATGTTCAAGCTCCCAGATGGTGAGACAGGCGTCCGTCCATTGGGAAAGGCCCGTCATGGTGTGTTCTCCACTCCTTCTGGTGCATGGAAGGAAGGTCATTCCTGAGGTCTTGTGGATAACGTGCTGCTTCGATGGCTAGTAACGGCTGCGTTCGTGCATCTACGCATCTTGGTCTCGTCTTGCGGCGCCTGGTTTAAAAACTGATAGCCCAGCTAGCTGCGGGGTGTGTAACAACTAGACGACTGCTACAGAGGCATGGAAGCAGAGGCATGCAAGGTAAAAGAAATTAGACAGATCCCGGTCGATTTCCCCCCAAGAGTGCGGAAACAGGAATTGCAGTGGTCCAACCTCGGAGGGCGAGAGCTATGGGGTACATCAGCCAAAGTACCTGTGGACTTGCAAAAGGCTATTTATTGGTGATGATGGTGTTGAGCTAAGGCGTGCCCCGCCGTTGTCGATGTCAGGGGCCACCACACGGCACACGCAGCGAATGCGCCGCTTACTTCTACGTTCACGGCGAGACTGCTGCATCGTCGTGTAGTTCGGTTTGCTTGTCCGTCGCCGTTACTGCCAGGTACCGATCAATCTAAGATGTCTCGTGGTGCCAGACACCAGCGCTAGCGCGGGACCCTTTGATCTCGTCCCAACTTGTCGACGATTTGCCGTTTTATTCGACATTGATTTGCAGTTGCGAAGCGACACTGTCGTCTTCCTCCTCGGTTGCCGTCACAGGCTCGCCCTCCTTATCAGTCGTTGTTCTCTCTCTTTCTCTTTCTCTTTCAACCTTGGCTCGTCCCGCGGTTTCGCCCGCAAGGTAGTTCACGGTACTTTGACTGCAAGTACCGATCGGCCCCCCCCGACCCCGAGAACAGGTCCCCGAGCCAAGGTACTTCCTCCACACCACGCCACGCCACGCCAGCGGTTCCAGTTGCAGCAGTTCGAGTGCCAGTTACAGTTTCCCGCGCCCGTTGGTGGTACGGACGCAACATCGCAATCCCACCATCAGCTTTGCTCCAGCTTTGCGAATTTCCCGTCCTTCTTCCTCTCTTCCTTTCCCTCCCGCCCCCCAAACATCGCAGCCTTCGGAAATCGTCTTGCCGCTGGTGATCTCCTGCCACGCAACCGCTCGTTTTTCAGCACCAAAACGAACTGTCCCTTTTGGACTGGCAAATGCGCAGCCACCTACCGAGTTGTCGAGCAAGTGCAACTGCGTCCGCTTCCCCTCCACCTTAAACGCTTACACTGGCCTGCCCCGACCCCGACCCTCCTCCTAGCCACGATCCACCTGGCCGCACAACTGCAAACCAACACCCGACTCGAACCACCTAACCCTCCCACGAGACAACGAATGGCCGTATGCCTCACGATCGCGACCTCCGACAACGCCTGATGACTAGCCACACCAACGGCGCCGCACTGGCGCCGAAGCCCGACCCGGAGCGCCGCGATGCTACCGTCTCGAACCCTACAGCCGCCGACGCAGCTGCCGTCGCCGAGGCCCCCGCCCCGCCTCTCATCACGATCAAGGGCCCCAGCGACGCGCCCGACGCGGGCCTGAGGAGCCTCGATCATTGTACGCTGTTCTAGCCTTCCAGCTTTGTCTTCCCTCGTCCAGGCTCTCCTGCCTCGAGCCCTGCGCATTGCGGGGCGGCTGTTACGACCCAAGAGAGATTGAGCTGACCTGGCCATTGAACAGACAAGAGAGCGCTGCCGACATGGCGATACCGACTGCGACAGTGGATGCTGCCACTGATCCGATGGGAGACCCCCTATCTGGCTTACCTGCAGGAGATGATGCGCACCCCGTGGCTCGATAGTTACTTTGCGATCACGGCGAACCTCGGCACCCATACCTTCTTCATGATCGGCTTGCCCATGCTCTTCTGGTGCGGCTACGCTTCCTTCGGCAAAGGGTAAGCAATCGTCCACGTGCGTACCTGTCGAGGGCCTATCTAACTAGCTGTGATCTCCAGTGTCATCCACATCCTTGCTGAGGGCGTCTTCTTCACTGGCTTCATCAAGGACTTCTTTTCGCTCCCGCGCCCGCTTTCCCCGCCGTTACACCGAATCACCATGTCCGGTTCCGCCGCGCTGGAATATGGCTTTCCGTCAACCCATAGCGCCAATGCAGTGTCAGTGGCCGTGTACGGCGTTTTGCTCCTGCGCAGTCCCGACAATACTATGCCGGAATCCACCAAGACCCTCCTCGAGGGACTATCGTACTTCTATGCGATCTCTATCGTCTTCGGCCGTCTGTACTGCGGCATGCACGGCTTCATCGACGTCGTTGTAGGATCGATTCTGGGCGCCGCCATCTCGCTTGTCGAGTTCCACTACGGTCCTCCTTTGGATGCGTACATGCACAGCAGCTCGTGGTGGGCGCCCGTCATCGCCGCTCTCGTGATCATTGTCCTGGTCAGGATTCACCCGGAGCCTGCGGATGACTGTCCCTGCTTCGACGACAGTGTTGCTTTTGCTGGCGTAGTCATCGGCCTAGAAATTGGAACATGGATGTACGGGCGGACGTCAATCGATTCCTTCGGGGGATCCGCCCACAGCGTCCAGTCCCTCGACCTCGGCGCCCTCGGGTGGCACATTGTCCTGGCCCGCATCGTGTTTGGCGTCTTTGTCATTTTTGTGTGGCGGGAGGTTATGAAGCCGACCATGCTCAGGATTCTGCCGCATCTTTTCCGTCTCTTGGAGAAGGTTGAGTGGAACCTTCCTCGACGGTTCTTCACCCCGGCGTCCAAGTACAAGGTTATTGACCCCGGCTCGCGGATGGATAACCTCATCCCCTCCGTCAGGGACTTCCCCCGTGTGGTTCAGTCTATCCGTCACCCCACGACGCGTGGCCGTTCAGTATCGATCGGACCCCAGAGTGCCGCCGATGCGTATGAGACGCTGGCATACCGCGAGCGTCGGCGGCGGGAGAGCATCGGCAGCAACGGCAGCATCAAGAGCAAGGGTAGCATGCACGAGCTTCGGGAAAAGAGCGGCGACTGGGAGGGGAAGGGAGCGACATCCGGTGTACAGGGCCATCACGGCAACTCGCTACATGACTTTGAGCGCATGATGGGTACGGGCAGCGTCCTGGCGAGCCCGAGCGAGGAGAAGGGAGAGCTGGACCTGACGGTTGGCCAGCAAGACGAAATCAGCGAGAAGGAGATGTTCCTGCGACTGATTCGACCTCGAGTGCGTTACGACGTCGAGGTGGTCACCAAGTTGGTTGTTTATACAGGTACGTGCTGTGCGCCTCTTCCGTAGGATCCGGCACACCCCGCCTCGGTTCTGGGTCTTCTCCACAGTTGCTGACAGGTAATGACAGGTATCGCATGGCTAGGCGTCGGCCTGATCCCCATGATGTTTGAGTTGGTTGGCCTTGGATCGAAGCACCTCCGCACTGCCTAACTCAAAACTCTTGTTCTGGACGGGGTCATTCAAAGATACTATCCAACCCGTCTTCTTCTTTTTGTCTTTTCTCTGCATGATGCATAGGCACGGATCTACCGAGAGCGTGCCGGTAGGAGGAACGATGGGAATGCAAGAGACGGACGTATAGACTTATTATTTTTTGACGAAAGCACGACGTATTGTATATTCTTCTGGCGCTTGCATCTACCTAGGGACGGGGTTTGAAACTTTTTGCTTGGCGGTTTGTCAGACCCGTCGTCTCCCCCGTAATGATATGGGTTCCCCTCGGCGTTTATGGGCAGGGGAAAGAAAGCTGTTGTGCTGTGTGTAAGGGTTCAGGTGGCAATGTTGTGAGTTTTGCTTGGCGAGGCTAGAGTGAAAGAAATATCAGAGCTTTGCTGCTTCGAAATGAGAATGGGCGGCGGCTTTGTTCACGAGTGTTACACCCGCAGCGCGGTTTGTTCGTGATGTGCATGTTGCTAGGCCTCGGGGACGGATGCCTTGTTGCCGCAGGCTGCAGGTGAGATACGTTAGGGGGGAGATAAGTAAGGTACACTGAGGCAGAAGAGGTGAGACGCACGAGGCAGCAGCAGCAGCAGCCACGTTGGCATGCCGTGTTCTAGTGCGTGCTTTTTGCAAATCCCCTCGCTTTGTGCCGGTTCTACCACGGTCACACTCATCGCTTTCGATTCTTGATGCCACATGTTCTCCGTCCATCTCTGGCAGATCGTAGCCATGGCTGCAGAATCCCATGATGGCTTCGTATGAGGTCGCTTTGGCAGCAATCGTGATGGCTCGTGTCGAACACCCATTTCAAAACGTAAGTCACAGGCCGTCCATCATCAAGGACCATCTCCGCTGACCCTCATGTCAAAAGCCTAGCAAGCATCATCACCGTCCCTGTAGGCCTGGATTGGGTAGTCGTGCCAGACCGCATGTCAGATGGAAAATCATCCCCCCTGCGTGGAGCTCGAGATCCACGTTTATAGTTCACGCCATCTCCGGGGTCGAGGACTGGCCTGTGGGGGCTTGCGACCCAGATCTTCAGAGTTCTCCTCCCATCCCGCCCCTCACGGCTGAATGCGGAGTTGCTGTCGCTGGACTACATACATATGGTGCCGCCACGAGAGGGGCTCATGACGATGCTACCCCTCGAGTGGAACCTCGCCGTTTTTCGGTCTTGAGAGCGCAGAGATGGACGCTGAATCGTACAATATCACCTTGATGGCAGGTCTCGGTCGTTCACGTACAAGTGCGGCAACTAGACAATCGTGGACCACGTGCGTGCCTCGCAGGCCCCCCAATGTGCTACTGCCTTGTCAGGGGAGGGGAGGATTGGATCATCAGACGATCGGCTTGCCGCGGCGGATGATCTTGACTGGTAGGGCTGGTATGGGTCCCGGGAATTCGGAACACGGAGCGACGCCGCATGCCCCATGCTAGATTATCAGATCTCGAGGCCCGACTGCATTGGGCGAAGCTTAAGCCTTTCGACGAGGTGGCCGACCCGATTCGCGTTCCTGACGCGATGTCTCCCTTTGTCTTCGCTCATCTGCTGAGGGTCCCCGCCGGTGTCACTGCAAGCCGACACATCCTCCGACGGACCCGTATTCCGCGCAAGACAACGTCTGATGGCAGCTGTCAAAGAAGCAATGATTCTGCGATGCAGCGACGAGACCTCGGCCTCGTTTGTATGTCGACAGCTGCGCAAACCAAGTGCGGATCAACGGCTTTCGTTGTCTACTTTCTTACCAACCAAGAAGGAACGCAATGCCAGCGGGGACTCTACAAAAGTCTCTAATATTGACACCGACAGCCAATATCGTAAAAGCTGATGGTCGCTGGACTGTGGGAAATGCGCATAATTCGCAATCAAACGGGGTTGTCTTTGGCGAAAAGTGCGGTTGCAAATTACGGCCAACGAGCGACGTCATTTGCTGCAGTCCTTCGGTGGCCGGCATTTTGCCTCATCGCCTTAGGCATTAGGGAATTCCCAGTCGGGCTAGCGTGGATCTAATCGAGGGGGAAAAGCGAAGAAGCGAGGGAAGGGGAAGAGGACGGGGAGGCGAAGAAGGAAGGGGGACAGCAGCGGCGGCATCAAGTCGCACGGGCGGGTGCTGTTTCCTATTTGCACGTCTGCCAGGTTTTCCCACTCGCTCCCGGAAAGAAACTGCAGAAGGGAACCCAAGAAGGTACGACCTCGGCCTCCCGCCCCACACAGCTTAGCACCAGCACCAGCACCAGCCGCAGCCGCATCTGCCCGATGTTGCAGCTTCTTCCTCGACACCTTTGATTTTTGGTCTTTACAACCGAATGAGAGGAGCAAGGATCACAAGCTCTCGAGTATCCATGGTAATCTGGAATCCTGCATCGGTTTGGCCCTCTCCATCGACAAAGTCTTTTTTTTTCTTTTTCTTATTTCTCCATCATCATATCCCACGAAGCTGGTTGCTTGTTGAATTTGTGCAAGGTGCAGAGCAACAGGACGACGACCTTGGGAGGTGCACCCCTTCGCCCTTTCCTGCGCCCAGCCCTGCCTGGTTCATCAGCCCAGATTCGCCAGAAATCGGCCCATTTTAGCGAGCTGGTACAGCCAGAAAGCACTTTCCTGCTGTTCCCTACAGTGGCCAACCACCCCCCACAGGATCTGATAACCAAACAAACGAATCTATTCTCCGCACTCAACGAGACGTCTGCACCTCATATTTTCGGCGACTTGACTAAACCAGCTTGCGCGCCATTCACTCACGACTCGGCCATCTTCAAGAGGTGCAAACCAAAAGTCCGAAGTCGCATGCACGGTCGCATGTAGTCCCCTTTACGATGTCGACCGACGCTGCCAGCGCTCCAATCCCGGAGCCTGCAACTGTGCCGGCGCAAGCGACCACCACTGCCGACCACGACCAGGAGGAACCTGCGCTTGGCCAGATCGAATGTGCGAAGCCCGCCTTCCTCCACTCGCCTCCCGACAGCAATAATGCGCACAAGTCGGAAGCCAGCGATTCTGAGCTTAGCGACCTCGACGAGGATGCCGTTGACCCCTCTGCGACGGCGAAACAAGATGAGGCGCCCGTCGAGGACGACATTGGCGAGGTCCTTCCCGACCACTGGTCCGGGACCGTCCCTGTCTTCAAGCCGACGATGCACCAATTCAAGGACTTTAAGTTATTCGTACGCCTCCCCAGCCTCCCACCGTTTCCGCCCTGTGCCACCCTCGACTGACTCTGAATGCGCCTGTAGATGACCAAGGTCGACCATTATGGAATGAAGTCCGGTATCGTCAAGATCATCCCTCCCTCCGAGTGGAAAGAATCCCTCCCGAGGCTCGACGACCTTGTGAAGCAAATCAGGGTTAGGGAACCAATCAAGCAAGACATAATGGGGTCCAATGGAACATACCGTCAAGTCAATATCCTACATCAGCGATCCTACAACCTGCCGCAGTGGCGGCAACTCTGCGACCAGAGCGAACATCAACCCCCCGCGAGGCGGGGCGAGCGCCGAGCCAACGTTGAAAAGCCGAAGCCCCGATCTGCTCCCAAGCCTCGCGCAGAGGCGAAGTCGACTTCGTCAGGTTCTAAGAAGAAGGGCCGAGGTCGACCGCGCCGCGGTAAGGCCAAGGGCAAGGGTCAGGACGAGGAGGACGACGCTCCAGAAGATGAGAAGCGCCCAATGACCCCGGTATCACCCAAGCCCGACGCCGACGTTGAGGTTAAGAAGGAGGAGGTTGTCGACTCGGTGGAAGATCCGGGAATGGATGTGGACGACGAAGAAGAAGAGCCACGCACCTTGGGTAGAATGGGCCGTATGGGTGGCGCAAGGCCGGCGAAGCCAAAAACCCAGACCGTCTCGGCTCGTCGGAAGTACAGCAAGAGAGAAGGCTCCGCTATGATTGATGAAAAGGCATTTGAAGATTTCGACTATCAGATGGACGTGTCCGACTATACGCCGGAGCGCTGCGAGGAGCTTGAGAGGATATACTGGAAGACCCTTACCTACGCTCCACCGCTCTACGGCGCAGATCTCATGGGCACGCTCTTCCACGAGTCGACGGAAACCTGGAACCTGAACAAGCTCCCAAATCTGCTGGATGTTCTCGGCACAAAAGTACCCGGTGTCAACACGGCTTATCTCTACTTGGGCATGTGGAAGGCCACATTTGCGTGGCATTTGGAGGACGTCGACCTCTACAGCATCAACTATCTCCACTTTGGTGCCCCGAAACAATGGTACAGCATCTCCCAGGCTGACGCCCGTCGTTTCGAGGCTGCCATGAAGAATATCTGGCCTACCGACGCCAAGGCTTGTGATCAGTTTCTTCGTCACAAGGGATTCTTGATTTCCCCGTCACATCTGAAGCAGCACTACAACATCACAGTCAACAAGTGCGTCTCATACCCGGGCGAGTTTGTTGTCACGTACCCTTACGGTTACCACTCGGGCTACAACTTGGGTTACAACTGCGCCGAGGCTGTCAACTTCGCGCTTGATTCGTGGCTTCCCATGGGCAAGATCGCCAAGCGTTGCGAATGCGCCCAGGCACAGGACAGTGTTTGGGTCGATGTGTACGACATTGAACGAAAACTTCGCGGCGAGCCGACTCCCGAGTACGAGGAAACTGAAGAAGAAGATGACGAGGATGATGAGGATGAGGACGAGGACGATGCCACTGGCCTTCCATCACCGCCTGACAGCAATGGCGTCGTCAAGCCAGCTCGAAAGCGGAAGCGCGGGGCTGGAGACAAAGATGGCAAGAAAAAGGTCAAGAAAATCCGGCTCAAGGTCAAGACGCGCGCGGAGCCAATCTGTTGCCTGTGCCCCAACGACATCCCCGGCGCAGAAATCTTGCCGACAGACGATGGCCGAAAGGCGCATCGCATGTGTGCCCTCTACCTCCCCGAGACGTACATCGACACGGTCGAAGACAAGGAGATTATCGCCAATGTTGCCAACATCAACAAGGAACGCCTGGACCTCAAGTGTCTCTATTGTCGATCCAAGAAGGGCGCCTGCTTCCAGTGCTCCCAGAAGAAGTGTGCCCGTGCTTACCATGCAACTTGCGCGGCAGCGGCAGGAGTTTTTGTCGAAGAGGCCGAAGTTCCAGTCTTTGGCGAGGATGGCACCGAGTACAAGGAGCAAGCATTCGAGTTCAGCTGTCGCTTCCACCGCACCAAGCGTGACAGGAAGTACGATGGCGACGCCCTGGAGGACGATGTCCGTATCCGCGAGGGTGCGGCAGCGCTCAAGAAGGGAGAGATCTGTCAGCTGCAGTATTTCAAGGGCGACATTTTTGCTGGCGTTGTGGTGGAGAACCGCTCGGACGAACAGACGCTGCTTCTCGACATTATTCCTAACGGGTATGCTTCTTCGAAATCTTTGAATGAACCAAGACTAACACGAACTAGCGATCGTCTCGAGGTTGAATGGAAATGGCTGCTGCTGCCTGACCCGTCTGACTACCATCTCCCCAAGGCATCAGCCAAGGCTATTCCGATGCCATCTTCACAGAAAGCTAAGGATCAACTTAACGCGAAGCGTCCTGCCGACGAAATTCCTCGCAAGGACGCTCCATTCGTTGAGGGCTTCACATGGGCAGAGTTCCACCCATGTGACGAATGTGCCAACCCAAATCAAACCAAGGTTGATCTGTCGAAAGACAACCAAGTCTGGCATTACTTGGGCAAGACGTCGACGGAGGCGAAGGCACAGTACTCCGAGGATCCCATCAAAGAACTGCACAACCCCAAGAGTAACTTCCTTGACACCATTCCCAAACCCCCTAAGCCTGTCTCTGCAAGCACGACGCACCGTAGGGTGTCAAACATCCCACCTCAACCATCACCCCTGTCTGCACCGGGACCGGCTGTCCAGAATGGGCCCAAGTCAGAGAAGCCATACGTGTACAAACCTAGAAAGCCTGTTGAAACCAATTACGCCGGTACAGGATCCTTCAGTACGCAGAAGTTCACGCCCAAAGCCTCGACACCTCCGAGCCCGATGGGACAACAGCTGCATTTCGGATCGGATCCCCGATACCCAACAGCGGGAGCTCCATACGTCCAGCAAAGGTTTACGTCTGATGTCCATCAGCAATACGTCCCTCGCGCTAGTCCTGCTGGTCAAGGCTATTATTCGAGTCCGGGTGCGATGCCCCGGCCAAGCCCGTACAGCGCACCGGGCCCGCAAACGACAGGTGGCGCGCGACCGGCGCAGCAAACATGGGCGACGACGTCGCAGAGCCCCAGGCCGCAACTTCCGCATGGCAGCTCGCATGGCAGCTCGCATGGCAGCTCGCATGGCTCAGGTCAGCAGACTCACCGCAGATATTCGGCTGCGCCCACGCCTTCGGTTGCTATGAAGTATGCCTTCTTCCAGGTGCACCACAACAGGTTAGAACTCCCCAACGCCACCGTGCTCGTTAGCATTACTCACACCCTTCTTAGAGACTCGAAGACATACCGAACCCCATACGCGCCATGGGGCGGCTTCACCAACGGGTATGAAGGTAATTTGCGAGCTCATCTTATGCGGACGTCTCCAGAGGCCTTTTTCAAGAACCGACAAGGCTCCGTCCAAGGAGGTACCCCGACGCCAAACCCACCCGCACGTCCACAGGCACCAGGCTACAGTGGGCCGTACTACAACACACTGACAAACACAATGCCGCAAGGCTCTATCGGCATGTACGGCGTGAAAACAACCGCTCCTTCGTACTCGTCGCCCGCACAACAGGCGCCCCAGGACGGCACAAGACCGCAATATCCTGCATCAATGTCTCCATCTCCCGCAGCGAACAGCGCCCAATCCACACCCAATGGACATGGAAATGCCTGGCATGCGCAGCAGTCGCAGTCGACGCCGCTGCATCCAGCAATTCGGCCACAGTATGGAACCTGGACGAACCAGCCGCAACGGTCTGCACAATCTCCATCCCAACTGGCGCAGCAACAATCTTCGCAGGCGCCTTCGCAACAGCAGACAGCGCAACAGCTTACTGCTGCTGCTGCTACTCAGTCTCAACCGAACCAGACGAAACTCCAAGCCGCAGCAAAGTCTGCTGCGCCGAAGGTTCAATACAAGGTACATTCACTTCAGCAGTCTTCATCACAGACCCCTACCCGATTTCAAACTAATCGTACTATAGATTCCCGAGAAGCAAACTCCGGTTCCTTTACCGGCCAAGTACCTTGCAGCTATGGGCAAGTTACCCTCGGCAGCCACTCCGTCCAAGAGCAGTTCGCAGACGAATGGGGCAACTTCTCAGGATCCCAGTCCATCTCCAGCTTCTGGCCCGGCCAAAGACACTGCCCGCAGCACACCGGCAACTACCACTCAAAGTCCTTCGAGCCAGGCCAGCGCCCCTTCACAGCCAGCGGCGACCTCAAACGGCCTTATGACGCAGCCAGCGTCTCGGGTCTCTCAGACTCCTGTGCCAGTACCGCACACACCCGTTCCGGCGTTCAACTCTCGGATGCCATTCACAAACCAGTCCTCAACTACGGCGTTCCCTCGACAGTCTGCTCAGCCCAGCCAGCCTGCTCATCACTATGCTCAGTCATTCACGGCACCATTGACACAGCACTTCTCGCAGCCCGTGAGCCAGACCTCCACAGAGCATCACACTCTGAACCCGGCAGAGATCCTGGCACAGATTGCCACGCAGCCGCGCATGAACCCGCCTACTCCTACGACACCTTCGCACCAGTCGATGCCGTCACCGGCGCCACAGACTGCTGCCGTACCACCTTACCAGAGCCATGGTTCGACCTGGGGGGTGACGCCCCAGGCAGGGCAGCAGGCAGGATATCAGCCACAGGGTTATGCAGCTCCGCCAGGACATTACGGGCAGCCGGTACAGCACCACCACCAGCAACATTACCAGCACCAGCACCAATACCAACCACAGCAGCACCATCAACCGAGCCAGCCGCGACCCCTGCAGAGCGCGAAGCCGCACCACCCAGCCCCGCAAGCCTCTGAGGGGGATGTACCTCTCCCAGAAGTCCCTGCAGACTCGACGGCGCTCGTGGAGAGAATGATGCAGAACCTCCGCCGCGCCGCATTCCAAGGCTAATTCAACAAATGGGTCCCCACTGCACCCCCTCGCGCGCACTTGTTGGACTAGTCTATACTACCCAAACGAAGTAGGGCTCGCCACCTACCGGGAAGCAGAAGCAAGCTCTTGTGAGGCAATGGAGGCCAAGAACCCAGACGATGAAAAAGAGGAAGTGAGACATGTACGGTACGAAGAGATGCAATGGGGTTGCTTGATTTTTACCGGCGTTTGGCGGTTGTTTCCCACATTCTTCGACCCGCCCGCGAATTTTGTCAGGGCCGCGTATGGATGGATGAGCGGAGCGGATGGGATTATTGTTTTTTTCTTTGCAAAGCGTACATTGGTTCGGAAACGAGACGATGAACTGGACGAGCCCGGGCAAGGGCTGCCTGGCGTCTCGAATGTATACATAATGAATCTGTCTCATTTCCCAGTAACGGAAGCCGTTCCTGTTCTCTGTGCGATGCTGGGTTTAACATCTTCAGGAGATGGATAATGCATCTCACTCGCATTCGCTCAGTGGTGTGGGGGGTTCCGGCGGAGGCCACGATAATTTTCACTTGGCAAACATCACAAGCGGTTAATTCAGTGCATGACAAACGTAAACAATATTTTGACTTTTTGTTCCTACAAGCTGGCTTCCTATAGCCGGCTACAACCTGGCGGCAACGTGCGTTTTCTCTACCCTGCCAGGTTCAGTTGTTCCTCCACCCTTGATTCACGCGTACTTGTTGGCGACAAGCCACTCCTTCAACTTCTCGGCGTCGCGCTCACGGTAGGCGGCGCGGCCGCGGACCTTGTCCTTGACGGTCTCGAGGGTGCGGCTGAAGGCGCTCGTGTCCTTGTCGGCGAAGAAGGCCTCGATGTCCTCGACGGCGGCGAAGTCGGTGAACTTGCCGAGCGAGACCTGGATGAAGCGGTCGACGACGATGGGGTTGCCGAGCTTGGAGACGCAGGCGTCCCAGTTGGCCTTGACGTAGTCCCACTGCAGCTGGCGGGCGGCCGAGTTGCCGGCGAGGGCAGAGCCGAGGGAGTGCATGTCGCCGGCGGGGACCGAGTCCGAGGCCGGGGCGGGCGGGGACTTGTTGAAGAGGAAGGGGAGGAGGGTGTTCTTGATGATTTCGGGGTCGCGGACGAAGCCGAGGTTGGAAAGGCAGATCTCCTTGCCGTCGATGGCGGGGGTCGTGAACCACTCCTTCTTGAGGGCCTCGACCGCGCGGGCGGTGTCGTTCTTGATGGCGACGCGGAAGACGGGGGTGCGGAGGGCCGGGTGCAGCGGGTTGGACTCGGGGGACTCAACCCAGGCATTGAAGCGCTTGGTGGCCTCCTCGGTGACGCTGTTGATTGTTTGTTAGCCTCGAGCAGCAGAACGTATAGGGTCTGTATGTACTTACCCAGCGTGGCCGTTGACACCGGCAGTCACGAGGACTCTCTTGCGCAGCAGACCGTCGAGGTAGCTCTCACCCTCGGGGAAGTCCCAGCCCATCTTAGCGACAACGTCGTTGATCAGCTTCAGGGTGAAGGCCTCGAGGCCCTTCTTGATGGTCTCGTCGTCGCTGAAGATGGACTTGACGAGGGCGATGGAGTCGAGAACTTGGCTCCACACTAGGTAGTTGTCCTCCTTGGCAAAGCCCTGGACGAAGGACAGCAGGGCGGCGGTGGTGCCGTAGCCGGAGAAGGCGAGGTCGGCGGCCGAGCCGATGATGGCGATCTTGTCCTCGGTGCTGAGGCGGTCGAGCTGCTGGCCGAGCTTGAGGAGGCGCTCAGGGGGTAGTTGACGCGGTAGAAGCCGGAGGCGCCCGAGTTGAGCTTGTAGAACTCGGTGTCGATGTCGCGGATCGTGTCCTCCTTCTTCTCAAGAGACAGCGACGTGATGCCCTTGGCGCCGACCTTGCCCTCGAGCTCGAGCGGGATCCACCAGGTGGTCTCGTCGTCCTCGGGCTTGACGTCGCCCGTGGACAGGAAGCGGGACTGCTTGACAGAGATCTGACCGGGCTCCTCGGCGACGGTCAGCACGGGGTGGCCGATCTTGGAGATCCAGGGGCCCATGAGCTTGTTGACGTCCTTGCCAGAGGCCTCGGTGAGGGCATCCCACAGCGCCTTGGTCTTGGCGTTGCCGTACTGGTGGGCCTTGAGGTAGTTGGACACGCCCTTGAGGAAGGTGTCGACGCCGAGGTGGTTGGCGAGCATACGGATCGCGGAGCAGCCCTTGAGGTAGCTGATGTGGTCGAAGATCTGGTTGACGTCGAGGGCGTCCTTGACGGGCACGTGGATGGCGTGGCTGGCGCGGATGCCGTCCAGCTTGAAGGCCATCTCCATGCCTTCGTTGACAAACTGCGACCAAACCTGCCACTCCGGGTGGAGGTAGTCAGTCGCGTGCCATCCGACCCAGGTGGCGAAGCCCTCGTTGAGCCAGAGCTCGTCCCACCAGTCCATGGTGACGAGGTTGCCGAACCACTGGTGGGCCAGCTCGTGGGCGACGACGTAGGCGACGCGGTTGCGGTACCTCGCCTCGGACGTCTTCTCGTCGAAGAGGACGGCGGTGGTGCGGTAGGTGACGAGACCCCAGTTCTCCATGGCGCCGTGCGTGAACTCATGGACGGCGAGCAGGTCGGCCTTGGGCAGGGGGTACTCGATGCCGAAGATGTCGGAGAAGAAGTCGATGATGCGGGGCGCGTGCCACAGAGCCCAGCGGCCCTGCTCCTTGAGACCGCGGGTGGTGTAGACGCGGACGGGCAGCTGCTTGCCGTTGTAGCGGCGCTCGGTGAACTCCTCGACGTACTCGAAATCGCCGACGGCCCAGGCGAGGAGGTAGGTGCTCATCTTGGGGCTGGTCTCGAAGGAGACGAGCTGCCAGCCTTCCTTGGTCTTCTTAGTGTCCTTGACGGGCATGTTGCTGAGGGCGACCTGGTCGTCGGGGATCTCAATCTCAAAGTCGAACGTGGCCTTGAGGTTGGGCTCGTCGAAGCAGGGGAAGGCGCGGCGGGCGTCGCAGGACTCGAACTGGGTGCTGAACATGTAGTGCCACTCGTCGTCGCGGGGCACCGACTTGGCGGGCTCGACGGTGGGCTTATACTTGCTGCGGTAGAAACCGGCCATCTCGTTGTTGATGATTCCCTCGAATTCGATGGTGAGGGCAGCCTTCTGGGCCTGGGGGATCTCCTCGTCAAAGGTGATGGTGGCGCGCTGCTGCTTCTCGCCGTAGCTGAAGTTGGAGGTCTCCCATGATTGCGTCGACTTTGTGTGGCCGACGGCGATCTTTGCGCTGAGGAGCTTGATCTCGAGGGCGTTGAGGACGATTTCCTTTGTGGGCTTGACAACTTCGGCGTCGATGCTGCAGGGAAGTCATGAGAGTCAGCAGCGAGCTCGTGAGTTCAAAAATTGCTGGAGCTGGAGCTGTAGCTGAAGCTGAAGCTTGAGCTCGGGCGGTGTGCGAATGAGGGGCAAGGGTGTGTGTTCTTACGTCACGGTTCCCTTGTAAGTCCAGTCCTTGAAGTTGAGGTCTCGGAGCGACAGGACGTAGTGGGAGGGCCGGATGGACTCCGGGAGGACTTCGCGATCAGCCATGTTGCCAACTCTGCTGGCGTACAAGGCCTTGTCGGATGTGGTGATGGTCGAGCAGTAGTTGCGGCAGCGGTGGTGGTGGTGGGAAGGTGCGGGGAAAGAGGAAGGTCGGCTGTGGCAGCTGGGATCGCGGGGAGGTTTATGTCAGTTTCCAAGAACAAAGAAAGACCGAGACGGGTTGAAATGGTTCAACCGGACGAGGGAACATGGAAGAAAAAGAAGATGTACAGCTCCACAAGTGTGGCCTTCCTACTTGGGACTTTTCGAAAAGCGGCAAGCGGCTATGGTGGGTTTCTGTTTGGCGATGGGAACTGGGTAACGGTGCAGTGCAGCAGATTGGAGAGAGAGAGAGGTGGGAGAGTTCCAAGGTGGATCAGTGGTGATGGCTCCGAGGTGAGGGGCAACGAGGGGCAGACAAAAGGTCCCTGCATGGGTAAGGTTGGTTTGGTTAAGTGGTGTGTCTCTGGGCCCGGCCACTCATGAGTAAGCCTGGTTGACAGTGTCCACCAACAGGAACCTAGTGCTATTGGCCACTAACACCTTCCAGTACAGGTAGTGAGAGTGATTGAGTGAGGGTTCCTCTTGCAACTCGGCTCAGGCAGGCCTTACAGAGACATGTGTCTTCTTCTGGGAGTTGCTGAACCTTTGCTATCCGAGATGGGGGGCCCAGACTATGGAGATGAAGGATGGGGACATGTAGAAAGACGGCAAAGAGCCACTTGACATACCTCGCAGCAACGAAGCCATCGCGGGCAACCCTTCCGACATTCGGGGTAGACCAGAGAGGATTAGTAGTCGTAACAGTGGCAGCTGCCCTGAAGACGGATGTGTTCGAGAAACGGCGCGTGAAGCCAATGTTATACAAAGGCGAAGTCAAAGACGGTAATGAGTCGCGAAATGGTTGTACAGAAAAGGGGGTAAACAGTGGTGATACAGAGCCGTGGCGGCGGACGAGACCGTGGGCGGCGGGAATCCCACGCGCCCACGTCCGTCCAGCCAGCTGCCCGATCGGGTTCATCCTCTCGGCCGGCCCGCAGGAGAAGCCAAAGAATGGGAAAGCGCTACGGCTCTGCCTCGTCTAGAGCCGTGTGGTTTGAGGCAGGTCGTAGACAATCAACCTCTCTGACTGACCATCGTCTTAATGGCTGGCCTTGTCGTGGTGGTCAATTGGGGAACACGGGATGTTGGGAAAATCTCTGCCAGCTGTGTCCCAGGAGTCAGCCCGTCCACTCGGACGGTTCGGCGCGGACGTTAGCCTGTTTGGGCAGAAAACGGGGCTGCTGCTACCCGTGGGAAGGTTAGGTACGAGGCTGCGGTGGCTTGTGCTCAACATAAAGTCCCCTGGGTTCGCGAAGCGCCGACGGCAAGCGAAATAACCTCGGTGCATGCGCATCATTGTTATATGTAGAGTACATCACAGTTTGAAAAAGTTCTTTGCGCAATAAAACCAACTCGGGATTGAATAATGAATGCTTGCGTGTATGTTATGTTCGTTGTATGAAGCGCCCGACGCTCATTTCCAAGTATCTGCATTCGCTTCCCTGGCACATCATCGAGTCCATGTGTGCGCACCCTGTTGTCTATCAGACCAATTTCATCCCGCCAACGAGTTCGCTAAAGTCCAATGCGTCAAACCATGCTGTGGGAAATGTATCGAAAGCAGCCAGTCCACCCGTAACTCCTGTCCCATTCGAACCCGAACAAGTACATCATTACGTCGTCAAGGAAGTCCTGCAGTTTGCCCTCTCCTCCTCTGCTCGTATATCGTACCATGCATGCACACATATGCGCTTCGTCGTAACCTCAAGACGGGCTTCCGTTGCTTGCCTCGCCTTCCGCTGCCACCTTGGCCGCCACCTCGTTCCACCACATACCGTGAGCCGCTCTGTCTACGGCTCCAACCTTGGATATCTCATCCAGCATCTCCCTAACCTGTACCGCAAATTCGGCCAGGCCCAGCCCGGCTAGCTTCTCATGCGCCGTCGTCGCCGCGTTGAGTTTCTCCTTGGTCGACCCGGCCGTCAGTCTGGCATTCATGTGACCTCGGAGTCGGGCCAGGAGAAGTCGCAACACCGGCTCCGTCGGTTCGACGCTCTTCTTCATCGAGTCTTGGCTTGCGTTCAGCACCTTGGTAACTAATGCCTTCAGGTGTGTCTTGGTCGCAGCTGGCATCGACCGCCCGCCTTCGAGGGCCGCCATGACGCCCTGCACTATTGAGCCCATGTTTTCGTGATCCGCTTCGAGAACCGCTGTGATGCGCGTTGCCTCCGTCTTCCATGGCGTGCGCACGTCCCGCTTCAGGAGATTCTTGCATTGAAGCAAGATGGCTCCCGTCGTGACGATTCGCTGAGAGGCGAGGGACAAACGCGTCATCCGCTTGTAGTCGAGGCCTAGCATCTCGGGCACTGTATCAACAGCGATAGGAGCTGGCTGAGTAAAACAGTCAACGAGCAGTTGTGCATAGATCTTGTCGTCTGTTGGCCGGGACTTCGGGTGGTTGATGCCCTCGGGGTCTCGTTTGCGGGCTTCAGCCAGGACCTTGGAGCGTGCTGCTCGCCACGCCGCTTCTGCGGCGTCCAATCCGTGTTGGCCAGTCTCCAAGGCAGTAGCGAACCTCCTCTTCTCGTACTCGGGAGCGGATTCGATAAGCTGTGGCGCTGCAGTGGAGAACATGTAATTGACGTAATCGCAGAGCATCAAATCAACAAACTCTGTCAGCGCCTCAACCCGATCAACCAAACTTCCATTCTGAAGCTTGTTGTCGACCAAGTCCTTGACCTCGTCATCGCGGAAAGGTGCACACAACTTGGGCAGGAGAGACGCCATGGAGACAAAGAACTTCTCGTAAGAGAAGCTTCCCATCTGGAACTGGCGCTCGGCCACCTCCGTGTCCAATATTTCGCCTATCGTGTTGTGCATGTAGGCGCCTGCCTTCACCAGCCGTTGCAGATTGTCCTTGAAGTACCTCATCATGATGATGAAATATCCAAAGCTGGCGTCAAGGTTGTCTTCCTCCATACTCACCCGCATGCCTGCGAATAGGGGTATCTGAAGGGCAGTACGGTGCTCCCGGTACTCGCTGGCAGGAATGCGGTACTCTCGGTTGATGGCCAGCTCATGAACCACGATTCTGTTGTCAGGCAGCAACCCACTGAAGCCGGGTTTGAACTCAATGGGTTGCGGCTTCGTGTGCCCCTTGGCTGGCGTTGGCGGCGGCGTCAGCGTCTGTGACTCGGGTGACACGAGACTTTCGGCAGTAGCAGAAGCCTCCCCGGGAGCGTTCTCGGCGACGCGAGGCTTCATGTCGCCAGTGGGCTTCTTTGCCGCCCGCGCCTTGCGTGCTTTGCGGACGGCGTCTGCAATCATCTTCTTACCCCTCTCCTGGCCGGCGAGCTTCTTGATCCGCACAATGAGCTGAACTTGGTTGCTCTTGATACTCTCTCGATATTGCTCTACGGCAGCGTCGTCGGTGCTTTCCTGCACTGTCTGCAAGATCATGTCTAGCTCGACAAACTGTAAGAGCATAAGCTGCACAAGAGACTCGGAGTCGCGGGACTTCCACGCAAGAAATGCGTTGTAAAAAGTGGCGTAGATCTCGGGCAGTGCGCTCCGCAGAGTTGGTGGAGGAGTGTAGTTGTTGGCAGCAGTCAACCGCGACATGATGTTCTCGAAAGATATTAGGAGATCTCGGGCCTTCGTCACGAGGTCCTGCAGCTGGGGATTAGCAAGGTCATTACGGGGCAACGGTTGAGGCTGTAACAATCCAACCTGTTCCCTGTCCCCCGTGCCGTCCTTGTTGCTCAGGACCTGCGTGGGATGGCCTAGAATGAGGAAAGCGCTGAGGAATGTACGGACGGCGGCCATCTCATCGACTGACCCCGTCTCGCCCTCCTGCAAACCACAGATCCGCAGAATGCGCGCGGTGCGTACGAGGACCTTCTCCTGACCCAAGAGCTCCAGGACCTCGTCAAAGGACGTGTCCCGCACGCCGTCAATGGTGAGCCCCAACTCGGAGAACTCAGCGACGGCCCTCTTCCTCATACGGCTCTTCCACCACCACTGCAGCCTTGCGGCCGCGTCATGCTCACTCAGCAGCGGAGCATCGCTGTCGGTCGCGTTCGAGGACGTCTCGGTTGGCTTCCGCGACATCAGACTCTGGCCGCGCGCCCTCTTCGAGGCATTACGGTTCTTGAGCTCCTCCCGCCGGCGCTCGGCCTCGGCCAAACGCTCCTCCATCTGTATGCGGAGCTTGACCAGCTCGCGTTCTCTCTTGTCCTTCATGGTCTCCGCCACGGCCTTGGCCCTCTTGACCTCCTCGGCACAAGAGGCCACGATTTCGGCCAGATTCCTCTCGCGGGCTTGCTGGGCGGCGAGGGCTCGTTCTTCGGAGAGGGAGGTATCGCGGTGGGTGGCTTTGGCCATGGCGGCTCTCAGACGAACCTTTTCGGCGTGGGCAGCTCGGTCCGCGAGGCGAGCCTTTCGGTCTTCTAGGAAGGACGTGCGCCGGAGGTGCTGTGCGATTTGCTTGCTCTGGGGGCGCCATGGCGGGTGAAGGTCTGGGTCGAGGAGCAGCGGGAGTGGGCCGAGGAGATGGAGTTGCGGCGTGACGAAGCGGCTGAGTCCTTGCGACGAGCCTGAGACGGACGGTAAAACCGGGCGGCGATGTGCGGAGGCGGGGTGAAGATGCGGCCATCATCAGCATCGTCTATCTCCTCGTCGGAGTTCGGGGGCATGGACAAGTCAACATCTGCTGATTCCATGGTTGACGATGGCGAACCGACAGACTCCTCCAGGTTGCGCGAAGGGTCGGTGAGGTCTGCCGAAGGGCGACGCATGGCGACGGCGTGCCTGGCTTGTTGTTTCGGGGTTCGAGCAGTTGTTGTTTCGCGGGCGTAAACGCTGATATAGTAATGCTCGACCAGCTGCGGAACGATGGTCGTAGTCGTAGGCTCAGGAGCCTTGTAGAAGACGGGTTTTCAATCCAGTCGAGGAGTGGTACGGTATTGCGAGCGCTGTTGTGGTGGTGGTAGTCCTTGTCTTGTTATGAACGAGACTCGCTGCGTCGGCCAAAGTGGATCGGCAAAGAGACTGAAGCCTAGATGAGAAAAGCACCAGCAAGCGAATGTGTTTCTGGCGGCCGCGGGTAACAACAACAACAAAAAAGAGGTTGTGAAAAACGACGCTCTCGGACTTGAGCCCAAGAAATAAAACAACAGGGTATAAGACAGAACCGAAGGGTTTGGAACAGCGCGTCTGGCGAGTAAAAGGACGAAACGGTGCGGGATGTAGTGATGGGAATCTAGGAGGTTTGCGGCCTTGGAAGTCAAAGAGAGGGAGTCGTAATCATGGCTGGCCGCTGGGCGCGTAGTGCAGGTCGCAGTGGCTGTTAGGTAGTGCAGGTGCGGGAGCAAGTGCAGTTGCGATGGCTGGGTGGGCTTCGACTGGGCTGGGCTGGGCTGTGGTCGGGTCGGAAGGGGTGGGCGGAGGGATGGGAAGCCTAAGCACCAGACAAAAAAAGACCCAACGGGCTGGAATGACGGAAGCTTCCAGTTTCCCATGCTCACTCTTCCATCCACGCTTCTCGTCCCCGTCCTACCGTGCTGACCGAGCATTCACGCCATTGCTCAGGATCTGCAGATATGACAAACAGTGCATCACCCACCAATCTCCACTAGCGTATTTCCCTCTTCAGGGACGCCAGCGTCTTAGTGTCCTACCACCATCTCCATCCATTGATTGCCCTTTCGATAAGGGACTTATCCGAGGGGGCCGGCGGAAGACCCGGGTCGGCACAGCCGTTCGCTGCTTAATCGAATCGTCATCTCTCGAGCTCAGTTGCTTGTGTCCTGTTCCATCATCCAGCCCATGACTTCTAAAAGTCCAGTCGTTTCCCGCGGCATCTCCAAATACCCAGACCGTCGAGGTCCCGGATAACAGGAATCAGGTGCAAGATCGCAGACCAAGCCGAATTAGGCAAGGCGTTGGCGTCATTATCTAGCGATGATGCGACTTCCGTCACGTGGAAGGCCCGGCCCCGTGGACAACCACCACCGGCCGCCATGGACACTCCCAAGCGGCTGTGGCGCCGTCCGGACCAACCTTCTCCTCGACCAAACACACGGTCGTCCGTCTCGTGGTAGTCTCAACGGCTGGGCGTCTCTTAGCCAAGCATACCGCATATACTATTACGACATGGCCGTGGCCCGCGTGTGCTGGTGGACTAACACACAAACATGTTAGGCTTACGATCGGCATGGGGGAATTCGTCCTTCACAGCCACCATGGTACGTTGGCAGCCATGTGGTCTCCGATGGCTTCGGTACAAAAGTCTTCATGTCTTATCAAGGCCACCGAAGCCGGTGTTCCCCTCGGTTGCTATTAGCGAATTCTCCAGGAGACCATGGTATCCTTAATCAGCTCAGTAAGAAGTAACAATGGCAAAGTCTTCCGGGATGCCTCAAACACCAATTCTACCTGAAAGTGCTTACGAAAGTGAAGCTTCTTACCAACTAAGGAGTGAAGGGAAACCGTCGGGCTGTCGGGGACAATGTTTCCTCTGCAATAAGACCACTTTTGCTATCTTCCAACTCAGCACTTCAATGTCAATGTACTGAAGCCGAATGGCAGTGAATGGGATACCATCGTACTTGGTCTCCCGGCGCCATCATGCCTGGGTCGTAAAAGGAAGGACCTAAAGCAGTCTCAATTGCCGGTGCCTTTGGTGATCGGTCTTGCCAAAAAAGATATATCTCGCGCTCCATCAATACCTGTCACTCCTGCCTTATATCAAACAAGCTGTCCGGATGGTCCATCTATTAAATCTCATCCTTCCTTTTCCGTGGACGAACATCTTTACTTCTCCACATTGACAGGACGCTTGTTCCTCTCAGTTAGATTAGTCGTCCAACCACGTAGCCCCCATCAAGCCTGCCCAAGCCTTCTTTCAGTATACTCTCTCATTTTCAACCTTATCCTACCTTAACTCTCCACTTTCCTCTTGTTATTTCGTCCTGCCATTCTTTCAGATTACCGCTCTTCGTCGTTGTCTGCTGCTTGCCCACACGCCTTCCGCATCAAGTTGTCTTCGAAACAGCGCGCTAGGGCCGTATGCTCTTTGAGGTAAGCCTCCTGTCACTATTTTCTTCCTACCAGCCAGAGGATGTTCTCCTCTCTATTCTCTTGTGCTTCTATGGCATACTAACGAGCGAGCGATCACCAAGTGTAAACCCTGATCAAAGCAGAACCACATCCTCTGTACAGTGAGTGTCACTCCATGTTTATGAGGTCTTCCTTCCACATGGTACAGTACTGACATCAATCAAGTTAAGGACACCTCTATCGTCCCAAGAACCGTGATGTTGGGCAACGGCTGTGCGAGCTTCTAGATCGAACTCTGGGACCTCTGCCCTCGTTCTCACTGTGAAGAGTGTTCCAGACTACACACTTCACCCAAACTTGGCAGATATGGATGAAATCCCGATAGAAGCATTGCTCCGCGTATGCGGCGATGCTCCAGTAAACAAAGAGCTTGTCGGCATTCTCAAACCCAACCTTCGACTGGAGATATTGAGGATGCAGGCACATCGTTACGCGGACACAATGCATTTGTCAATTCCCTTTTGAGCAGAGCACGCATTCTATCGGCCTGGGTAGATACCCAGTCAAAAGATATGGAGTTTCCACCGGCTGTTGAATACATTCTTCGCTTGGAGAATGTTTACGAAGACGCACAAGAACTTTCAAACTTCGTGGCCGTTCCCGGACTCAGCAAAGTCTTCGATCTTCAATCACCAGATGACATGGAACTGTGGCGGGAAAGGATGATAAAGGCTCTTCTTCGCTCGCTCGACCACAGAAGAAACCGCACAGAGTACACCAGAATCTCAACTCTTTCTCGGTACAAGAAGATGCAGGAAGACTTGCACAGAATCAACGTAGCTGAGATGGAAAATTCCGTCAACAATGCAGCAGAGAATTCTAAGAAGATCGAACTTAATTTGAGATGGCAGACGGGCTTATTGTAAGCTCTGAAGAGTGTCTCGGCCTCCCTTTGGACGCTTCAGCAGATTTCCTCATGTGCAAAGAGCTCTCAACAGTGGATAAGAAGACAATCCCAAGATACAGCACCCATCTCTTGCCTTATCTTGGTGGCATCAGTCTCATGGTATACCAAGTCAACGGCGTAGTCAGCATCTTACTTCACCTCCTGGAAAAGGTTCCGAACTTTGCGAAATACACGACTACAGCCGAAGAAGAACTTCTACACACCGAGGCACGCAGCTTACTTGGCAAGTATCACTGTCCGATGAAAGGTCTAATTGTGGCTGATACCACTGCTTTCGGCAAAACAATATGACCCTAGTAGCGATGCATTTCATTTTGGTTCTCTTGACGACGAGAAAGACAAAGACAGGCGCCCAAGTCTAATCTTGTGTCCCAGTGTTGCAGTGGCGAAACAGTGGATCGACCAGATTCGAAAGCTTTTCAAGAACTGGCTCGTCATCGCCGATGTTGGCGAGAGCTCTGCCAGGATGCATGTTATGCAAAGTTCGCGTGAGTGGAAGCAGTCTTGGCCCAAGCATATTCGTTGGATCTGGAACAAACAAGTCACTGCCAACGGGGAGGATCCTCGCCGTGTTGTTCTCGTCACGACCTACAACGCCTGGCAAGCGAGGTCTGCCAAGGAGAAGTCGAAGGACTCGCTATTCAACCAATAGGATCGGTTGTTCGAGATACTGGTCAATGACGACGCACATCACATCAAGGAGGCGAAAGGTAGTTGGTACCTCGGAGCGCTCCTGGTTCAGGCTCGCATGAAGTTAATCATCACGGCGACCCCTTGCATGATATCTCTATATGTGAGGCTCCAACACTCGAAAGGGAGACCCATGACACTGACGTTAGCTAATAGGAATATATTGCATTTGCCAGGATGATCTGGACCGCGCGGGCAGCTCACCTCAGTAACGATGAGAAAGACATGATCCGCCTTATTGAAGAACATGGGTACGATTCGTTCTCAAACACACTCCGCGTTGTCGAAAATCTCCGAGGATACAGCGTCAAGATCTGCAGAAGCATGGTGGTGATGCCCGCCGTTGTGAAAGCCATCGTCAACTCAAAGAGCGAGATATCCTGGGAGTCGAAGTTCCAAGTGTCCAGCTCTTCCGCCATACTTCGTCGCGCAGGAAGGTTCACTATCTATAGGCGAGAAGGTGAAAGAGGACCAGTGAGCCTAAAACATGTCCTCCCGTCGATCAGATCGTCATCGGTGGCCCTCTCTTTGAACCCCATCTCAAGCGCCGCGTTCAAGAGGAACTTCTACGGTACAAGACGTAGGTCTTTATTTCATTACGATGGAATTCATCATTCCAAGGCTGCTAACTTATCATGAAGTAAGCTTACCATAGTGACAAAGGACTGGCAGCGAGAGGGCAAAGCCAAGTCTGATCATCCGCCGCCCGTGCTCAAATACTACAGGTACATGTTGATGCTGGCTTCCAGCTTTCCCGTTTACCAGATGACCGTTCTTCTCGAGCGAGTTGGATCTGGGACAACATTCGACTACGTCGCAAAGATGAGGAAAGCAAGTATGGATCTCACGCATATCTCACCTCTGTACAGAGATTTTGATGACCCCGATCCGGTGACGATGTTCCAGCATCTGAGACTAGTTCTCAAGGGTGGTCCGCAGATCCAAGAGTTGTTATCGACCCTTCTAGAGAGCGTTTTGCCGTACGAGGATCATCTTATACCCACGATCATGATCACATTGGCGTCCCCTATCCTCGCGTTCGTTACCGAACAAGTGCTTCGAGCACTGCGAATCCCAACAGCGGTAAGATACGGAAACATGCACACAGATACAGGCATGGAAATAATTGCAAGCTTCCGTTACAATGAACCCAACTCGGTGTTAGTCCTCATACAAATGTACACCAACAGTCGAGAGGGCATCAACTTGAACGGGGCAGCACGTTTTGTCGTGGTGTTTGAACCTGCCTGGAACGGACCCATCGAAGACCAGACAATCCATCGAGTGCTTCGTGTTAGTTCAATTAAGTGCTGTGAAGTTTGTGGCATTCGAAGTGGAAATGGCCGCTAAGTCCAAACTCGCGCAGCATGTCATTGAATCCAGATCAATCGGCATCGTCCGCAACGATACGGTCAAGCGAAAGATTTCTCAGAGCCACGATCCTCCTTCAAGTCCAAACAAGCGTAAGCGAGCAAGGTTCCTTGGGGAACGGATTCGACAACATCGGCTCAGTCAAACGCGAAATCCATTGGGAAGCAACTGGTCAGAGAGCGGGATAATGGCATGCGTCCTGTGCCTTTTCACGGGGACCTCAAACATTTGGAGACGATGGAGGAACATGCCAATCGATACCAGAGGCTCAGTGTCACTGAAGGCTTTTCTTACTCTTCGGAACGCGATCTACTAAGAAGGAGCATGGCAGCGAACTCAACGTCGTTCACTGTTAAATCGATGCTCGAGAATCTCTCCTTGCCGGAGCATGCGTACGAGGCTATTCACAGCATCAGAACTGGTCTTCCGATGAATAAATGGCGCTTGTGTCCTCAACCTGATTTTGACGAAGTTGGCATAATTGCATTGGAGGAAGCAATGGAAACACTTCAAAGAGCCGGAATCAACTTGGCGGACAACGAAGCAATGCCTCCCAAGCACCCGGAGATCCTGGATCCGGTCACGGCACCAGACTACGAACGTCATCCAACGAAGTCCTTACCGACCCGGCGCAATACAGTCACATTTACCAACAAGCCATTGCAGTCTTTGGGAGACAACGTCGTTGAGACTGTTGCCACTGCGGATCTGCGTGACACAGCTGCCAATGGAGATGTGGACTCAATACCCCGACCAGTCTCGTGGTACGAGCGAGAAGTCACCGTAGATGAGCAATGGACTTGGTTTCCAATGTGTGGTGACGATGCTCAGTGCGGATTGAACGCGATTGTTTTGTGCATTGGAGCTCAGTACCCAGACGGTCCACAGCCGACACTTTAAGATCTCCAGGCAATTCGACATACAGAAGGGATTCAAACAGGTTTTTGGCCACTGGTATCGCCATCGCGGCAGCTAACACAGCATGGTATTCTGTGGACCAAGTCGCTGCTATTCTACAGAACTGGGGTGAGGTGCAAAGGCCATCTATTCTTTTTGAGTGCTGTATCATCGAGCGGAGTGGGCGCATTTCCTCGATTCCATCGCCTAATGCATCCAAGCCGGGATCAAATAAGCTATACATATACTACGATGATTTCAACGTCCATTACGAGGGTGTGAAGAAGCGAAATGCTTAAACAGAGCCCAGCATTTGCGGATTGCCTACGAGACCGAATTGGTTGCCCAGCGTAATCTTGTTCTTGGCTTTCGGCCGGTATGGAGATGATCGACTTTGGAATTGGAGAATTGGAGGAGGTTGGTTCATTGGAGATGGAAAAACGGGAGGCACATTGGTTCAGCTTGAGGGTTTCATGATGGTTCTTTTCGCTTTCATTTTACAGATTGAGCCGTGGGGCAATGATTTCATGGGATGGTATGCCAAAACAGACCGGGAAAAGAGAGCTCTCACGTATGCAGACACAAACGGTCCATAGTTTGCCACGATACGGACAATATTGGACAGTTGCTTTCAAGCCAGTGGGTTCTATATTCAGTCCGGATTCCATGACTGCAAGGGCAACTTGGCACTCGATGCTACCCGTAACACACCGACCGGCTTGTTTGGGAATATCGGGCAGTGGCCTCGCCTTAGATAACCAAGGATACGAAGTCTTACCCCCTAAATGATGGGGAGTGTCTGAGGCCCTGCCGATCTCGCAATTGCAAACGCTTCAAATCTTTCCAACTCCAGCACTGGTCGCTGCCGCCTTAGTGTCGTTAGCAGTACCTCTCCAGCGCGTGAACAGTGTTGTCATACTGCAGCTTCGACGGTGGGATAAGAGACTCAAACACCGTGTAAATCGTACCCGGTACTTGTTGACCGTGTGGACTAAAGAGCTACCGCCGATCTGGGGAGATCTTCCTGAGCTGTGGTGAACATAAGTTTCCAAGGCCTGTAAGTAAGGGCCAATTACTTTTGTCTGATTGAGACGTGTGAAGGGGGGTGGTTATAGCTTACCCATTGAAGGCAATCATGTCATTACCCCCAGCGAACTAGAGACCCCAGTAATGATGGCCGTCAGACGTAGCAGACCATGGAGATGATCCACCAATCTCAGAGTTTGAGATGGTTAACGCGGTTCGATGCAGAATTGCCAAGAACTGTGTGCTGGCGACCGATGAGGGAGGTCTTGACGTGATCAATCCATACCAAGTCGGCTCCATTGAGGATAATCGCATCACCAGCCTGACGTCTTCGGCGCGTTGGATTGGTGATTGTCACCCAAGTATGTGAGTGTTAGAGATATTATTTGTGAATCAGCGTACTGGAAGACTTACATCACTTGTCCTTCTTCACAGCGGTCTGGTAACCAGATCCAGTACCACAGGGAGCACAGCCGGTTCCCGAGGTGGTTCCCTCGTGCCCAATAGAGTATTTAGCCAGTCTCCAAGTTGACCATAACTAGAGGGAGGTCAACCATGAGTGTCTAGGAATAGCTTCGTCTGCTTTGCTTGTCTTATTGCTCGTTCTCTCGTCTTGCCAGCTTGCTTCGTTCGGCTTCACTGTCTGCCCGCGTCACTTCTCGGCGTTGCCGACTAATACACCCATCTCGCCTGCCAGGTCCGACACTGCTGTCGGAAGGACGGTGTCAATTAGATTTCGTTATGTATCTTGTTACTGCACAAAAACTCCCTGAGCGTACCTTCCTCCATTCCACCGCATCGGACAACGGCAACAGCACAACGGTATACCATCCGGCGTTGTTTCGGCAAAGCAACCCCATTCCCTTCCTCTTCGGTTCGGAAACATTGCAGCCGGTGGTCCTTACTCGAGCCGTGAACATAAACCATCATGGCAAGCACGTCGCCAGATTATCAGCGGCCCCGCAGCCAACAATTAAGCCTCTTGCTTGAGCTGGCTCTGGTTTCTGTGTCGTTTAGAACTTCTAGTTGGTGCAATTGTTCTCAAAGTGAGTGTTGAGTAGCTATTATCAATGCCTATGGAAGTCCGAGCCCGATCTTCCCGAGTTCTCGAGAGTCTCTTGGTGATCCATTCTACCATAGTAGTTAACGCCGGTTGATGCCAAGCCCAGCCGGCATCGAAGGTGGTACAGGTAGATGTTGACCTCGGAGCGACTTACACTTGCCACGCCCTAAGCACGAAACATCTCGAAACACGAGGGCACACTCTTCAGTCCATCAAAACAAGATTCAATCGTTCCATGACATACGGGGAACCTACATTTCCAAGTCGGAAACCCTGCCGTGAACCGCCCTCACCGGCGGCGACATCGGCGATCCTCGGCGAAGTTGGTAGCCTGGACAGTCTGTCAACGGGGAGACGTTGGAGCAACGGCTCCGGCAGCCAGTCCCGCTGCGACGCCGACGTCTTGATTACTTCATGTGATTGGCAAGGGGAAGGGGAGGGAGGGGTGGAGATCTCGAGACGAAACTCACATGGGCTCGTCACATGATCGCTCACGCGCCCCCTCCGGCCAACAATTACATCTGAGGCGACCTCAATCCAAAATCGACGTGAAGAATCGCTGACATCATAGGTCGTCCGACCAAATGCTCACCCGTCCAGTCCATGGCTATTTTCAGGAATTCCGGGGGTGGTGTTTGCAATGCCAACGGGCACGCCGAACTCTCAGCGTGTCATGAGCATTAATTGTAGAGCATGGAAGGGCCCCATGTCTCATCCGATGTAGCCTTCATCCACTCCCGGTGGGTTCTTCCCGGCTGGCCCATGACTTGCATAGCCGACTCGTCAACGCTCCAACGGGGCCGAACTGAAGGAACATGGAATCATAGGCAAGCATAGGTATGAGGCTGAAGCATGTCCGGCGATGCTTGATATTGAGCGCGATTCGTCTTGAGTTTGCTGACTTCATCGGACAGGGGCAGGGCCACTTGGTGTTCCCCATGAGGGTATCCCGGCCTGATGGGACCATGATTTGCGATCAATTTTCAATTGAGGCCGCCCTGCTTAGGGACAGCCCCTCCTGGCAAGCCCTCAGCTAAGAAACAGTCGTATCGGAGCTCTCCTGACGGAGCAGACTCCGGCGAAAGATGGTTGGTGAGATTGTGGCGATAGCCTCAACAAAGTTCAATTGTTGCTTGATCAAAGATAGGTCAAGAAGCAGACGTATGGACAAAACATGAGGCGAGACACACTCGATTGACTCGGCTCGATGTCACTCCATACATCCGATATCCCGGTCGACGCGGGTTGGGCGCTACCGTCCGATTCATCCCCAGGCCCGGCCCGGAGAAATTGCAGTCGCCAGTGCAGAGGTGCGGTACGTATTGAGTACTGAGGACAACGGGCGCGCGAAGAAACCGGAGACAACCCCCCGGATTGACTGCCCGCCGACTGAGCTCAAGAATGAGCGGGCAGAAAAACAGAGACCAGGACCCTGCTCCGAGGGTGCTGCGTTGGGTTCAGTGGTGGGGATCGGTGGATACGAGAAGCGTTCTAGATTGCAATGGACGCCAGCGTTGCAAGTTTCGGTGTGTGCCCTGGAACGGTCTTCCCTGAAGAGTAGTGGGTAAAGGCCTGGCAGCGCGCACCATGTAATGAGCCCAAGGCGGTTGCGATAGGCGCCATGGTGAGACGAGCGGTGCGGGGGATAGCGGAAAGGGTTCAATATTTGGGATGTACCTAGGTAAGCACCGTAAGGCAAGCTAAGGCGGCCGGCTGAGCTACGCTGTTCAGTTGGCCATTTTCCCTCATGGACGAAGGATCGGAGCAAC